GAGCTCATACACTGCAAACTGAGTACAGTCACTTCACAAGCTAAAACGTCTGACTGGCAGTTTTTTCTTAAATGCTTTTAGGGAGTCTCTTATCATGACTCTTGCAATGTACTGGCCCAGGTCATGAAAATGCAAGGCTGTCATGTCCTGGCTGGCTTACTGGTTTCCTAACCTGAAGTCCCATCATTAGTGCACGGGCTATCTCCACACTAAAGCCGAGCGGGTTTCGCTGTCGGTCAGTTTGGTGTTAAGTTTTAGCAGCTGCTTTTACAGCTGCTTATGTGCATACTTTTTATACATGTGGTGGACTGTGGGGTATTCAATGACAAATCTAAAATTAAACTGTCCATCTTCTAACCGGGAAGAAAAAAATGGAATGCCAGTTAAAATTTGGAAACACTTGTCAAATGATACATTTTTACACACATTTCTCACATGGCTTCATGAACTGATTTTTTTCTTAAGTTCACAGAACAATGTAACGGCTGATGAGAATAAGCAGCAAATACAGCATGAAGTACTGAGCCCAACCACAGAAGTGAAAGTAGAGTACAACATTTTGGGTTGGGTGGAGCAATACATTCATTTTGAGATGATTAATGTTCATTCAATCTTTGGTGCCACCTTGAAGTTATTTTGATCATACAAATCCATGGATATTTTTAGTGTGTTAGTGTGTACTGTCTCCTCTGCTTCTTTTTGTTCTCTCAGAATTAGAGGCAGAAATACATTTTACATCTTTTGCACAGATTGACATCACACTTTTAAGAGGTCTCCTTGAACTCCCCCACACCTCACTCCCCCAGTCATGGCTGTAAAAATGAAGTGGAATAACAAGTCATCTGTGCTGTTGCTCAATAGCTTCAGTAACATGTTGACATCTCTGCTCCTTAACTCTGTACAGCTTTAAAGTTTCTGTTTACGTCTTGGGGGCTTTTTTGAGTTGATTTGTCTGTCCGTTACAGGCTCAACTTGTGTGTTAACAGAAAATCTCAGTGGTGCGTCAAAGGAAGTGTCTGAAGGTCTGTAAGCGTGAGGAGATGACAATGGTAAACTGCTGCATTGGAGTATCCCTCCCCTCATCCGTATGCTTTGGATGTCCTCAAACTGTCCTCCCCTTCCAAGTAATCAGCATCTCTCAAAGAAGCCCAGCCAAAGCCAAAGCCAAGTAAAACTGAGAGTAAGTCCTAATCAGGGGCATGGAGAGCCAAGCTTATGGAACCCTCCCCCCACTGCGGGGCCATTACTGTGCTGCCATGAGCTCAAGATTAGAGTCTCTTCCTGTGTTAGCCATTCAAATTCGGCATAAATGTTTGAAAGAGAGGAGAAAATGCCTGCTCTTCGTGGACATGTTAAATATTTTATGGGAGGGAAATGTGAAAACATGCACAGTAATATCTGGGCTCATGTGTCTGTGGTTGCTTTGTGCTTTTTCAGAGCCTTGTACTTTCCTGTATCACTCGGGGGTATAATTCCTGATAGATCTGTACAGTTGCTGTTTTTCATCTTAATCCGGTTGTAAAAGAAATGTGTCTCTTCCTTTTTTTGGGGCATTTTGGCCTCACACGTAGATTCTCAGTTTCCGGTGAAAGTCACATCTACTGTACTGTGGCTTTTTAATGTTCAGAGGGTAGAAATCGGAGCTGCTTTTTTCAGGGACAACGTGCACACTGACTGCTTGCCCGCACAGTAAATAGGTCAGTGTTTAATGTGAGTGAAGTATCTGTAATGTCTGGGCTTTCATGAGTGTGACATTTTTAGCCGCTCAACAACACAGCAAAGCACCTAAATGCTGAGTGGCTTCACAGCTATGCAGCTTTTAGGTGCTCCGATCTGTGATATAACATTTACTTCCTCAGGTTTTAAAATCTTCCACTAGTGAAATGGTTGCCCGATACAGACGTCATTACAGAAAGTTTAATCAATTATTTAAATCATCTCATTCAACCGCAGGCCTCTCCAAATTTTACAAAATTTTGTAATTTTGTGCTTGCTTTACTCTTTTATGTAAGTACACGCTTTGTTGCTCATGCCCCAGCAGGACTTTTAATATAACTAAAGGAAACAAGTACAGAATGACTCACCATAATAACCTCGAGACAAAAATGAATTCTAAAATTAGAACAGTGAAACACTTTAAATCATTACTTGAAGCTGTAGCTCCAGATTTCCTCTTCTAGTTTTTCGAACCCGACTGACCTAAATGTGATAGATTAGATCTATATTGTCAGCTATCTGTTACTTGTGATGAAAAAAAGTGAAAGTGAAAAGAAATTAAATCTGTTGTTCTCCACTTTGGCCTTGTTTTAGCATCTCAAAGCTTTGCTGATGGTCAGAAAGAATTCCAGTTCGAGGATCCAGCTCTGTGGTCTGAAAATTGTGCTGACCTGCTAATACAGGCACAGCCAGTTCACTTCAATAGCAATCAAACCAGTCTACCAGGAGCAAAGCAAATGCATATTGTGCTGCAAACAAGCAGACTTTTTGCTAATCAGGTGCCGGTTATTTACCAGTTACACCAGCAAGCTTGTTTCTTGTGACAACACAGAATATATAAGCTTGAACTTAATTATCACTTTATCTACAGCATTCCAGATAGAGCTTTTAGAGTTCTTATGTGGTGAAAATAAAACAGGAGTTTATAACCTTTGTCCAGGGTTCAGATAACTGATTTGAAATCCAAATATGCATTTATCACTTTGTTTACATTCATAATGAAATACAGAAAACCTGAGAATAGAGTTTTTTATTTGGTATCTGAATATTTGCCGCCATAATCCTTGCGAAGTGTGTGGTTAAACACTACATCAATGCTACATAATCCAATGAATATGCTTTTTACAAATAGATATTGTACTCTCCCCTTCCTTTAGTCTTAAGATTTGAAACGGCATACTCGACCACCCTCCAATGCTCTTCTTGTTGTCTTGACATTGGCTTTGTCCCAGACTGATTGTTGCTTTGTTGTGTCATCATTGTGACCCTCTTTTGTAAACAGCCGTTTTGCAGGGTTTTGTTGTTAGTAACACGCCCAAACTCCAACCTCGTGGAACCTGTTTTCGGCTGCTGCCTTGTGTCTCAGCTGGAAGTCACCCAGAACAGTAGAAACCGCCAGCACAGTCCACCCCCAGAACCAGCGTATCTCATAAGGCCTCGGAAAAGTGCCAGTAAATAATCATATAGACAGAGCTCCTTTGTAGCTGCCTGGATATTTTTAATATAGTGACTGCCCTCCAGCCAAGCAGGATCAAAATGTAACTTTAGTTAGCCTCGCTGTCAGGAGTGAGTCACATTTTCCATGAATCTGTTGTGGGCGCTGGTAATTCAGGAGATTATAGTGGGTACAGCTGATGTAACCTGTATCTAAAAAAGATACAGGAATGATTTTGTTTCTTTTTTTTCTCTGTGAGGCTCCACATTTTATGGTTGTCACGTTCTTGAATTCCAGCGAATCACTCATATGCACCATTTATTACCTCTCAGCTCAGATAAGACGAGGAAACTAATTTGCATCCAGCTCTGTCAGTTCTGAAGGGCAGCAGTGTAGGGGCTGACATTAACCAAATAACTTCCTTTGGTAATTATTGAGACATTTAACTGGATGATTCAGAGGGCTGTTTTTGTGACAGGGCTCTCTATGACATCACTTACAAAATGAAATGAAAAAATAACTATAAAACTGAGTTAGACACAAATGGTTTTTGACACTGTGTTGTCTTAAAAATCTACAACTACTGATCTATATGAATAAACCATTGGAATGTACACACGTAGACATTAAAACAAAATGAAAACAGAATCTAAGCTAATTTATGTGAACAGACTTTTAACAAAGATGGCTGTAATTTGTGGTTTCATTTGATCAGACATGCATCGTAGCGTAACAGCACAGTTATAATAACAATCCTACGGTATCGGTGCTGTTATCCTCCCCAAACAGGTTTATGAGGAAATGACACATTACTGGCAGATGTTTCACAAGGAGTCTCTTTTTGAAATGCATGGTGCAGAGGATCCACAGAAGGCTTGAGGAAAAAAGCTGTTACTGGAGACGTATTTGATTTGATTACAGCTTCTTATCATGTTACAGCTTTCCTGCTAATCTAATTCTTTCATTCAAAACCAGTTCTTTTGGTAAGTTAACAAAGAGTATGTTGTAACCTGGCAGATTTTTGTCTGTGCAGGCGATGGTTACATAAAATCCTAAAGGCCACGGTGCAGGCACATGTGTAATTTGTCAGAGATGGTGCACGCTGTGTAAGGGCCGAGTAGTGCGTCTTTGTTTGCTAATGTAGGTCTCTGCTAAGGGGCCAGCCTGGCTGTCCCGGTTTCTGGAATGGCTGTGCTGCACATCACATGATGGGTTTGGCCTCGGGGTGAGGCAGTGGAGAAGTCTAAGATGGTAGTGGGATGGATAGATGGAGGATGAAAACGATGGAGGCATTTCCTCGTGCCAGATTCTCTCAGATCCAACTCCCCGGTACTGTTTTCACAGCTGAGCAGACTCCACCTCAGCTCCAGCAAGCCCCCACTCGCAGAGCAAAAGCGCTGTGTTTTCCATCCCATTCTGCCAGGAAAAGTATACGATGTGTTAGCAGAAAAAAATGTCAATATACTGTATATTAAAGAGAAGAATTGGGGAGGTGTTCAGATTCTCACTATTGTGCATTTTACAGGTTATTGTATCACTGCGAATTTAATCAATGAAAAGCAAACAACCTGCCAAAAACAGAATTAAGCCGGAGATCCATCACCTGCAGCCTTCTTCGATATAAGTAAAGATCATTAAAAAGTGGGAGCAAAGTTTCAAGTGTGACTTTTTGTAAAAGAAATATCCAACTTAAAATGCTGGGATTTCAAGATCTGTGCTTACAGACAGAGACATTGACCTTCCTCTCCAGCTGCTTTATCACCCCGACTGATCTATACACAGCACTTTTCAAACCGAGCTCCTGCATCTCTTTCTTTCTATCCTTCCCCAGGACATTGTGCCGCTAAAGATGTCTGATAGTGTCGATATTGAAGAGAAACCACCAGCCCCCCCCTTGAGAATGAACAGTGGTTCCCGAGACTCTACATCAGTGAATCACGCATCTAAACCGCTTCCAATGGCTCCTGAAGAGAAAAACAAGAAAGTCCGCCTGCGCTCCATCTTCCCAGGGGGAGACAAGAGTGAGTTTCACCCCCACCTTCACATTCTGCTCTGCATTGAGTCACATAGTTACACTCATTTCAGGTGTTTAAAGATATCATAAAAATAGTCACAATCTTTTTTTCAAATCATCTGCAGCAAACAAGAAGAAGGAGAAGGAACGTCCCGAGATATCCCTACCCTCAGACTTTGAACACACCATTCATGTTGGCTTTGATGCTGTAACAGGAGAATTCACAGTGAGTATCCCTTTCACCTGACAATCAGGTCCCTGAATGGGGACAGATGTACTTCTAAAATGTACTGCCCACTTCTAAGCAGTCAGATTCCATGTGGTCACAGTGATGCAGTGAAATGTTTGGCTCCCTCAGAGTCTGGTAAAAGACTTGAGAGACTTAAAAAGCAGTTTTTCCATATCTCTATCTAATGAAACATGCACAGATTTCCTGAAGAATGTACTGGTGAATGACAGTTCAGTATCAATTTTATAATATAAAGGTGGGGAATTTTAAGATAACTCATTAAATTATGCTTTTGTATTTCACGCAAAGTGTTGTTTCAGTCCTTTATCATCAGCTACCAATCAGCTATCAATATGCTGGCTATAATTAAACAAGCGTACATGGATGTTCATAAAGTCTGGATGTTACTTTTGTCTGTGACAAAAAGGAATATAAAGGCCAATAGGTCAATTGTTACAGGTTGTGTTAGGCCAGGATTTAGCCGATCTCAGCATCCTGCTGCTGACCGTGCTGCTGAAAGGGCTTCCTTTAAACAGGCGTTCTCCAGATGTCTCTTTACTAAAGCGCAAGCTTACACATGAACAAAATTACATCCTGACAAGTCATTTTCACCGCCCTGTGAAACAGCCTGTACACTGAGAGGTAATTTGTCCTGTTCAATTTGACTACCAAATATTTGCTCAGTGCTATCGATGACGTGAGTGACGGTCAGTTCCGCGATCGTTTGTGCAGTGCTGTGTTGAAGGCACATAGCAAGCAATTTGGTTGCTTGTTCACATCAAGATTTCTCCCTTGAGCCATGCAGAAAATTGCTCCTTGCCTACTTAGGAGACTGGGCATAATGCTACACTCAAATGAATTATGGTGTATACATACAGCTAAATTCTCTCTTTGAAGTAATTTTTTCTCCTTTTTTTGGGGTTCAGATGGATAAAGCATCAGAAAGTGTCATTACAAATGAGCCCATTAAGAAAAAGGGTTTGCTCAAGTCACTTAAAATGCTTAAGGATGAATACTCTTCTAGAGTTTTTGACTTTGTCTGCAAAGTGTCTCAGCTAGTTGACCCAAAGCATTTGCATCCACATTTGATTGATGTTGGAAATGGTTACATTCCTCTTTAGAGCTTTTAACAAATGCCTTGTCTGTTTGTGCAGGGGATCCCAGAGCAGTGGGCTCGGCTCCTGCAAACCTCAAACATCACTAAGCTGGAGCAGAAGAAGAACCCACAGGCTGTGTTAGACGTGTTAAAGTTTTACGACTCCAAAGAGACCGTCAACAATCAGAAATACATGAGCTTCACCTCGGGAGGTAAAGCTCACAAAAAATGTCATGCAAAAAAATACCTGCATCTCAGATTCATTGCTGTGTCCAATAAAGAAGATTTTCAGCATAAAGTATATTTTCTTTTCTTTTCATTTCAGACAAGACAGCCCACGGCTACATAGCTGCAAACACTCTGGTGAGTTCCTGTATATCTAGACCTACTTCAGATATTGTGGGTTATTTGCTCGGCCTAAATGGCACATTTCATTATCCTCAATATCTCTGAAATGGTAACTAGGAAACGTGTTGTTTCATCTCCCTGAACTCTTTGGTTATTGGTGTACTTTTACACATCCACATGATCTCTGGCTCTCTGCAGCTAAGCTTGCCGCATTTTATGACTTAGAGTGATGTATTGGGGAAAAAATACAGTCTCTCATACAGATAATAAATCAGAACAATAACTTAACAGGTAAGTTTTAACTATATATGGCTTTCTTTATTTGTCCTTGACCTCAGAGCCAACGGCACCTCGGTAAATCGTTCTCACTGTTTTTACTGACTCTCCCTGGAGGTTTCTGGAACAGACTGTGTCATTTCCAAGCCTGTCCTTTTCACACAGACCCCTCCGATGGGCAAAATGTGCGTGATCCCTTCTACTGGCTCTCTGTCCCCACTGTGTGGCATAATTCCCTGGCTTTTACACACGGGCCAAACAGTTTTGCAGCTCCTGCACAGAGGCGGAGGCTGCCCACGAGAGCCGCCGCCGCTCTTTGTTTATATTTCCAATCTACTTGCTGGGTTTGCTCAGAGACTTGCTTCACTGGAGGCTCAGCTGCATCTAGAAGGACCCCCGCTGCACTGACCTCATTCCTGGCTTTGACCAGAGTAATCTATGCTGGGAATGCTTTGGCCTGTGCACATTGCGTGAAGGAGGAGAAGTGGAATCGGTGGGATTTGCAGCCTAAGGGAAACTACACTGGTTTTTCTTCACGCAGGGCTGCTGCTTGGAAGGGTTCGGTGCCAGAGAAGGACAAATGGGTGTGGCAGTCAGTCTAAGAGGCTAGGCAAATCCAGTGAGGGTATTTAGGACTATCTAAAACTCGTACTGTTGCAGTGTTCAGCAGCAAACGGAGGTGACTCAGCTATTCGCTTCACTAAGGAAAACTGGGATGTGCTCTCTTGAAGGCCAGTAGCAAGACGCAGATCCTCTGTTTCTTGAGAGAAACATCGGCCCATCTCTATCGGGCTGATATCAACACTGTAATGAATATGTAAGATGTACTTTTAGGTTTTGAAAGACACTGACAGTGTTTCCGATCAATTCTGTTTCATCGTTCTTTTGTCAGTGACTGACTCACGGCTTAACGTTGTCTGTTCTATAACAATGCCAGGACATTTTTTCTAGTTTGGCTGTTCATTAAGTTCTAATCCTAACTTTTGCCGTCAAAGTTTATTTTTGAGTGTCAAAGAAAAGATAAGCTGGCCAGTGCAGACAGCATGACCACCCGTCAAATAAATACACACACAGCATCTACAGTTTTTATGTAAGTGGCGTGGATTTCATCTCAAGTTTCATCTCAATCTTTAATCCCTTGCGTGTTTTACTGTTCAGTTCAACAGAAAATTAGAATACAGCGCAGCTGGTTTATGGACGTCTTCCAAGATTAATCTTTTTTTTTGTGATGGATTTTAAGAGAAAATTGTCATGCTCTTTTAAGCCTTCTTACAAAACATAACACCAGGACTTTGTAACACCAAAAATAGCAACATTTCTATATACCTCCAAATGTATAATAAGGATATTATAAAATCTCTGAATTCTTATCTAGTCTTGAATTTAGGTATAAGTAAGAATAAGTTCACGAGACGTGGCTCATAACACTGCCACTGTTTATTTGACCAAAGTTAAGCCAAAGTACACAAGTGTGAAAAACTGAGGCCCTCCTTTTCTGTTTTCATAGGAGCATAAGTAGGATCATTAGTAGCAGCCAGGAGCTGCCTGAAAAGAGACTTCCTCAAATGCATCGCACACACCAAATAAATAACCTTGCTACTTCATCATGCTTAGAATTCTGTCTGTCAACCTCATCGTCATTTGTTCTGTGCTTTGTAAACATGAGTGTAAAACAATGGAGATCCATATGTGTACGTACAAAACAATCAGCCCAATGAACTCATGAAAAAAAGATCCACATGGTCTAACATCTCCCATCAATCTCTCAATCAAGTTCAGATGAAGTAAAGACTAAAAGTTATTTTATTCAAGAAAAAATACCTAAGTCAATAGACTTTTGTTAAACAATCCAGGAAACAATACTGATTTAGTTTGATGTTGAAGATATAAAAAAGAACACTGGTTGCAGTAAGTACTCACCATGCACCACAAACAAGATGGTGGCGAAACAGCTCATACTGATTCTAACACAACTGATTGTATATATAAACCTTCACAGCATTGATACAATAAGTAAAGAAAGTCAAAAAGATATATAGATGAGTGAAGTTACTGTCCCGAAGAGAACAATGCTCTAGACCAATCACAGGACAGTCCTCAGGCAGCTTGATTTGTTGCTATAGTGTCCTCTCCTCATGCTGTGTGTTAGGGGCTGATGTATGGACACAATGTCCACCCCCCCCTGGACACCTCACCCTCCTCTGAAGTTCAGTTAGTCTTACAAACTGTGTGGGTTTGTTTTGAGTAAATCCTCCCATTTTCAACCTTCACATTCAGAACCGACTGCTGTCTTCTGGGCCTCCTGTCAGCCTTAGAACCTGCAGCGCATTATTTGACAAGGTAACTCCTCCATATTACTTTACATACAATGTATCTCTGCATTGGCCTTGTAGGTAAATTCAACTATTTGAACTGGAAAACATTGATCATGCCATCTGGCTTATGCACATTAGAGACAAATATTTGTCAGAGGCATCATCACTCTCTGTAATGGTATTTCATGGGGGTATGCTTGGATCTGTTGGATGTTATGTATGTATTTTATTATCTACAACAAGAACACGTTATTCAGTCCTCTTATCTAGCTGGCTGTCTGATAAGGCAGGGTAGTGGCACATGCCACAGAGGGTTGTGATGACTGTCAAACTGCATGTTAAATCTCATACCCTTAACAATCTGATCCACATGTCCAGTAATGTGCTTGCAACTTCATCACCATTTCAGACTGCATGGCTCTCTGGGAGAAAAGAAAATACACACGCAGCAAGCACTCATTTCTGCACTGCAGTCTTGGCAGAGTCCTCCTTGGAACAAGTCAGAGACCCAGTTTGTCTGAGTGAATGACTGGGACTTTCCTTCAGACAGACCCTTTCCTTTTAAGCACCAGAACGAAGCTGCACTGCTTTATTTATGCATGACGATGGTGGAAATGAAGTGTATCCATTTCATTAGGAGGAAGAATCAAGGCAAGTTGAGTATTTTGACGTAGGAAAACAATGGCACATTCAGTGTGACAATGCCTGAATCTGTTTTGGAAATGCATTTATACTCTAAAGACTTTGTTCAAAGATATCCTCCGTTATGATGCTGCATACTGCAGTGTTGCAGTATGTTATCTCCAACTGCACAGTTAAATATGTAATGTTTTCTTAGTTAAAAATTCATGCATTCATCACTGGTTCATGACACACCTTACCTTAACAGACCTCACTTATCAAACCCTCTCAGATAAACTGCACTGAATGCAACCTCTCTTCAGCTCTCCCGTGACTCATAATGCTTTCCTTATCTATTAACAGGATTTTTCCTGACTTTCAACCCTGATCATTTTTTCATTTTCCTACTTTGAGCATTTTATTTTGATTTGCTCCCAAATGATTTGTAGCCAATTCCATTGTAGACAATAACATGTCTCATTGTACAATGACTTCTCGGTCTGAAGGAATTAGAGTGTATCATGTGTTTTTTTACAAATACCCTTTTATGCATGTTACACAAAATGTTTTTGGACCTTTACTGGCCAGATCTCTACACATGGCTGGTTTTGACTTTGCAGGGTGCTCACTCCTGAGGGTGGCCACTCAAAACATTGTTTGATTTGTTGAGAGTTTTTGAGGATTTTCACATTCTCTTTTGATTCCATGCTTACATGACATGGCACATTCATCCATACTTACTTAGATCTCCACCATTCAGGGTGCCAAAACATCATCAACAGAACCTCCAATTGCTCCGCCTGTGTCCGAAGAGGAGGACGAGGAGGAGGAGGAAGAGGAGGAGGAAGAAGAGGATGAGGATGATGATGATGAGCCTCCTCCGGTCATTGCCCCTCGACCTGAACACACCAAATCTGTGAGTTCGTTTGGCGTAATGGGTGAAATCATTCCACTGAAGTTGCAAAGCCTTTGACATGTTCAGAAACTTTTTGTTGGGGTTTCTTCGTGCAGATCTATACACGCTCTGTCATGGAACCAACAAAGCCTCCAACACCAGTGAAAGAGGTGCCGACTCCACCAGAGTCACAGGTCCAACCAGAGGATACTTCCAACACAATGTATCGCCACACCGACCGACAGAGGAAGAAGTCCAAAATGACAGATGAGGAGATCCTGGAGAGACTCAGTACGTGTATTTTAATGGTTCATCATTGTTTAGTTATTATTAAAGATTTGAAACATTTGGAGGAAAAAAATTAAACTTTAATGTGAACTTCTGAGCGGTTATAGCCCCCAATTTTAACAGATTATATAACAAGTGTTTCCTGAGCTAAGACCTCAATATCAATGTGTTGATTTCTGTTTGTGTGTGTGTGTGTGTGTATGTGTGTGGTCTGAATTATTCAGTATGTTGTGATTCAAAAGACAGACTGAGTTTCTGCTTTCCAGTGGCTGTATTCTGCACAGAACAGCTTGTGCAGCATTACTTTGTACTGAGAAGATACGTCGGAAAAGTACTTTTCCCCACAACTTTTACCTTCCCCAGCCCACCGCTGCTTGTGATGTAACCTCAGGCCCAATGATCAGAATGCAATACGATGGAGAAATGTGCTCAGTGAGATAAAAAAGGCACAAAAAGGACAGTCATTATTGATCTTTTTTCCTCTCTTAGGGAGTATTGTGAGTGTGGGAGATCCCAAAAAGAAGTATACGCGCTTCGAGAAAATAGGACAAGGGTAAGTCTCACTGTGATCCTCTCCAAACAGAGCAATTTATGAACCGTAAGTCTCTGCAGGAGACTGAGAAGCACAGTTTCAGAGACAGGATTAGGACTGAATGATAAAGGAAACTTAGTAGACAGGAAATGAGAACTGTATCCCAAAAAGGCCAAGAGCTATATTGGCTCGACCATCCTCCCCCCCGCTCTCTTTTTGTCTTTGTTTTTTTGTTTTAAGCTTTTCAGCCAGCCTGTCAGTACATGACACTCGTCAACACATAAACATACCGTTATCACGCGCTATTTTTCTTATTTGATCAGGAAGCTTCTATTTTAAACAGTGGATAACTGTCTATTTACTCTCTGTCAGTTATCTTGAACTCATTACCACCAGGAAATGTGCTTCATTATTCATAGCTTGTGACATCAACAGAAGAGAAGCACAGACTCACAGTGGAAGGCTTTAATGTCCTCAGTTCCAGATATGGGCAGACTGCATGCACACCGCTTTGTTGTCCAGATGTGGATCCAGTTTATCAATGAAGGTTCTAAAAACAGTGTAAATTTCAGCATGTATACAAGATTATTTTTACCTTATTTTTGTGCTACAGTATTCACTAACATTTAACTAACAATTTAGCTTTTTATTTCTTTGTCAGCTGGAATTAAGCTTTTAATCTCCTCACTACATTCTTCCTGTTAAGTTATAAGGCACACTCACTTACCATAGAAATGTACATTTAGTGGATCACACAGAGAGACTCTTATCTTATCTTTTATATTGCTGAAATGAAAGAGATATAAGAAATGATTTGATAAATCCATTTGTCACAATCACATTGCATTAAATATTTTAGGATCAATAAGATAAAAGCTGATTGAAAACCAAAGTCATCTTTGAGGGGTCATTAATATGATTTTGTGTTTTGTCAGAGCGTCCGGGACCGTCTACACTGCCATCGACATAGCAACAGGCCAAGAGGTGAGTCAGACTGCACTTACAATTTTTCAACATTCGCATTCTATTCTATTTTTTGTTTGTCCTTCTTAGCAGTCTTATAACAAAATGTCTTTAATCATTTCTCAGGTGGCCATCAAGCAGATGAACCTGCAGCAGCAACCTAAGAAAGAGTTGATCATCAATGAGATCTTGGTGATGAGGGAAAACAAAAACTCTAACATAGTGAACTACCTGGACAGGTTAGTTTTGAAGTAATAAAAGACCTGCTTTAACCCATTATAAACTTAAATTTTGGTCGTGGTGGGTGAAATGTTTGGTATGATTAATTCTGACAGACCCATAGCAGAACTTCAGGGGTTAAATACGCTGTTTTGTCAAATATTTCTTATTTCCTGTCAAATGTAAGGGAAATGACAACCTCGAATTTCACAACTTGAAACCACATCTTTTTTTTTCAAATTTCAAATGTCATGTTAAGACTTACAAACACACAAAAAATAACAGGTGTGCCATAAATGCTATTGTCTTGTTTTGTCTCTCTTCTTCCAAAATGATACACAAAGCACAAATGATGGTATCCATGATGGTGTGAATAGTGTGACGCTGTGGAAACTTTGATGCCTACATTTCTGTTTTCTTCATCCGCTGCTCCTGCTTTTCTTCTCCCTTTTTATCTGTGGACTGCATGCCTACTCAGGTGCAATGCTGCACCCTAGTGTTTTAAAATGTAAAGAAACAAACAAAAATAATTTAGCAATTGTCCAACCCCGATCAGATCTTCTCTCAGATATGGTTTCCTTGTGCTGGTAGGTTTCTTACCTTAACAGCTTCATTCAGTAACAATCCTGTGCACCTTTTTCTGTGATGAAGAAATGTAAAGTGTTTTTAGTTGGTATGCTACAGATTTCTAACTTTCACTATTATCCTCTGTGGTTTGATTTTTTCCCTTTCTTTCTTTTATCAGCTACCTGGTTGGAGATGAGCTTTGGGTTGTGATGGAATATTTGGCCGGGGGCTCTTTGACAGATGTAGTGACAGAGACCTGCATGGACGAGGGCCAGATTGCTGCAGTCTGCAGAGAGGTAGGACACCAATTTCAGACACCAGCAAAAAAAAAAAAAAAACCCAACAAAACCACTATAGCTTTTCCCAGTACAGTAGGTGTTAGCCCCTTACATTCAGGTGGACAACATATCCCACAACCAGGAGAAGAGACTGTCCAGATTTTGTTTAACAAAGGGTTTCTCTTTGGAAACGTGGATGCCAAGCAATAGTTTTTTCATAAAAGATTGTTGGTGTTTTTTTTGCTTCATTGCTTTTTTTATCTGTCTTCATAGTGTCTGCAAGCCTTGGACTTTCTGCACTCCAACCAGGTTATCCACAGAGATATAAAAAGTGACAACATCCTCTTGGGTATGGATGGATCCGTCAAGCTCAGTAAGTCTATTTTCCCATTAGAGTTTTACATGAAGACGCTGGTCAGAGAAATGTTCAGTCTAGGATACACATTGATGCGTTCAATACAATTCATGCATAAGTGAATAGATTAAAAAGAAGAGGACAACCAACTCAGAAATGTACTAATATTCCCTTCCTGTGTTTGCGTCTGCAGCCGACTTTGGCTTCTGTGCTCAGATCACTCCAGAGCAGAACAAGCGCAGCACGATGGTGGGAACGCCCTACTGGATGGCGCCAGAAGTGGTGACTCGGAAGGCTTACGGCCCAAAAGTGGATATTTGGTCTCTGGGCATCATGGCGATAGAGATGGTGGAAGGAGAGCCTCCCTATCTGAATGAAAATCCACTCAGGGTAAACCCAGCTACAACATAGTGCTTAGGACTTTAGCTGTGATGAATGTTTCTAAATTGCAACAAAAAATCTGTTATACGTGTATTCAAACCTTTATTCAGTCAATTCAGGACCTAAGGAAATCAGAGATTTGTTTCATGAACCTTTCGTGTCTGAATGAACCCACAACTTGATTCAAAAGTTTAGAGAGGTTAAAGTCTGACTAAAGCAGAAAAAAATGCAATTTTCTTAAGTTTTGAATGATTAAATCAATTATGAAAGGAAGTAGGTCTCTATATCACGCAAATGAGCAAAACTACTCAACTGTGAAGCTTAGATTATCATGGTGGATTTGTCCTGACTCCCAGGGATTTAGCCAACATTAATTGGTGGTGTGTGAGCTCTCCAGTGGGGTAGCTCAAGACATAGTCAGGCATCAGGTGTATTCATTAATCCCATACATCTCCAGGAAGCTTTTACCAGGTCCCAGGTGAATAATGAGGCAAGCAGCTGGTGTGTGGCCAGATCTGCAGTGGTGCCACATTTCAGCTTCATTCCTCTCTAAATTTTGTTCAGTTTTTCTTGGACCTTCTACATTTTGAGAGGATGTACCAAGTTTAGCAACTTCTGGCAACCAGAGTGTTTTCATTTCCATAATGAATGCAAAACAATTTGCTAGTTATAATCTAAACTAACACTAATGCATCACAGTAGAACTATTTAATTGTCTAGTGTTTAGATTGGGGCTACTTTTGCTTACATTATACAGTCAATTCCACTATACTGAGGAATTCAGACTTTCCCCCAAAATCCTGAACAGGGGATTTAAAAAAAAACAACCAACGTCCACAGTCAATACTCACTATAGCAACACTTTATGTAGATTATGTAAGATGACTGATGAACATTTTGACCTTTGGTCCTTCAAGATTAGACGGGACTGAAAGAAACTGTTCTTGGAGGAAACTAAAAACTTAATCATCTAGTTGTGGAAATTGTGTGCAAGAGTTTCTAAAGAGCTTTTTTTTAAAGAATTCCCCCCCAGTAATCAGCATCTGAGTAACTCTGAATATTTCTTCTCAACTGATTACATTTCTTTGTATGCATCTTTGTACTCAAGCTTTGAAGAAACTGATAAATCAATGTTTTGCTGCTTTGTTTTTATTATAAAAAAATGTTTTCTGAAGATAAGGTCTGCAGTAAACACAGATAAAGAATCCGGCCGGATGGTCTTTGGGTTGTGACCTTTTGTTTGTCTTTGCAGGCACTTTACCTGATAGCAACCAACGGAACTCCAGAGCTGCAGAACCCAGAAAAGCTGTCAAGTGTGTTCAGAGACTTCCTCAACCGCTGTCTAGAGATGGACGTGGACCGCAGAGGCTCTGCCAAGGAGCTGCTTCAGGTAAAAGTGACCCTTAAACCTTTTTGAACAAGTTTGACTATTTTCCAAAGATCTCTGTATGTACACTTACAAATATGTTCATCCATGAGGCTGAATTTAGACAAGTATTCTGACCAATAGGCCTTTTGAAAAAACAAAAAAAAGTATTGATCTACTGCAAACATTAAAGCCCTTCTATTAGTCTGTTAAAATTTTCCATGGGAGTATTTTCTTTATCTAGAGATTTTATGTAATTACACTGTTTATAACTAGTTAATGGCTAGAAAACACAAATCTTTGCTCTCCTCACCTTCATACACGGTTTGATCTCCTCTTTTCTTTTCGCAGCATTCCTTCCTCAAACTGGCAAAGCCTCTCTCCAGTCTGACGCCTCTGATTGTAGCTGCGAAGGAAGCCATAAAGAACAGCAGTCGTTAAGGACGGGGCTCCCTGTCGGCGCCCGGGGCTGGAGCCCTGCCTGTGACGTGCGGGCTCATGGCGGCGGGGGCTTGGGTGTGTGGGTGGTGGGTGGTGTGACAGTGACAGCACAAGGAGGGGTTTGTGTGACTTACAGTGACAGCACAAGGACAAAAGACCCATGGGCCTCGGATGCAGGACGGACACCTGGCCTCGCAGCCTCTCGGCCCATGCTGCTGAAAAAGACCCTGTCTCCTCGTTTACTTCTCCAGCACTCTGTACATGTAGAGCAGTCCATCACGAGAACCTGTGAGCGTGTGTGTGTGTGTGTGTGTGTGTGTGTGTGTGTGTGTGCAGACCAACTGTGCGCATCGGTTTGTGTCACGTATAGTTTGGAAAGTAGTCAGTTTTGAAACATTAACGAGAAAAGACAAAAAAAATAAAGGGTTGGAATGTTTGAAAAGGAAGTTTCGCTAAAGCTGAAGAAAATGGGGGTGAAGGAGAAAGAAAGCTTTCTTCCCTGTTCAGGTTTAGGCTCGGTTTTATCTCCTGCTGTCCCTTATTAGAGCATGGTCAGGCCACAAAGAGCAACTCCAGACCCAGTGCATCCCTGCATGACCATGGCTCTGTGGAGAAATATCTCTAATCCTCCACAGATTGTCACATCTCAAGGGGGGGGCTTTTGTCAGTTTTCTGTGTGTATGTGTTGCTGAGTGTTTGTAGGGGAGCAGCTTCTGAGGGAAACAGTCAGGAATAATTTCATATAACCCACGTCAACTTGAAACACCTTCCAGTAGATCATTTTACATCATTGAGCAGTAGTTCTTATTTTATTTGAACGTCGTCTCTCAGTCTCTGAAAACACTGGACATTATGCTCTTACCTGCTTCTGGGTTGTTTGTGAAACTGGCTAAGTTATTTTGAAGTCTGATGTTCTCAAAATCATGTGATGATTTTTAATGCATGCTCTCATAGACTGTAGCATTTCAAACATGAATATCCACACATAGGTTCCATCAAGTTACTGTAAATGAATGAAAACTGTTTTTCTGTTCTTTTCTGTTGTAATCCCGTATACAGGAAAAGATCAATATAAAGTCTGAGGGATGGATTATCACGATTGTGCTGGGTTACAGGCACAAAAATCCAAAAGGCCAACAGAAGAGGGTCTGGGAGTTATTTAGCAGTTGTGATGTGGAGGTCTAGTGCCATGCTTTGTCACAGCCACAGTGCCCTGAGCTGCCCCTGCGCCCTTAAACCCTGAGCAGAAAACGCCATGGCATGAAATGCAGCCCAAACCACTGACTTCCAAACTGCACTTGGAAGTGGAGGGAAAGTACAAAATCCCCTTTTCATGCCAGCATGAACCACTGATTCCATATTTCTGACTGAAATCGTAAAGTCTGACCGTGGATACATGACAAAAAAAAAGTCCATATGCCGAATAAAGCGGTGACCATCGCTCTATCCACCAAGCCCCCTTCTATTTAAGATGCTGCTCATTCAAATTGTTTTCTTACATTTTTAAATGGTGTCTTATATGACTTTATTTATAAGGTCTGTACATTTGGTAGTGAATTTTTGGACGTGTGGCAGATTTTAGTAAGGAAATATAATCCACTGAGCGAAGTAGTGAGTGTCATTTCATGATTGTACCATTGCCCGGAGGTTCACGTTTGCCAACATTCCCCTAGTACCTTCTTTAAAGTTGAGACTCATTCCTGCATAGAGGTTCTCTTTTGCATCTGTGTTAGGTAGCTCCATCAGGCATTCCCAACGTAGCATCCCTTCATGTGTAAGTGGATGTGTGTGTGTGTTAGAGGGCTACCTCGGACTGCACTAGAAGATGCCTCACTCTAATTTTCCACTTTAACTCTGAGGTGCAGGGTAGCTGCTCAGTCCCACTGTACCTCCGTTGTACAGCAAATGTGCAAGAGATGAAGGAGTGGTAATGGGTAGGAGGAAGCAAAAGATTTTGTGCATGTAAAACAAACTATACACTGTATCTCATCTCCAAATAGTTTAAGATTGTTAGGATATGTATGTATGTAAATAGACAGGAAACCCCCAATTTTTTTTCAGAACTATGTAACTTAAAACGACAATATTCAGGTTGCTTTATGGTATGTATCAATAAATGTTTTGCACCCTGGAAATCGTTAAAGAGAAAAGCCAAAACACACGCTGTCTCTGCACTCCAGGATCCGCTTCTCCTGTTTGGGCTTTTATCGACACTCCTCATCCGGACTGAGAGCCGATGAATGCAGCGCTCTGTGTGCAGGCCCACACAGTCTGTCCAGTCTGAGTACCACTGCTGTCCTGAGTGTTAGTATGTGTGTGTGCGTTAGATGTATGTGGCCTATCAGGAAGCTTCACCGGCCCTGGGACATTTGGCCCATGTACAGGTCTGAACTATGAGCACAAAGGTGAAATTCGGGACAAGAGACGCCGCTGACGTGCCCCTTTTCTGTGGTTGCTCCTGTACATTCCTATCTTCTGAATGTGTAAACCTGTACACGTAGTGTGAAAATTCCTCTATTAATGTGTATCAAGAGAATGGAACAAAGACAAAAAATGTTACTTTTTAAATTATTATCTTTATTATTATTATTACTCTTATTATTGTCTAGCTTTGTAAAACTGCTGATCCATCTGGCATACCTCAGCAGGCCTTTCCCCATCTTTGGAAAAGGAAAACAAGTGATGGGGGAATGAGGTTTTGGATAAAATATTTTTAATTGTGGTTGAAGCAATAGACTTTTTGAACTTTGAATTGTGCATGGCTGTGTCTTGAGTGTAAAAAAAAAAATCAAAAACAAAATATTGCAGTTTGGGAACTGGACTGAAATAAAAGGAGGATGAAAACCAGATTTAGGGAAGTGATTGACTGATTATTTTTTATTCTTTATGCTGTTATCATGTGTTTTAGCAGTTTGCTGGTAAGCATTTAAAAAGCATAATAAATGCATGATAAATGTTTTATTACACTTAGCAGGTACCTCTGACTTAAAAAGACTGTTGGTCATCATTTTAGTCCTCACAGTGTAGTTTTTTAGAATAAGACATTGGTAAAAATGAGTATAAAATGTTTCTTAAGTTACACAAAATACAATTTCAGGATGGATAAAAGTAATACAAAGCACGTTGATAAAAAGTAAACGTAAGACATTCATTCTGTCCAGAAGCGTCTCCTCACCGACAGTTCACATCAAGTTTGAAGAACAGCCAGCAGTAGCAAAAACAGGCTGTTGCTGCAGTTTCCGGTGCTTTGATGGTGGCAAATGTCCAACAACTTTGGCCTCTGGTCACCGATGAGGTCACATGGCTATCAGCTGAGTGGCAGTGATGACCCTCAGGCTGAGGCTGCCGGGCATCTCATCGGCCATCGTCTGGCCTCTCTTCCTCAGCTGAAGCCTCTGAGGGTCTGAAGTGTCCATCACTGCTGCAGACAGCACTACCTGTCCCATAAATTCATCCTTCACCGCATTACTGTTCCATACCTGCAAAAAAAAATAAAAAATCAGAGACACTGTCTGACTGGAGTATAAAATGATTTTGGAGGTATCTTTTATTAATATCAATTTTAAACTAAAGAAACAGCGCATACTCTGGGAATCTGCACAAAAAAAGCTGCCTTATATTCCAACTAACTCTGGAATTACAATTTTTATGGCAGCATTACAGCATTATGCATACTGTACCTGTGAGAAATGTAATGTCACACATAGGAAACTGACCACAGTACATGGAGTCTAATGTAATGTCATGTGATTAGGATGGCATGTTCTTCTATGACAGTTCTCCCTCACAAAGGTGATAATCAATAATTAGAATGGTCTAACATTTAAGATAAGCCATTGGCATACGAAGGAGACTTTCGACTTACCTCCACAGTTACGGGTTTCCTGGGCTTTTTCCGGTAGAAAATAGCACTCGTAGCAAATTCTGGTTCCAAGGTGTCCTTTTTGATGGTGGACCTCACTGATTTACCCTCGCAGTACATGATGACGTAAGGGTCAGCACCTGTGTGTAAACACATGGGGAATAATGTAAATGGTTTGGGCTTATCACTCTAAATGGAAGGTATATAGAAGAAAGCCTTAGCATTGTAGAACTCGTCGGACCTCCTGTACTGTCCTGGTTCTGCAGGCCTTCGGCTCCATGGACGTAGATGTGAGTAACAGCTTGTGGATATCCAAAAAATGCACTCCAGCACTTTGGCTTTGGCTTGTCCTCCGTCAGTTCCCTGTGGAAGATGAAAAGGACTCAGACACTATTTTCTAATCTGCACGGTGAAAAACCACAGAAATTACACTTTCTCATGGACACACAAGTGTTTTGGTGAGCCAGATAGATCTAACTGACATTGTCTGTGACCAGATATGATTCTGTTCTCTTTGGGCTGCCAAAGAAAACAAGACCAGTCTAAACAAACTTTTCTGCCAAACTCGAACTGGAGGAGAGGAATATTAGTTCCTAAGAGATTTAGTGTGAAAATGTCATCCCCAAAAGAGGTTTTTGAATGTTATTCTTGGAAAATATCCATTAGTGTCTAAAATAAAGGATGGATAAAAATCACAAATCATTCTTCCACAGACTAAGACTGCATGAGTCACTCGTTCGTCATCTTCGTTGTCGTACCTGCAGTCTGAGTCTACATCTGTGAACATTCTTAGCATGTAGTCTCCCAGCGTCTGAGGTTTGAAGGTGGTGGGGATGATGACGTATCGACCCTGAGTCAGCGTACATCTCATGAAGACAGTCCGAGCGTTGATGTAGGTGGAGGTGGCCACGCACTGTTGAGTCAGGATGTCATGCATTCGGTACTTCCTGTTCAGCTCCACCTGAAAAAGATGGGGAAAGCATCTTCATGAATTTAGTATAACACTTTGCATTAAGTCATCAGTGCTCTCCATTTTTCCTCATGAATATTTCAGCAGTAACTGATCAGCTTCAACAACATCCATCAGTACTAAAAATATGATGACATCATATTGCAATAAACTGGTGAACATCTAATGTATTTAAAGCTGTACTCTTTAAGGAGAACATTTAGCTTAATAATCACAGATTTAAATGCCTAAAGACAAATGTTTCCTCACAATGTCCAACATCAACTGATAGCATGCCACTGTATGTTTGACATAAAGGACCTTCTGCCTCCTGGTGGCAGGAAATAGAAAGTGGATTTTTCCATAAGAGTGCAGAAAAGTAAGCTGAGCGCTCTTTAGGTCTTTCACTTGTATGAATAATGTGCTTTGTTGTTATGTCATTAAAAAAAAAACATATATGTGGACTAATTAGGGTTTTAATTCATGTTCCATGATAATCAGTCGTGTAATACAATGAAATTTGTCGTTTTTTAAATCAATCAGAAGGGCTAAGACTGTTATCGTTTATTGAAAGACTGGAAGTTGCAGAAAAAAGAGTCTGCGTCTGTGGGATAAAAGTGGAGGATATGTGACCTGGACTCTGACCGCCGTGAGCACACTGCTTGTTTTATTTTCTTAATCGCAGGCTCTTGATGTCACTAGCTTTTATTGCTCTCCAGAATGTAGCCAATTTTAGCAGCACCCCTGCCCGTGTGATAAGACTGTATGGTGTGGTTTGAACCTACCCAGGTCTCTGACAAGTTAATACCCTTGTGTGGAATACGATATCAGTCTGGCTGCAAATGGCTGCGTGCCCTCATTTGAATGGAGCAATGTAATCACAGTAAGCAATATCAACTCAGGCCTCAAAAGGGGACTGCATTTACTTTGCAGGTTGATATACCAGCTTCTCTGAGTTATGCCGAATAGTCCTTTTACTGCTCTTTTTTTATAATCATACACATGATTCTGTTCTATTTTTCAGCTCCTTGTGATATTGTGGTTTCATCTTACTACCATCTGGTATCACAGAGAGGGCGGTAATCCTAAAACCTAACTACCAGATTTTATCATTGCACAAAAGATTCAAATATTGACACTGAACTACTACACAGGCATTCAAAGTGGCTGCACCTTTCCGAGAGATAAGAGGAAATTGTTCCAAGTTCCACTGCTTTCGCCAGCTTGAAACTATTTAAAAAGCATGTGCGTTCTTTGTTTTCGAACTTGAATTGTTTAGTCTGTAGCCATTTTGCTTCTGATAAATCTCTCAAGTAAGGTCTGCCTGTCATTACTAATTTTAAATGTTTAACAAATGAGAAGAAACCTGAAGCCAAGTCAGATTCTTTTACCGCAATGATCGCCAAAGTGTGGCGAAATGTTTTCTTTTTTTTCAGAAAATAAACTGACCCTTCATTGACATTTTCATTCCAGACAAATACCGTTTTCCACTCTGACAATGATCGTTGCTCAGTGTGTCACAAGAACCTGAGAAATATTTGACTGTTTCAGTATTTTTCCATAAAATTCTAAATATGGAGATAAATTATTTTTTAGCTGAAAGTAAAGGAACAAGGCTGAACTTAAGACAATGGCCGTCTTGTCATGAACACCTACATGCCCTAAACATATACTCTTTCTCATGTCCCAGTCCATTTTCTGAGCCCCTGAAATACCATCACACCATAGCCGCTGGCCTGACTTGTCATCATCACACAACAGTCTTCTTTGTCACTGGTTTAATTACTATTTTCTTAGGCCCCTTAGATTTTAGAAATTTGTCCACCCGCCTCCATCCAGGGTTTCTTCATAAATATCTTTGAGACATAACTTACATGAAAATAATTCAGAATGGAATAACTTCTTGCATTGGAGCTGATATTGGATGGGATGAATTGCTTTAAATGTTTTCTAGGGACTGAATGACTGATTGATACTGTATATGTCATGTAGTCCACCCTTATGTCCGATCATGGTGTGGCCTCTTTGTGGTCTCTTTTGAACAAGGCAGAGTTGGTTAGAATTTACCTTGAAGACACTGAAGCCGATGGTCAGATTTTCCCCCTGACCAAACCTTCTGTGGATCTTCATGTCTCTTTGTTGCAGGGAGATGAGGACCTCATCAGCCTCCTTTGTAATGTCAAATAAGTACTGCAAATAAAGTTTAAAAGGAGTCAGTAAGTCGGGCGTGAGAGGAGATCATGGAAAGATGAAATGCCTCCACGGTCTGCCCTACCTGTGGATTCTGGAGGAATGTGGGCTTGTGGTTTGCACAGCCGCCGCAGCGGTTCAGCAGTGGCTCTGCGTTCTTGGTCCAGCTGCCGAAGTGAACAGCCTCGTTCCACGTCTTATGGATGCTGATCAGGGACGTGTTGATCAGCCGGCAAACATCTGCATCTGTGAAGAACTTGCACCAGTCTGTGAAGGACATCCTGTAGATAAAAAAAAACAAAAAAAATATTACTGTATGCAAGTAACTGAATATGATATCAGGAGGAATTGTATGTCACAATGTGGGGATTTAAGTTTATTAGCCTATTTCATTAATTACCAGAACTCGCCATCATCCTCCACAGTGATGCCAAGGTTGCCCCTCTCAGTGTCGCCAACCTTTGACCATTCTTCAGAGCTAATGGAAAGACAAAACAAAGACCCAATTGCTGAAAAATAAAAATCATCTATGCAATGATATAATATGATTGGTCTCAGATGGTTCAATGAAAGAACCCAAACCTCAGAAGAGGCACCAACTGGTGTGCTGCTCATTGTTGAAGTGCTTCAGACACCTCAGACATGAACAGGATGTTAAAATGACTCAAAAACCTAGCAAACCGAAAGTTAATGGTTCTAAACGTTTTCAGCCATTCTAATAAAACGGTGCTGAACTAGCTCCTACAGGCGTCCTCCTCCTCCTCACCTGTCACTCCAGGCTCCCTTCCACTCTGTCTTGCCCCAGGGGTTTCGCATGCGGATCAGAGGAATGGTCTCGTTTTTGAAGTAGGCCAGCAGCCCGTGACCCATACGCACTCGCTTCACTGCAGTTACCGAGTATGCGTGACCTTTCACCAGCCCGTTTGCCATCTTGAGCTCAATTTCATGAGGTTCTGCCTAAGAAGAACAGCAAAATATTTATTGTATCTGAAGAACAGACAGAGGGGCAGACAAGCGGAGAGAGAACAGACCTTAATGGAGCAGCTGATGATTCCTCCACGATCCCACACTTTGAGTAGATCCTCGAACAGCTTGTCCTGTCTTTCTGGGTCTTTATAGTAAGCCTCTACCTCCAGGTTGATGGTTTCTGCCACAGCTCCACTGAAATCCACCACAGCGTCTCCGGTGTTTCCTCCCTCCAAAGACTCATAGCAGCCAGAGAGCCTGCACACAAGAAGAAGAGGGACATCATAAGCTTACTCCAAATATTTAACAGGCAAGTGATTACTAAAAGAAAGAAATGTGTTTTTTATTGGAATTTTTTGTATCAGAGTTTGCCTTTATCACAATGTATGGAGGAAACATTTTTAAATCAAAAACACAATTTATAACAAATCAGTGGGAAGAGATATAGCTTCATTCATGAAAAAATAATCTAATTTGATTTCACTAACTTGGCATAGGCTTTCTCCAGAAGAGCACTCCAGAATTCATTATTGTGTTTTGAGTGGCAGTAGATGAGTTCCCCGTTGATGGTCGGCAGCCGGTCGTCCACTACCACGTCGACCCACTCTCCGAAGATCCAAAACTGAAAGTGGAAGATGCCAGCATACTTTTCTGGGTGATTAGGATCCCATTCCTGCTCCTTCCAGTCAGGAATCACCTGGAAAAACAATTAAACAAATGTTTGAGCTATACAAAAAATAAATATGCCCCCTTGTACAGGTTCAGAACCTCAGATTTAGAAGTAATTCAGAAGCATACAAATATACAAAAGTCCTCCTTTTGTTGTCCTATTTTGTGGGAAATGTCATCACATCAGCAACATGCATAGTCACAAGTAATTAAGTGCTGCTTTGGTAGAGAATATGGATTTGTGATGTGGACTATTAAATGAGACAGGGTGGCATAAAAGTGTTTTTTTATTTGTGTTTGAAAAGGATCAAAACTGCAAACTAAAAGCCGTCAAAGTGCTGAGGTCTCTGAGGCCTCACTGCAGAGGACAGACGCTTCTGTTCTTGCGTGTCACAAAGTCCTCTTTCCACATTTTAAGTCAGATATATTTTGCACCATTGGAGTTAATGTTTTAGGAATGACTCCTATTTAAATTTCATGTGGAGACTAGGAAAACATCTTTTCACTGTACTTTTACCTGTTAAAGATCATTGGATTCTAGTGCACCAATGGTTGGATGCATAAAAATAAAAGAGCAGCAGCTGAAAAGGTACCTTAACCCAAACATGGACCATTCCCAAATGCAGAAACATGGAAGCCAAGTAAACTCACCTTTTTCCAGAGGTGCGGTTTTAAGGCCAAGCAGGAGCAGGCAGCGACGAACCAGCAGTTTCCCACACTGCCCTGGTTCAGATCATGGGAGCTGATGCCCTCCACAAACAGATGAGGTGATTCACTTATCTCCTACAACACAACAAAGAAGTCATGCTTAAAAAAATTACATTTACTGTACATCAGCCAATTACATTTCAGTTTGTTTAGGGATGAGAGGTTTTTAAGTGCAGGAGTCTACTTTCTACGCCAGTTGTACAAGGAAAAAATAACGTGACTATGTCCATGTTTTGTGAGTGATCTGAATCCCTGATGGATACAGATGAACCACTTATTGCTACTCACCCCTGGTCGTTTCCATTGCACTAATCCAGGAGGCGGTCTCCTAAAAAACAAAGATGAATCGGTAGCTGGGAACTCTGGGTCCTCAAACAGCTTCTTATCCTTCACACAGTCCTTCTTCAGGTCATCGTAGTGTTGGTTTTTGTAAGGGACGGCCGAGGAAAACATGGCGGGGATGCTGAAGCCTCACAACTGCAGACTGAAAACGGACAGCGATTTCAGATCTTATATTCATGGACAGGATTTCCGCTGAGACGGTGACTCTGATCACTTTTTCTGGGAAGTGTTTGCTGATGAGCTCCACAACTCATTTCTGCTCTGCTTCATTTCCAAATAACAGACTGACCTGTGACCCAGAGTCCCTCTGGAGAGTGTACGGTTGCTGACAAGCACACAGGGGTTTATATGATGAGATGAGAACCGTCTTCCAAAAGCTGAAACGTTCACTAAAATGTGGCTATAAATATTATGTCCTGGAGGTTTACAAAGTGAACGTCCTCTGAGGGACATAAATCTGTTGCAGAGGAGGCTGAGTAATGAAGTAAAGACGTAATCATCTAGTTATTACATCAAATCTTAAAAGAAAATCCCTTCACAATCACAGATTGCCAGAGTCAGAAATAAACAGGTATCTTTGAGTTGTTCTATTGCATAGTATGTATTTAGTGGAAACCATAAACATTTCAGTCAGCAGTAATTAGCTATCTTAGCTCAACTGTCGAGGCAAATAGCTCAAATAACCACTGAAGGGAGGACTGAGGGGGAGTTTTTTTTCCACATTTGTTTCAGTCCCACTCTTAAAACTGCTGCTTTACATGGAAACAGTCAGTCCATAAATGACTAAATCTGTTAAGGGAAGTTTGCAGCCATTTTCGGACTTACAAGCCTTAAGCATTTAGAAGGTGTAAAAAATGATAATTTTATTTATAATTTAACAGCAGGTCACAAATGCCACTTTGTCACTGCATGGGGACATAGATCCATTCATTCCCAAACTGCCTATTCCCAACGGGGTTGCAGCGCCACACAGTGACATAGATAGATTTATATATTTAGGTCATTTTTGTGAAAGACTTTAATAGAAGAACTGTTATGGTGACAGAAGTCATGATGAGCAGCACAGCTGGATTCTCTGGGGAGTAACAAATCTTCTGTCTCTTTGGACTGTGATCTCTGTCCCTGATGCATCTTGACTTTTCAGTTTTTACCAAGAATAGCACATCAGGGCATTCCAAATGTCATTTACAGGAAGCTATTAACACTTAAACCTGGTAGTCAAGCATTTAGTGACACATTGAGATCAAATGTGTGGAACGTACAACTGATATAAACACAAACAAAGAGCGTGCAGGAAGAGGAACTTTGAAAAATGAGAGGGATAACAAATAGGAGAATTAGTTTGACAATCGCCATCGGAAAATGTGGGCAAGAAGAACACTCTGGCAACTGCCAGTACCTCGTGCATCTTAAGGATTCCTTTTCCTTGTTGCTTCACAGTATGGAAGTTTCCAGGCCTTGTACCTGCTTGCCTGACCCTCCCACAAACCTGAGCCCTACTTCTCCATGTGCACGCTCCACAGCCACACCCGGCTGTATTTGTCTTAAGGTGCCTGTGTTACTCACAAACCAGAAGCGTTTCATACCTGCCTGATCACGTAAATGAGAACTCAAACTATCATCTGACAGTGGGAAAATTTGTGTTTAAGGTTTGAGTCTTTGTTTTGTTTGTTAGATTATTTCACACATAATGCTCAGAAAAGTGATACATTTATAATAGGATATTAATCCTTATTGCTTAAAACTGATTTAAATGAATGAAGTAAAAGTAAATTAGAGGTAAAGTACAGAATGTTTGTTCCCAACATGAAGAACAAAGCTTTTCTACTCTTCTCATCTTGTGTTAAGGTGATGGCAGATAACATTCTCCACATTTTCAGCATGCATGCTCATACATGACAGTGGTGTCAGAAACTCGGTTAATGGTGTTGTTGTTGTGACAGAGATTTGTAGAAAGGTTTCACTTGAAACCAAGATAAATCTGAATTAGTTCAACATTAAAAGGCCACAGAAGGCTGAAAGTTGCTTGTCAAACTGAGATAGTCACAAATCATTAAAAGAATATATTTAGAATTGACAGTGAAACAAAAGCAAGGGGGAGAAACATGCCTGGGTTTTACAAATCACCCAACCGAAATTCTTTGAGGCAACACTCACCTGGCAGGATGTTTTCAGGAGCTAAAATTCATTCAGTGTCCCAGTAAGCTGGTGCAAAGTTTGTGAGAGTGGATCCTGCTTTTCTGTTAGAAAATCCACAATATGAATAAAAAGCCGTTCACCACTGTGAACTCAAACCCAATGCTGCTTCTACTGGTGAACGTATCAGATATGAGGGCTTCCCCAAACATCGACACACAGACACACAGCCCCACAAACCGGTCTGACGAGCACATCCCTGCAGCAGGAGGTGTTGTGCAAAGGCTGATATGGTCATTACAAATAGGGAGGGAAGGGGAAACTGAAACTGAACACCTTCAGTCCTACAACTCAGCCACCGGAGGTGAAACAAGTAAAAACCTGCCCTTCTCGTCTGGATTTATTTTTCACCATGAAAAACTCAAAAACAAACTGTGTTTTTTTTCTTTTTGTTATTTTTAGATGTTTCACTTGCCAGTAATGACGCTCAATTACTGCGACTGATAATGCTTATCCGGACACATCCAGATAACTGTGGAAACAAATGAAGTTGGCAGGCTCTCGGTGGTCTGGACTTAGCTGTTCCGAGAACGCAGAATCACTTTGACCCCGAAACACTGAGAAAATATCAGCCTATTCCTGCTTAAAAGGGAGGACAAACAAGGGTACTGAGGAAGAACCATTATAGAAAAGCCAACATTAATAAAATGAATCTATGCTGGAGTTCAGAAGAAATCTTTTATTATTCCAATTATGTGTGAGCTAAAATGAGTGTACTATTAGTAAAGGTTGACTCAAAGGAATTTTCTTTGTTGTTCACAATGATTTGGAAAAGATTTCAAAGGAAAAAGCAGTAAACGGTAACACTGACGTGCTTCCTGGTACACTGAAAACTAGGGAAACCAACTAGTTTTCCCTAATTTTAGAATATGTGCATGCTTATTCACATGTTTCGTAAATTGGTTTCTATTTGCTAAACATGATAAATTAATAAGCTACTAAAATCAGGAAGAGTTGGCTGGGCTTGGTCAAAAGGCAATGTACAATTACAAGCACTCCCTGTTGGGGTTAGTCAGCCTGGCTCAAACTTAAATAGCCCAGTCAGTTCTTGACTAACCTGACCACCCACATTTTGATGCTCCCATCAGGCAGCATTTAAACTTAAATGAGCAGAAAGGGGGAAAAAATTATATCTGGCCATCAAATAAGGATATGATGAGGACAATAGACATAATTTTTAGTACGATTATTTGCATTAGATGTCAGTAAAAAAAAAAGATCTGTTTTAACAGTAGTTACATCAAAGAATAAAAAAGTTAAAAAGTAAAAATGCGATCTCCTGGTGATATAAAAGAGATGCTGATGAGAACAAATGCGAACCCCTGACAGATGTGTGCACACGTACAGATTTTCCTCCTGATTTGCATTTTCCTTAAAGGCTTGTTTCTCAGTACTTTGAGTTTAAGCTTTTCCCTATGATGTTCACATTTTCTAACGCATGAAAAAATATGAGTTCAGTGTCAAACAGACGCGAGTTTGATAAAGTCTTTAAAAAAGTGTATTCTGTGTATTCTGAAAAAATATAACAGTTTCTTTGTTCAGAATATTAGTTTAATACTAGACTAAACAAGCCAATTTTGATGGATATTCGTTTTCAGTTTAAAACTACTTAAGAAATGCAGACAGTACTCAGAACCTTCAAGATCATCCACCGTCACTAATTTGGATACTTAAAAGTACAGCAACAGATCATTTGTATGTGATGTTCATAAATGATGGTTTCTACAACCATAATCCCAGAAAACTTGTCAACAAAGAATGCAATCGGAATGAAACACTTCAAAGCTAGTTTTTAAAGAGAATTCAAAGAACGAGACCGATTATTTTATTTTCCATTTTTTGGGGGGGGCATATTTTAAAAGATTTACTCTGTTCATTTTGGTGAGGTATCTTTTCCTTTTCCTTTTCATTGTTGGGGAAGAAATGTAAAATTACAGCACATGCACATTACAGCCAGGAGATGGCATAAAGCCCTTACAGTTACAGATGATAGCATCTCCATTTGACTCGTTCTTGCTTTAGGGAGCACCCCAGACACAGTAGGATAGCTGAAAGGATGGGATTTTCCCAGCACAAAGGTTTTAATGCAGCAGAAAGTAACATTGCAATGAAGCACACTGAATTTATATTCAGTGTGTTTGTTGGTGCAACTGTAAAATAAAAAAAGACTATCATTTTTACTAATTTTTCAATATTTTGTGGTTTGTGTGTCTCTGACAAGGTGTTCAAAGGCCCAGGACCACCACAGAGACCACAGAACTTTGTACAGCAGAGACAACAGGTAATATTGTAAGGATTCTAGCATATTATTTAGTCACAGCTGTACTGTAAAAGTTTTTTTCTTCATTCTAAAACAATAGGGCATTTCATCAGCAGCTGAGTAAAATAGATAAATAAATAAAATCTAACCTCTGAGTCAGGTTTATGTCAGAAGACCTTAATACTATCACATTTGAGGCAGAAACTGGATGCTTTAACCCTGCATTAGTTTATCCTTTTTTATGACAATTAGATATTAAAATCATTTGAATTGTGAATCATTAAAACTCAAAAGATTTAACCAATTAATTTTAGTTATCCATAACTTTAAGTACCCTCTACGTACTTTTTCTATTACTTTAAAGCCCATCAGTGAACAAGTCATTTAGTCAGTCCTTTTGTTTTTAGTTGAAGTTTTTATTTCAGCTACTCAACGCTTTCCACCAACTTGAGACTTTTCTACTCGTCATACATTTACACATTGTTAGATCAGGTTTTAGGAGGAGCTTGAAGAAGATAACACTGTAATAAACTGAAGACAAGAGTTGAAATACAATTGTTTTAATTGCAAAAGGATACCGGTTAATACATTGAATGAAGCACCGAAACAAGCCACTGACAATTGCAAAAATTCCACTAAAAAGGACAATGGAAATTTCAGAGAAATAAAATGTCATTCATTCGTTTAGAAAGGCATATGAAAGAGGACAGGACAGGGGCAAATTTACACCATGAAGAAAGTGTCCTGCGTCTCTAAAAACAACGTGTGCTGGGGAGCCCCTCATTCAGGCCATAAAAATATGTATTACAAACAGCCGTTAACAAAGAACAAGCTTTTAATGACCCTTTTTCTTCTCCTTATCAAAAGACGGTAATCTAAAAAAGAAAAAAGGCACCACTAAAGGTGATGAATCACACCATCCATTTTATATGATGGCAGAGGGGTTTACACAAGACAATCAACATTTTCTGTTTTATATGCTGTAGAGCGGTAATAAGCTGTAGGAGAATCCAGGAAACAAGAACATTGTTAGTATGTAAGGTTTACACATATGGCTGTTTGACAGAAAGAGAAAATGGCTTTTTTTTCTGTACAAAATGGTGGGTTAAGTGTCCCTGCGGCTGCGGTTATTAGCTGCTGTGCTGGTGTAACAGCGCTCTCTGCAGGAGAGAGATGAGGATCACAGCACCGAAGAATTTGTGAAAGTACATCTTGAGCATCGAGTGGCTGACTGGAAACAGCTATTCAAAGCAAGGGCACACACACCGCCTCATTCTAAAGACATACGACTTTCACACCACACTTCATCACAATGGAATAACTGCATGAACTTTCAATTTGAGCTCCTTCCTAAATCACACCATCAGGTTTCAAAAGGCCATTCCTATGGATAAAAAGTGGTTAAATCATTTTGTATTCCAAATGCATAGATCTTAATTTAAGGAACGCTACATGTGCAGCATTGTTTCAGTACATTGGGAAATTAATTGTGGTCACGCATTGTAATGCTGGCAAGTAGACAGTAAAGTGTCTGTTGCGGTGGTGAATAAACAGCTCCCTACTATGTGCTTCGGTGTCAGATTCAGAGACTTCTCAGGTTCGATTCCCTGCAAAAAATCTGAGAAGGCTCCCATCAGTAGATTCATTAGAGACACGATGCGACTCGTGATGATAGAAAAAAGGAATATGGCGATACAAAGTTGCCCACAGAAGCTTGAGAAAAAAAAGCATTTGGAGCTCACATGAGCAAAACTTGAAAAAAATATCCTACACGAGTACCTTTGATATAAATTAATAAACTTTATAAAAATGTAAAACCCACACATAGATTTAGACAAAAATGATGTTTTCATTACCCCCATATCGCAAAAACTATGCCAAGCCATGCAAAAGAGGAGAAATCCCACTACTGTTTATCGCCGTGATATAACTAACTGTCTTAGATGAGGATGATTTAATCTCGATATTAGCTTTACGGTTTAAAAGTGACATGCATAAAAACTCCATGTGTGCTTCATCCAGAATGTTCATAACTAGTACAATGTACAAATTTCTTCCCCTCCATGTCATTCTTGGTCAAAAACATCCTTTGGCTTTGAGAAACTAATCTCACCAACTATGCAAAAAAATAAAATTAAAAAAAGAAATCACCACAAGTTGCAGTGAAATCATCATTAAGGGGTAGAGGGGAGTTGCAATAAAAAACAACAACTTTATAGTAAATGTGAATTGGTTTCATTAAGATAAAAACGGGCCTACTTGTTTTTCCTTTGGTTGCTTTTTTTTTTGCACCGCTAGGTCCTTTGATTCAGCTTTTTACATGAATGAAAGTTTCATTATAATTAATTGACATCATGCATTGCAGTTTATGAAAACACAGAGGGTATTCACCACTTATAGCCTACTGTCTATGTAGAGGGTCAAAGCAGAGGAAACGCCAACATAAAGAGTTGTGGGATGCTTTGCTTCAACATCATCTTCTGAATCTGATTAGACAAGATTAATACCAATTACTTCCATCACATAAACTGAAAGGTCTCCATGATTATGACAGTTATAAAAAGGAGAATTTAACATGTGGTTTTAAGCAACAAATCCTCTGACTAATAATCCCTCTGAGTCAGATGCTGCCTCCCACAAATCCTCACCCTTACTGGAAGGGCTTCTTTTTGGGTTTTCCTTGTACTTTGACCATACCCTGCATTATGATGAGCAAATGCTAGACATTGTAGTGACATATGGAAGCACAGCAATGGACACTGAGCAGAGATGTTTAAGTGGATGGCTATACACAGTATTTACAGCGGGTTAGAAAGACTTGATCTGGCTTGGTGGACCTCCCTCACAAAGAACCATAATCTTTCACACATTTTAACTACTGGGTGAAAGGACAGCAGGACATGGAGGAACATCACAAATACAGTAAGTGATAAAAAAGTTGAGTCAGTTCTGGCTGAAGCCCCTAAAAATATCCATTTGCTGCTTGGAATTCTGTGAGTGAAATATCAAAATGTGTGCAGGATTTATCAATATGTGTTTAACAAGTGTGTTCCCCCCCCCCACCCAGCCACCCACCCAACCACACACACACACACCATGAAATCTCTATCAGCGAACTGTGCACCATATTTAGAAAAAAAAAACCCCACATAGAAACATGTCTGAACATTAGTGAGATGGTTTACTGTGGTCCAAACAGAATTTATAAACAGTTTGTGTCATTCTCAAGCAGCAAATGGGGTCATAGTCGTGGTGGCTAAGGCCTTAAAAAGAGATAAAGAGTGGGTCTCCTCAAGAGGTGGCACTGTGACTGAAGGAACAAAGCAGGAGACTGCTTTAGGAGAGGCTAAGGGAGCCGGCAGAAGGAAGGGAGTCTACATCGATTCGCCGAGAGAATCATCATCATCCAGAGATAAGGGCAGGTAGAGATCCTGCACACAAAGAGAAGCTCACTTAGTTCTTTACACTCAGTCGGGGTTGTGTGAAACTATTAGTTTGGAGGAGATGGGAAAAGAGGGGGGAAAACAAAGGGCTTTAGTACCTTCTGCTTGTTGTTGAGGCCTGGACTGGTGGGGGTGGAGGTGGGGGAATGCTTGGAAATCGGGGTGGAGAGCTGGCTGCTGGAGCCCGTCCCGTTGGCTGAGGCCACAAACGGCGCAGAGTGGAGCAGACAAAACAGGGACAAGAAAAGGGGAGGGAAACAGAAGCAAAGGGAGGTAAACAGTAGTGTGGATTAGTCAGTGTGCAAAATAAGTCTGAACCTCCATTCATTGCTCTGGAAAAAAAAAAAGTCAGTCCTGAACTGTAACCTTCCTTGGCTCCAGTGTGCAGATACACTGCTGGTCCAGATCTGTGAGGCTGATGAATTCTCTGTTTTTGTTAGATGACATTTTATTCACTCCCTTTGCATCTCGCCGGGTTGCTAGGATTCTCTCTGTGTGGAACATTGTGTTTATATCTAAGAGCAGGGTGAGGTGATGTAGCTGTGTGCGTTAAGTGCTTTAAAAGAGCTTTTGTCTGGAAAGATGAAAAGAACTCTGAAAACTATAAACCAGATGGCCAGAGTAAAGTTTAAGCCAACGAGAGTTCAAACCAAAAAAAAAAAAAGTGGAGAAAACTTGGCTGTCACATAACTGCTTCATCTAAACACTGGGCCAGAAAGAGACAAACACCAGGCATTTAAACACATCAATAAAACTCACCGTTAAAATAAAAAAATAAAAAAATCACAAGCCCCATTTTCTCAGAATCCTACAATCAGAAAAGCAAAACATAAACTCTTCTATGTGAGTATTTTAAAGTCCAAACACCAAACTATAGAAGAGCCAGTGTAACTATTTCTCTATCAAAGAAATTCCCCACATTGTTTTTGGTCTTGCATTTCTGTGGGGGAACATTATTGTAGCGATGAAATAATGAACTGAAAAATGCAGTTTCAGTGTAAGCCAGCATCAGGAGAAAGGGAAAATAGGAGCCAATTGTTTCAAGATTTCAGATGCTGAAAGAAATGGTAAATCTGACAATGTGAGTCACATTCAGGTATAAAGATACTCGAGAGAATAATTGATTTAATCAAACTAAATTTATCTAAAGAATGATTCCAATATTCCGATTGTTGTCTTTTCTTTCAAAATGTATTCTTAATGGGTGGTGGATAATCTCCATATTATCTGGTTGGAAAAGATTAGAAAGATCTAAAAACACAGCTGCAAAACTGGCATATTAAAGACAAAATTTCAGAAACTAGGAATCTGAATTATTGAAAACTCATCAGCATTATTTATGAAGTAGCTGTTAGAGTAAACACAGGCATGTCACAAACATTTCCTGTGCTGCGACCCCATTATCTCCACGCCCACCCTCCACAGAGGTGGTTAATGCTTAACAAACAGTTGCCTCTCCATCTGCTGTCTTAAAGGCCAGCCACCTCCACCATGATCCGGATCAAAAAAAAGGTGCTATAATTTTTAAGAGACTAAGAACTTACAGATCAGACGACGACCCAGTCTGCCGCGTTACGCTGCAAAGTCCCGTTCCACATTAACTAAGCCCTACATACACAGGCCATGGTTCACGTTTAATCACCAGATCTAAGAGCAAGGACTCCCTTCATTTGCTCTAACTGGGACTTTATCAGTCTTTAAAAGAGAAACACATGGATCATCTTTTTCATCTTATTTAAGCCGCTCATCTCCTCACAACAGGATACTCCAGCTTGTGACACTGAAATCTAAAACCTTTAAAAAAGGATGTTTCCATATCTTCCTAAATGCACCTGTAGGTGAGAGGATCCAAGAGCCTGGAGGCTTACCCAGGATGTGAGATGAAGGCATCACCAGCGTATTATTTGTTCTTTTTTTTTCTCAGGAAATGGAATTTTTCAACATCTGAAGAGGCCATGGCCCCGATTGAAATGCTCTTGTAGCAGAAATGGACACGGCGGTCTTAATACGCGTCATACATCAGACTCGGTTGATATTGATGATCGGTTTAACACCCCTCACCTCGCCTCCTCTGTTTGCATCTGGTGGGATAAACTAAGATGCACTGAGAAATCAATTGTGTGTCATTTACGAATTGGAATTAAGGGACAGACAGTCCTGGTATAGTGTGTCTCTTTTTGTGAAAGCAGATGTTTCCCCTTCAGCCACCACCTCATGTCACAGCTATGTAAACTCAGATAAGCACTCTTATAATAGTATTGTTCTTCCACATTAAAAGCCGTTCAAAAATATGTATACAGATATTTTCAACATGTGCAGAATCTTAATGGTTTTCTTGCCTCCTGGATATTGTTAAATGTTAAATTTCCTGGTTGAGAAACACCTGTCATCATTACACGTGCTGCTTGGTTAGCCATTTTCTATCATGTATTATTGATCCTAAAAGACAATCTCATCATTATGTGCCCCATCCCCCTCACACAGAGGTCGAAGGTCGAGCGGAGCTACATCCCTCGGCTATCGTGTTTGAATCAGATAAGTAAAAGCGTGCTCACTTGATTCAGCGGGAGATTTGCACCGCTTGATTGGACCAGGGCTCTTTGCTCCACGCTGGGGTTTGGGTCCCTTCATCACCCGGCATTCTGAGGGAAAAGGCAGATATTGGTTAGAAAAGAGCGCATCAGAAAGTTAGAAATCATAACATAGAAATCAAACTGAATGACAGTTTGACGAAAAATAATGACAAATCTGTGTTGAAGGCATGAGGTTTGACAACTATGTTTTTTTGTTGTTTTTCGTATATTCTGGGTCACAGTATTAATAAGGGCAGACAGACTCCAGACATGGCAGCTCCTCCCTCTGCATCTTCCCTTCTGTTTATACTGTCAGGCTCTCCTCCCTCCCCCCTCCCCACCCTCCTATCTGCCTCTTTTCATGCTAATTATACTTTCTGTCCTCCCTCCATCTCATGGGATCACACCAATTCTCTCTTCTCTTTATAACCTTCACACACTGATGGATACAGATGTACATTCATGCGCCATTGTTCATGTTACTCCGTCACTCCTTTGACAATGCTCGAGTCTGGCAGTCCATCCAGTCTACTCTGCGTTGTCTGGAAATAGCCCAGAGTCTATCAGATTCCCTCTTGCTTTCTATCAATGCTGCAGGTACACGTCCGCCTCCGCATGTTTACCTACAGTCTTGTATTTAACAGAAGCTTGTGACAAGTAATCACAAGGGATTTGAATCTTAAACAAACTTGCATCTGTGTTTGGGGCTTTAAAGGAAAGGGGGGTAAAAAAAAAAAGAGAAAAAAAAAAAAGATGTCAACGTTTTTCTCTGCCCAGACAGAAAGAGGACAGGAAAAAAAGAGAAAAAAATCAAGGCGTGTCTTTTTATTTCCTTCCCATGTAAAAGCTCAACTCCTTGTAAAACCCAAATCGGGTTTGTATATCTGTTCTCTTTCCGATTGTCTGAATGTGACGGAGCTCATCCAGATCGATGAGTGTTGTGGATCCAATGTCCGTTTGATGTATTGCAAAAAAATCCTCGCTTACACTGACGACAACTGAGAGATATCTTCAGTGCACGAGACGATCTGGCAAAAAGGCCCAGAGGAAACCATGTGGGGCGGGGGGGCCCACATCATTATAATGTTACTGGCATAGAGGGAGCGTAATGACAAATCAGTCTCGTTTCCGTGCTTTGTTCTGATTAAAGTACATACAAGATGCTGCAGGTTTTTAAAGGAGGACTTTAGGTAAAAGTGGGTTGTTAAAAATAGACATGCCAGAGTCTGCAGGGAGACTGAGTGGGTCGCCTTTACGATTTTTCTCCTCGACTTCTCAGCAGTATCACCACCTACAGATCAGCTGGCCTAAACCTGTAACCATACAGATTAATGGCTCTTCTTCCACCTTTTCCCATCCCTGCTGCCAGCTGCTGATAACAGCCTCTGACCACTATTCATAGTCTCTCTCACACATGGGTCATTTCCCCTCTTCCTCAGCTCTGGACATCAATATGTAATCGGCTCAAAAGCGTTCCCATTTGCTATGCCGCTCACTGTGCTAACTGCTGAGTTTATAATAACACACGCATTGGGATCAATTTTGTGCTGAACGTAATGCTTACTGGAAATCTCACCATTCTCGTCCAGAGAGAAGTCATCCTGTGCATAGCGGAATTTCTCTGGCCCACATGCGATGAAGACATCGTCATCACCAAAGAAATCTTGAAGGCAGGTTACCTGAGAAAGTAGAACATATGATAGGACAGAGGATTCACATACATGATTTTGGTACAATAACAGTGTCAACATGCTGCTAACAGCTTGGATTCGTTGATAATTCTTCTGATTTAATCTTGAATTGCCCATCTAAAGCATTCTGTTTATTTAATGATTTAACACATTTAGCAGCTCTGTCCATTTATTCTTGATTCTTAACCGTTATCAGATCATTTCTATCCACAAATTAGTATTATTAAAAAGGGGGAATTCAGTAAGTAGATGCTTGCTTACTTAAGCTACAAGTTGGATCCTGTTGCTATTGTCCTGAAAACATGCATTTTGCTACTGTTTTGCAACAAAACACATGCACACACACAAAAGACACAAAAAGCCTAAACGGCACAGAAGCTTTGCTTCACTGTTTAAGTGAGTTGATTTCCTTCCACGGGGTCTTTTCACTCTGTAGCAGCTGTTGAGACAATATGGGCTACCAAGCAGACAGATGTCTTCTGGCCACACCTTCTCCTCTGCTCACCATTATACAACTCAGACATGCCTATTAAAGTCGTTCAAGCTGAAAGCTGCTGTGTTCTTTTTCACACAGAGGGGATTTTTGTTCCACTGCATCCAAGTCAGATATTCAGCTCACCTTTCAACACCTGTTAAAATGTGTTCCTTCTCATTGACTTCTGAGATAAAGACATCTACGGAACAGCAATGTTACTGTAATGAAACCACTGTGGTCTGTTCGAGGTCCACAGCCAGACGGAGGGCTCTGCCGGGACACATGCCAGCAGAGTCAACGTGCATCACGCTTCCCTTTGTGATGCGCATCCAAACTATGAGCTGCAAATAATTTGAGAGCACCGCACCCCAGCAGCTGCCATCTTGGTTCCCAATCCTACAAGCTAAAAAAGTGTACGGTGGTGACTCGCTGGCGTGGCATCCAACAGCTGTACCCTAAAGCTATACCCCACTAAACTCCCCGGATACAGGCCTGGCAGAGCTCTGCCGAAGAGCAGAGGTTCCGCTTAGACTCCAGGGATCCAAATATAATTGGTTCCCCCTCCAAGCCTAATTCACAGGCAACACATTAGGGTTTTCTTGTGTTTATTGTCACCAAATTAGATGCACGTTATCGTTAATATATTAAACTGCTGTGTGGTAACAAGGGCATAGGAGGAGCTCTGTTCCCTTCAGGGCCAGCGGGTGGAGAGGAGACAGACATGGGCAGGGGATGGAGCAGCATGCTTGTTGGACAGAAGTTAATGTCTTAATAGCTTTAAGAATGAGCAGATTAAAGGGATCAAGCGTTTATCGAGCACATAGCCATTTTAATCTTTTTTAACGTATCTCCCATTCAATTTACGAGCCTGGATTAATCACACATGAACTGGGCTAACAAGGCGGAATACCCAAACAATGAGTAAACCTCTAAACAAATCTAAAGCAAAGAGAAAAATTTGCACTTTGAAATCCAAACTTTTGTAGGGTTTTTGGCAAAACTGGCTCTTTCCAGACTCCTGGTGCCCACCACCCAATGTCACAACAAGCCCATCCTTAATCTGTGCCTCACCAGCTGTCAGAACCACATGACCCCTTTATACAAAAAAAATTAAACACCACCCAGTGAAGCCAATGATAATGTTCTAGAGCCAGCATCTCTCCATTATCTAACTTCACAAAGCAACCAGTGACAGAGAAGTTTAATGCTGTCCTTCCACATTTGACAGCATTATACATCGCTGATCCCCAATATAATGAGTTCCCTTTCTGTTACAGGCTAAAACTGGTGCACGGAAGCGTTGTTATATATAGTCCCAGAAATACCGAGCAATGTAAAAAAAGGGATTAAAGGAAGCTAGTTTAGATCCTGCTTTGCAACCCATGTGAATACACCCACATTGTTCTATTCACTGTACACACACTCACTCAAAGAAGCGCCCATGCACTCCCTGGAACATTCCTCCAAATGGTGATGTCTGAATAATGTCCATTTCAACTAAATGATATACTGAAAGTTTTATATTGAGGAAAGAAAAAATCTGTTTTACAGCAACAGCTCATTTATGTTACATGTATAGATATAATATCAGGTTTTCGCTCAGATAAGCAAAAAGTTTCAATTGGATTATTAACTAAGATACAGAAAAAGACATTGCTGTTCTTCTCCAATAATGATTTTCACTGTTTGTGGTGCATCTGACCCATCCATAACCTGTGCACAGCAGCAGCAGAGTGGCCAGGCATGGCTGCAGGTGCACCAGATGCGTCTGGCCCATGGATCTGCCACTTAGTCAATGAGATGTGCACAGTCACGGTAAGCAGCTGGGCGCCTGGTCCTGCTTAAACGCCAGCCCTCCCCAACTCCGAGACGGATAGCTTAGCATGTGCTGACTGATGTGGCCTTTGCTTTATTGGATTTGCGACTCCTCCAGGTCATGCTAACTGGTTGATGTGGTGCTCATGTCGGAAATCAGAGCCGTTAGGGATTCAGGCAATGAGGCTGTCATGCAGGCTTTCCTGTCCGCATGCGATGCTTCATGGTGGGGGCCACGCCCCTCTCTGAGCCTGCTCGTCTGCCTCCCCCTCACAGTGTCCGTGTGGGTGTGCACATGTGAGTCAGATGTGGAGGCAGTGAGCTCTTCACAGATAAGAAACAGGGAGCAACGCAGGTAAGTCTCTATAAAAAGCATACTCAGCGTATTGCAAACCATTGTCACAAACTAAATCCATCGTGGTGAAGCTCATTGCCATGACAACCGCTTCTGCAGCATGGCAAGGAGCAGGCAGACTGCAAAAGCCCTGATAACAGGGGGAAAAAAAGAGGCTTTTCTTGTCAGCTAACTAAGGTATTTCAGACTGTAGAAATCCCTGAACCTAGGCACAATTCCCTTATTTACTGACTAAATTCTCTTCCTAGTTATTAACACTGAAACTGAATCTATTGTTCCGACGAGCACAGTGTGACCTTGTACTTGAATGATGCTTAAGCATTTGGTCTGAAAAAAAGGATTTTAAAACTAGCAGCAATTTAAGTAGTCATATCAAGGCAACACACATCCCATAGATTCAACAGCTTTCACAAATTGTATCTAGATCTGGCCTCCGTAAAGGAAAAAAACCCTATAAGTGCAAGTTACATTAACAAGAATGCAAAATAATTCTCCCCTGCAGTCGCAGGAATTAATATAAAATTCCTTCCAGCAATTGAAGCCTTTAAAAGACTGGATGAGCAATTTTTGTAGCTTTATGAAGACTCAGCGAATAAAGGAAAATAAAATTAAGAATGAAAGGGCACAGCGTGAACACACAAACCTAGTGGCCCCACCCTTCCCTTACTGAGCTGAAACAATGTGCGTTTGAAAGGAAAATGAGAATGATTTTGATCCGAATTCTGACTGAGAGGGGAGACCTGGCTCTCTACCGAGCATTGAGAAACAGCGCGCATGAAAAGTGGCCATTTTAGAAATCCTAGAAAGTCAATCCTGACACAGCTTTTCACCATTTTATCTCTGTCATGAGGACTTGAATCCCAGCCCCCTACACATGTAAGCTATAGTCTGCCATGAATAGGATTGACAGTCAGTGGTGGAATGTACACAGGTTCAAAAGATGACACGATATTTTTCTCCCCTTTAAACACCAAAGGCTTGCATTAATAGTAAACTCTCCCACCCACTACAGGATGTGGTATCTGACAGACCAGTCCACACCAGCTGGGCTCTCTTTGTGCCTGGGATGTGGTCTCCTAGCAACCAGTCCCAGCAGCTATCACAGCAGAATGAGGAAGAGGAGGATCGGCAAAGAGTCAGGGAGGGGCGGGCACTGCATCAATATTGCTTCTACCATATCACCTCCACCACAGAGCAGCTGCAGTGTGCCTCTGCACACAAAGACCCCTGAATATTGTTCCTTGCTTAAATTTTCTCACATTTCTGTGCATTGCAGTGAAACTAGCACCGCTTGGCACGAGTCAAACACGAATGGATAACCATTATGAAATCATCTATAACGCACAGCGAAGACCGACATGATTTAATATGATCCAAATGGAATATTTGTAATATCGTGATGATTAAGTTCACTTTATGGAATCACTTGGTTAAAAATTCATGCCAAAAGAATAATCGCACAAGGTAATTGCTGAGTGATAACCATCTCCAATCAGGATTTTGTCCAGAAACCATTTTAAGACCTGGGGCAAGCAGACTGCACCCCAGGGAGAGGGCATTAAAATCAAATTCTCCCCCATCTATCATTTCAGATTATCCTGCCCCACCTCCCAGACACATGCGATTTCCAGCCTCAATGCAAGAAGAAAAAAAAAAAAAAAAAATGGGGAAAACAAGGGAAAAGAAAAAAAACTGAAAGCACAGTAAAACTGTGCTTTTAGTCATCTACAACACGGCAGGATCTTTATCAAAACTTTTTTTTAAAGTTATTGTTGCACAGCTAAAATCTGACAGTGTACCACCATCAGACTTTAAAGAGGGACTTGCATCTGGAGACTTTGCCGTAGCCTTTCCGGCTGGGTGGCTTGGCATGACGGCTGCTGTTGTGCTTTGAGGCTACAGTAAGAGATTTAAAACATGAATAAATAACTATGTTGTTTTAACAGGGCGCTGAAAAACCAACAACAAGAGCATTCTCCAGAGGATGGTTTTCAGGGCAGGTTAGCGCCATGTGCCTCTACTCTTTTGTACATTTATCTCAAACAAAGGCAGCAGAATATTTAGAATGAATCCGTTTTACAGCTGCAGCGCAACACTTGGTAAACATTTAGTAGCAGCAATTCCCAACATGGAATTGACGAGTCGTCTGCATTTAAGTATGTTCAAAAGAAATCATGTCCAAGTAAGCAGTTGATTAATACGTTTTCCCTTTAAATTGGACCATTTGGCCTCTCTGGTATTCATTTGGTTTGGAGTTCAATAATGAAATAAACTTTACTCCCAATAAAATAACCAGAGACACTTTGTCTTTCATTCTTTGACTTCTGGTGCACTGAAAAACAAATGCTTGTCCTTCGAGCCTCGACCTTATTAATGTTTTATCCCAAATGGCAGACAATCTCTCCATGAAAAGGAAAAAAGCTAATAAAAAGGGTTATCTTATCATTTTTAAATATGTGAACTAAATGCAAATGATTTTTCCTCGTATAGGCTGCTCTGACCTCACTCACATTATTATATACCACAATCATCATTTACACTCTCAAGCTGAGTAACAAAAGCATAAAACATTATCAACCACAACAAAGCAGGGCATGGCTGTTTATGCACAACCACTGTGAGAAGAAGAATCAATTTCCCAGGACATTAAAGTCTTTTCATGACCAATGGAATAACTAAAACCAATGGCCTAGAACCTGAACAAAGGCTGCTGGAAACAACACTTATGTCCTGAACCACAAGACAGGAGAATATGTTGTCTCAAACTGAAAGTGGGAATAAAGCCCGCTGACAATGGGCGTCATTGTATAGGCAGGTTGTTTTCATCTATGGTTAAGTTTCTCATGAATGCACCAAATCCCTCTTGAATATGGCAGAGGCAAACAGTCATTTAGCTGTTCTTTTTCCTTTTAATTTCTTTTGCAATCCATTTGAAATAACTTTGGCCCTGCTTTCATCCTTGTGATACCTACCTGTGTCGAGTTTCCTGAATGGCAAACTGTTCTCACTGCAACCGCAATGTTGGTTCCTGTTGTGCAGCTTTGTTCACATATTTTACAACACCGCCTTTATTCTACCTGCTCCCACATAAAGCCCTCTCCAAACTAAACAAATTCCAGCAGGGAAACCAACAGAAGCGCGACACATGTGAAGGTTAGAGTTTTCCATATGCATATAACATAATAACTGAGGAGTTGGGGCGGCAGATGTGGCTCGCGGCCTTTCAGCTGGAATTTGGGCAGCGACTCACCTGCTTGCCATCGAGCGTGTAGATCCTCTTGACCACGCCGCTTTCCAGCTTAATGGCCTCCGTGATGTCCGTGAGCACCTGCTCGAAGGAATGCGCCGTTTTCTTGTTGAGCAGGACGCGCACGGCTTTGCGGGGCTTCACGCCGCTGCGCATCACCGTGACCAGCTTGGGTCGCACAAAGTCCTTGCACTCCCTGGGCTCGCCGGCAGCCTTGGCAGCCAGGGACTGCATGTTCTTCTGGCTTGCCGACGCCTTTACATTCACAGACCAGTTTGGATTGACGTTCTTCGTGTAATCGACTTTCTTGTAGAAGTTCTCGGATGCACAAACATAACTTTCCCCTACAGGGGGAAAAAAAAGAAAGAAAAAAAATGAGTTAATGCTTTATTTCACTCAGCTATTTGACAGTCTCAGAGGGCCTATTCACTCAGCAACATTTTAACCTCCTGAAACTCTCTTGCCCTGGCAAATTTAATTTGTTAGAAAAAAAAAAAAACTGTGCTTAACCGTTATGAAATCAGCTTTTCCTCTAGTTGGTGTCAGTTTCATTTGCACATGTTTCAATGCACTGCAAGGCTTTGACCAGATTTTTTTCTGAACAGACATAAGTTTTTCCAAATGTTATTTTTGATCCTTTGATAACCACAAATTAAATTCCACTGATCCCCCCACATACTGGGAAGGCAGCAGCAGGAGCAGTGAGACTGGATGACTCAAAGCTGAAAACTGCTGCACTGTTAGCCTCTGGGTTGGAAATCATACCAAAGTGTTTGGATTTTTATGGGTTTTTTTTTTATATCTACAATGATGTGTGCATAGAACTAAATATCAAGTTTCCTGTCAAGTGATGAAAGACGCACGAAAAACCTTTTCTTTCGATTTTTAGGATTAAAGATGTTCCAGACTTCACAGTGTGACCATGTTATTGAACCATAAGGAAAAAGGTTTATACCTTTAAAAGTGTAATTTGTCGTATGCACCAATGCTGCATTCAGCAACAAATTCTTCCCTCTATTACACCTATGTGTTAAAATGTGGTTGGTGTGATAGGTTTGGCCATGCCCCCCTTCCCCCCCCTGTATATGTAGTTAGCCACTGTGGGAGCCCTGCTTGGAATTTTTCTTTCTTTTGTGTTGGTGCACTTGCGTCATTGTGACTGAGGAAACTCTGGTTAAGAATTGACAAAGTCAAGTTGAAGTTTCACTTGTTGACCTCATTCTGAGGGTAACTTTGCCTAGAGATTCAAACTGAATAAAACCTGCAGGACATACCCCTCCCTCTCCGCTGTGCTTCAACCACTGGCCCAACTCCTCTGTGTATGCACAGAAACATAACAGAATGCAACATACCTACAACAGCTTCACATCTAACAATAAAATTGACCATTGCTGCATTTTCCTTTCTGTTCCCCATTTGGACATGCCTTCAGTATCAAATCAGCCAGAACACTAATGTTCTACATCTTTTATCGATACTCTTACACTATGACATCAACTTTTGTTGGAAGCAACTGTGCACCATATTTTCAGCAATCGCCATACTTTTCTGTTTGGAATGGGTTTATGACGGGACACTTATGAGCTGTAGGAGACAACGAGCAACACTACAGACCAATCTTGCATGTGACTAGCTGTTTCTACCCTTACAGGTCAATGTCCTTGAATTGGACATAACTAGCAAAGTACTATCTATCATCATTCGGATGTTTTGCTTTAAGCAGCGTTTCACAAACCCCACCCTCAAAAATTAAATCTCCCGGAACATCTTGGCTAATCCAAAAGATCATCACCAGATTATTTCAGAAGGGACAACCAAACCAGACCCGCCCACTGGCACCTGAGGTAAAGGACACCAGACACGAGTTCATAAAGCGCACAACCTCAAATAACCAACACTGCACTAAGTCTTGATCCAGAATTGAGGCAAAAACAAACAGAGAGGCTGCGTTAAATGTCAAGACGACCCATGAGACCACCATCAAGGCATCCATCATTACCTTCCTTACAATTACACAGGATCAATCAGCATGCAGCTTTCAGGCTGCCTGGTTAAATGAGATATTCATGGAAGATTTTACACAATGACAACACTACTGACTTAGTCCTTGCCGATAATTCTTTTACGGTTTACTGAATACTTTTTCTTCTTTTTTTTTTTTAATACTGTTGCTTTGTAAATTTAATTTTTTTTTTTAAAAAAAAAAGGTTAGCGCTTATTTAAATATAGCTTGTTTTCATAGTCTTTTATCTGCAGGCTGTGCTGTTTTTTTCTGTCAGGTAACTTGCAGACAAAAGGAAAAAAAAAAAACAGGAATGTTGGCAAAAAAAGACAATCCAGACAGCAGTAATTACGCCAGACTTGAAGAAATTATGGCAGAGACAAAAGGGTACAAAACTGGATTACACTGAGCTGAGGAGATTGAGCAATTAATTAGATCCCGCAAGAGGAAGCACAATGAAGTGCCCCCCTCCCATCAACCACGGTGCTGCCCCAACGTGCCACACACATCCAAACCCACCCACCCGCACTCCCGTCTTTCTTAAGCAGCTCAAGAAACAGAGATGATCGGTTTGTCTTAGTTAAGCTGCAGCTTATCTTTCAGATGCACCCCAAACATGACCAAAAAAAAAGTCCACCCCATCTCACCTCTTTAGCAGAATCGTTTTAAAGTGGGGGATATAATCATTTTCAATATTATTTTCTTGGATTCAAACAGATCAGTTTACAGAACTGTTATTTTTTAGTTTCATTCTTCGGAACACAGAAACTGTAGATCATCTTAACCATGTTGGCTTGTGATATTTATGTACTTTAGAAAAATCCAATAACAAAAGCTGTAAAATCTCTGGCACCAGTGTCCGGTCTCATGCACAAAGTAGTCGGACAGCAGCATTCAAACTGGGATGATAAGATCCCGTGTCCTCCTAAAACATGCATACCTTCCTCCAGCTCCTCCAAGGAAGTGATCTTGCGTGAGCCATCAATGGAGAAGATGAAGCGGACGCCCTGCGGCAGGTTGATGTGGTCGGAGAGCGAGCGCGTGAGGTCAGCCAGGAGGGAGTCGAAGGAGCGAAAGCGGTCGTTGGCGATGGCGTACACGATGCCCTTGAAGTATCTGTCCCCGTTGCGGTAGAAGCGCACCTTTTTGGCTTTCTTCTCGTTGGTGAGGGCCTGCAGAGTGCGCGTGCGGTAGAAACTGCAGTGGGCACTGTGGGTGGGGCTGGGGAGGCCGTTCATGCGGCCCCCCCGCGGGGTACGCGACGCCTTGTCCCGCTCGTCAAAATGTCCAAAGTCTAGCTCCATGATCACTGAGAGTTATGGTGGTGGTGACAGAAGTGAGGTGATGGGGACCAGCTCCGGAGAGTCTGAGAAAATAAAAAGGAATAGTTGAGTTATGCCGAATGCATGTGCACAAAACAAAGAAACATTTCTTTTTTTGTATTACTACATAATCCACTCTTATTAAAATTATTTAATTGTCTTAAAGAGTTGTAAAATCACTTTAGTTGGGCTTGGTGCAGACCTAATCTGGAAGTGAAGAACCATTTTGCTGATTATCGTGATAATTTAAGTCTGGTGATGGCTGTAAAAATCTAGTTTAGACACTTTTACACACATCTCTTCGCATTGGAAAAGGGCTCATTTTCTCGAATTACTCAAATGTCAAATTCTACGCTTAAATCTGGTTTTAACTCGATTGGGGATTCCCGTGTGGCTAATATAAGCATCCGAAAATAGGATTACAGACAAGGATGGGAAAAACATTGTTAACAGATTAAATTGAACATTTGCATTAAGTTCTACGACTGGCAAACCTACGGTGTTAAGAAAATAGAATTTCAGACTATATTTAACTATTGCTGGATGCATGCCCTTAAATGATGTAATTTCCAAATGATACATCTGCGTTGGCCTAATTCATGTGTGACATCACAGGATGAGTCTGTCTGCTTTGCTGTATTCCGCCTACAAGCACCTGTTCAAGACGTTTCAGATGACTCAGTAATTGGCAAATGACGAACCACTAAGCAAAAGGGGCGGTTCAGAAAATTATTCTTCGATTGCATCTTTGGAATATTTCTGAACTGTCCAATTGGAAAATCCTCAAAACTCTAAGGAGATTCTGGGTGAGCTGCGCATCTAACTTTGTCATAAATGGGCAAAGTGACATGTCATTGAGAATAATGCACCATTTAATTTCTTAAATTAAATATTTTATAGTTATAAATGAGAAATCATGAGTGTAATTTAATTTTCAAACCAATGATGATGAAACCGAACAAATGGGTTTCAAATAGAACGAAAAAGTATTAACTCCTCACACAAACCCATTTTGGCTTCTCACTTATTTTGTGGCAGTTTCTCAAAATATCATGAGACTACATTATTATGAAATCATTTTCATGTACACAAAGAAAAGCCCACACAAAACAAATCATTCATTTAGATTTGACATTTACACAAATTTCTGAGAGATTATTGTTTGAGGTGGATGATCAGTGACCAGCTTTGAATATTATAAAAGGACAAAAAGGCTTCTCTCATTATGTCCATCATTTAGAACTATATTAAGTGCATATTTGGGTTAGGACAGGTGTATCACCCCTTTTCAAGGGAAATTATGCAAAAGATTCACCTGTTCTATCAGCAAACAATAAGCCAACTATGTTTAGAGGTGGACTAATGCAAAGTTTGCAACAGCTTTTCAGGGATAATAGTTCCTCAGGTTAAACTCCCACATTTAAATAGCTAAATACCACAAAACTCACTGGGCCATATCTTTCCAGCTGATCAAACCGAAGCACCGACCCACACCCACTGAACACCCACACCCATCCACCACATGAAAGAGGAAGTTGTCTATGAAATGATGAAAGCTCGGCTCTCCTGATGCCTTATTCATTCAGGTGAACAACACTTTGGTCAGTACCAAGTTCAATATATGCACAAGAAAGAAACATGAGTTAACTGTTTCTTTACCAGGCCACATTTGTCACTTCATCCCATGTATGATACTGAAAGCCAACTGACCATCTCATATCAGCCAAATCTTTTTTTGCCCCAAAATACAGATATTTAAAGTTTCCTCCAGTCTCATTCTAATGTGTTTTTCAAGCAGTTCAATGTTGCCCTGGCATGAAAAAGATACCATGAAATTTGCATTGAGCTTTCTCAGTTCCCCTTTCTGTGCAAAATCAAAATCAAACCCTCTTCTGAACAGAGTTATCACTATCATTTTAGGATCAATTATATAGTCTTGTGGCAGAAATATAACCTTTGACAATCAACTCAACGGGGCTAAATCTTTTTAAGTGTCATTCTGTTGCTTGGATAGTTTATTCAGGTACAATAGGTCAATTTGTCTTTCTCCTATTGTTAAACAACAATGAAGTCAAATGTATCATCTGTCGCTGCTTCTAACACATAAAATTAACTCACTTCTTTGTAGACCTTCCCTTAAACAATGAAATCATCCATCACTTTTGCCCCGACACCCAATAAAACGCACATCATCACAAAAAGCTGGACACACACAACCGCCACCCCTCCATGTGGCAGGGCCCTGCGTCCACTCCCATGCCATGACTGAGATGCTGACTGGGGTGTTTTATGACAGGAGGAAGGGGGGGTGGACTTCAGTGGAAGGGGTGCTCCTCAGCTGACAAAGGCCAGGTTTTCCAGCCCATCTGCTACACTAATAGGCTGAGCTAACAGTGGAGTCTCAACTAGGACAGTCCATTGTCTCAAACAGGGTTCCTGCCTCCAGAGTGACATCACCGTCCTGCTGCTCCTGCAGCAGCCGGCTCAGGTTCACCAAGTGCATCCTCTCAGTGGGGCCCATCAGAGCTTTTCAGCATTAAACTGCAGGACAGTCTTAAAACACACACACACACACACAGAGACATACAAGATGACCTCTTTGTGTGGGTTGCCGGTGATGGAAATGAATGGAAATGAGCACCACTCCAGTCAAAAGGCGGATGTTCATCCAAATTCATTCCAGACCTGCCGTTAAGCAGCACTGCAGCAGCACTGCGTGGTGTCATTGATATTTTTGGCGTCTTCTCTGTTCCTGACTGAGCCACCCACACAACACCCCGGTGACCGCACACTTCAGACCAACCAGCCCCACGTTCCCCACGACTCCCCAGCCCTCATCTCACACCGATCCGCGCACAGCGTCTTTTTTCATCCATCCATCCACCCACCCACACAGAGATAGTTGTAAAACACAGCCCCAGAAGCGGGGATACGAAGTTTTCTCTTCTCATTTATGATGGATGAGCACGGCCACATGGCAGAGCAGCTGTTTAAAATGTTTGTCCAAAGGGAAGGGAAGGAAAGGAGGTGGGTGGATGGGTGGTTTTAGGGTGTGCGCACACCTACTCACAACCCACCTGCTAAAACCCAGACCTGACAAGAAAACTAAAAATAAATAAATCCCATTCAACAAACTCATTCGTCTACAGGTCAATTTGCCAGCCCAGAGCATAAAACCACGCGGGTCTCGGGTCCACCGTGAGGGGTAAATTGGAACGGAATCCCACCCAGCTGCGGACTCACCTGCGTCGCTGCTTGCGGAGTGAAGGGAGTGTGTGTGAGTGGGGGAGTGGATGAGAGCGTGTGTGTGAGCGAGTCGATGCTGCAGGATAGCGGCACGCCGTCTCTCCCCTCGCCTTTGTCTGCCTCAGTCTGAAAGCAGAGTCGCGGTCTGCCTCCGTGGAGGAGCCACTGGGTCCTAAAGAGCAGCGGACCCGCCCACCAAGGGAAAACAGGTGGGAGTGATCCAGGGCCGGGGTGGAGCTGACACCAGGGTCACTGAAGGTAAGCTGCTTGATCCCCAATGTCCAGCTTGTGTTAAGGGAGATGATTTATAATGATGTCGTTGAAAGAGGAGAGGACTTTTATTTTTCAGATGCCACAAGACAATGAGGCTGGACCGTCTGTCAAGTGATGTTTCTAAATGATCTTCTCTATATTTGCTGTGTGGGTTTTATTCTGAGGCCGACTTTATTCCAGCCCGTAGGACTGTGGTTCTCTGTGAGAAACTCACCGGCCGGGGCAAAACCACCGGGAGTCTGTTCCTTTCAAACGAACCACAGTTTGATGCTCGGTCTGGTGGAGCTCTTTGTTGGGGGCAGATAAAAGGTTGATTACCTCAGTGCACGTGTTTGACTTTCCTGTCTCTTTCTCCTAAAGAAGCGTTTCATTGGCAGTGGCCCGCACAGTAAAAGTACTTGAACTACTTTAAGTTTACCCATGTTCAAATGTCCGGCCCTCTTCCTCATTGTTTCTTTTGACTGAGCATGTGCACTGCAGTCTGAAAATAAATTCCCACAGCATCAATGCTATTGTATTGTTGTCTTGAGTTTTTCTTTACAATAGGTCATCTCATGTTTGCGCCGAGTGCTGACATGAGTGATGCCATGTCTGATGATGGGAAAGCTGACCTGCTCCCTATGACACACATGCACTGTGGATTTAGCTCCTTTGAGGCCATTTTCAAAGTGGAGGAGTTGTTGTCCACAGCAAAATGGCAGTGGGCGAAATGCAAAAACCCGACCAAAAACAGGTCAGCATGAACAAAACAATCTGAAAGGTGGAAGTAAAAAACACATCAAAGCACACATGATTATTGAAAACACATTTCAGAAAAGATGTTTTAAAACACCACAATAAAACTGAAAAAGTGAAAGAAATCAGACAACAGTCATATCTTTTTAGAGATACACCGAGAAAACTTCAAACCATGAAGCGGGGCTCAGTGTTAGCTATGAGCTCTGCTGAGCTGAAAGTCCCAGAGTTTGATCTGCCAGTACTAAGCCCTCTTTTAAGCAGACTTGATCACCATTGTAACACAACTGAATGCATATCCCATTCAGAGCACTTCATTTTTCAGAATTTAAATCCTTGAAATAGGAGGCATCCGCTTTTCATTTGTTATTCAGAGTACATCCCAGACAGAACAACACCCATGAGAGAAAACTTAGAGCAGGGTTTTTGGGTTTGAGATTTATTTCAGAAACGCACAAAATGTTTTTTAAGATACAGACATAACACACCATGTTAGAAAAAAACTAAACAGAAACATAATTTTTCTCTGATATATGTTTTATACTCTGTGTATTCTGTTTGGATGTTTTATAGAAATGTGCGTTCAGGCATATTTTGCTCTGTGTTTTATCACTCTTTTCATCTGTGTGTTCTTGTTTTCTTCACTTCTGGGTCAGGACTGTTTAACAAGTCTCGGGGCACCTCGTACCTTTTGGAGTGAGTGCAGTATCAGTATCACTGAGAGTGTGTGTCAGGTTAATAGGTGCTCCATAGGCAGCTCCGTACATGAGAGGAAAGGTGAGATGTAGCGCTGCAGAGGTGTCACATGATCCTCACAGCCTGCTAAAATATGGCAAAAACACGTGTAAAAACACCAGGTCACACATCTCACAGCAAATTAACTTCAGTGTTGAGCGGAAATTAATTCTGAGCCTCTAAACTGGACCATAAAGTAAATGTTAAGTTTCAGAAAGCACATCTTTTGAATGAGACTTGAGCAGTGCAGATTTCAGGGCAAACAATCAGCTCTATTTCTCCCAGCGTTGTCCGACACTGCAGATGCTTTTACTCTTTGGTTATGTGAGTGTAAATGCAGTTATACAATTATGTCTATTTACAAGCCTGGCCTCTACTTGAAGTTTTTCTAAAAGACTGGTTTTAGATACTTCAAGGACATTTATTTTGTAGATCAAACTCATCATGTTTTGCAGATTCAGGACTAAACTCAAAACAAATTATTCTGATTCTACCATTATAATGTGACATGATAGATTAATTGTATGACTTATGTTCATGAACATTTGATTAGCTTAAGAATTGTGGATGTTAATCAGGCATGAATTGAAGAGCTCACACATAATTTTACTGTACTTTTATTTATTCCTCCTCCTGGACATCAATGAATATCCCACAGCTTTAAATGAAAAGACCAGTGGTTAATGGAACACTGTTTTTTAAGGAGGCAACAAAGGAACTTACCCCTTTTCACAACAGGCTGTAACCTCTTTGCCACTTTTCTCCCCTCAGGCAGAAAAGCTTCACTTTAAACCCAGCTGTTGTCACATTCTGGAGCCTCTCCTTTGCATGTCACACATAACTCTAATTCACTCTGATCACTGCCTGCTCTGCACCTCCCTCTGGGAGCTCCTCAAGAGCCACTGCCCACTGCCCGCTGCCCGACAGAGGGGAGAGAAAGGAAAATGTCAGTGTATTAGGTTTGTGGGGTCGGGGGGGTATGTGGAAAGTGGAGCAGATTTGGGTTTTTGGCTCTCAGCAAGAGGCGGTGCTGTGTTCCATGGAGCTTTATGCCAAGAGCGAAGATGTACTCAGCAACTCTAAATCTGGTCACATAATCTTTTTTGCTATTGTATTAGAGGGAAGTTCTAGTCTGGTTTCAGAACGATTCACCCTGCAGAAAACTCACTTATGATGATTGATCTTCTCCCTACAGGTGGCCCGCAGCTTAAACCACAGGGTGAGAGACTTCAGGTCTGTCTCAAACTGGTTCTCTTCATATTTGTCCAGCTGATCCTTTGAAGTGTCAAAGAACAGCTGACATCTCTCGCAGGATTAGTTTTCATGTCGATCCACTTGTACCTATTGGTTTTAGGTTTACAGTTTAGGTCATGTTACAGCTTGGTGTCCCATTAAAATTCGAAACAGTCATCAAACAGAAAACTATATCGGATTTTTGTACTAATTAACACAAGCTATTTGTTTCTATTATGCCAGTGGGCAGTATCTGTGATGTATTGTTTAACAGCCATACATCCGATTCTTGTTGTCAGATAGTCAATAATCAAGAAACAGTGATCCCAGACACGTTTGAAACTGGATATTTAGATGCATTAGTGTATCGACTGATGTAGGCCTCGAGGGTTTCCTAATCTCACGTATTTTTTAAAAATATTCATTTCCAGTCAAGTTGTTTTGAACATTTAATATTAACCAAGTTGCTTTACGATGAATGTGTGAGACTATATAAAAACAAGTGCTGAATCCCAAAATATGGACTATGTTTAATAAAAGCAAGATGTGGGGAAAGCATGGACACCTCTCCGACAGAAAGTGCAGCCGACCTCATTTTGGTAATAGGTCATAAAAACTAGCACAAACAATGCTTTTAAATGATAATCGAGATTCAAATCCAATCTCATTGAGCAAAACAGGCTGGAGCAGAAATAAGTACTTATGTTTCATCTGTGTGTAGCTTAGAAGCGTCTTTATGCTTGAAAGAAGAAATAGACAGAATGAACTTTGGTGAAGAAACACCAGTAAGGACCAGTCCTCTGCATACCCCACATCAAAAGGTCATGAGTCACTGTGAGACAAGCTGGGCACTGGTACAGCAGCAGTGGTAAACAAATATAATGGAAGCATTTAAAGCAGCATTTGCTTATCCCTCCTCCATTCAACTATTTGCACATATCTAAAAGCTGACCAGTTTCCACTCCAGCATGGACAAAAACTCAGCTCCGATGGGGATTTTTCCCAAACATGTCTTTGGAACACCAAACCAGAACGTGAAGGGAAATAAAATCATTTCAGAGAGTGCCACGCTCGCTGGGGTCGTGGCGGGGATGAATTAGGTGGGCTGCAGGATAAGCATAAGTGGTTCACAGCTGGTGTCTGGGGGAAACACGAGAAAAGGGCGGGGAGGGCCGGTCGGCCAAGGGAGGGGATGTGGTGGCAATAGTGGGGGTTTGCAGCCATGACGACTGATGGAGGAGGAAGTAAACAGATGTCCCCAAGCTGGCAGACAGGCCCAAAGTGGCCGAGCCACTGAAAGACAGGTGGACATCCAGAAACACAGTGGGGCTGCAGAGAGGCTGTGAGGCCCATCGAGATCACCAGCAGAGGAGCCTCTTATAAATAAATCTGTCACTCTTTAGTTTGGGGAAATCAGCATAAATAAGGCCAGTTTGATTTTTTAACCCTTGGTAATGGAGTAAAATAAACTATATTAAAGCGTGATTCCTTCTTAAATATTCTATCAAGTTGATCTCATAGGATTTTAAAGTCACACGGATAGAAGCATCTCAGTAATCATTAGAATCCGACTTTCTTCTGTATTTTGTTTCAAACTTGACGCGATGAATCAGTGATGCTGGTGCTCCTTTAAGAGAAACCCTTCTTCTCAGCCATCTTTACTAATCTGTGAGTGTCCCTGGAAAACCCAGCCCAAGCATTTTCGAAGAGTCTCTGCAGCAGCACAAGTCTTTGAATTTATTTGAAACTTTAAAGCCGTCATTTTAAATCCCCTGATAAGCTGCTGAGTCGGAGTGCAGGAAGCAGAGGAGACGTGGCGGCGCTGGCCCTCCGCACCAAGTGTCAACATGACCTTGGCGGTGGCACTTCAGACCCAGCTGCTCCGAGCCGCACACAAAGGCCGCTTCTGACCGCAGCTCCGACTTTAGGGGAAAGTGCAGCAGGTTGACGGGCTGAGGGGAACATGGTGACGACAGGAGGTCGAGAAAACAATGATTGCCACCACTGAAATAGTTTATAAGGTTAACAGGAGGGTGCACGTCAGTAAAATAACCACAAAAAAACAATGACCAGTTCATGTAGAAATGCCAGATGAAATTATATGGGCCAGCTAATGATTCTCACATTAACCGGCTGATCGTGTGGTCAACAACTGGTTGATACTAGAGCTGTCTGAAAAACCACAGGTTGGACATTCATTGTTTTTGGCATATATTTCACAGACTGTGGCCAGTATACTGTAAGGTCCACATTAGATTTTGTAAGCATGTGCTCATCTTCAGTGTGATGACTCCAAAATGAGCACTCAGAACATACCACTGAGAAGTAGGAATACCAATGTGTAAAAATTAATGTATTAAATGTCTTCTGTGTTCTATTAAACAAATGAAAATAAGAAACCTATAATTCAGCATTTTGAGATTCAGTGACAGTACTGTGAGGGTTGTCTGCTTGACACAATAACACCATAAGTCCAACACCCTCTCCCAAATGACTTCCCACAACAGCCAATGTGATATTATGCAGATAATGTCTGCCAGGAAACATATTTCTACGCACTCATGAAAATTACATGTAGATCAGGGTCATGAAACCCTCGATGAACTCATATGTGTTCCTGGGAAAGCAAACCACCCTTCTCCTGTTGTGTTAGAAACAATTCTACCTTTTTAATTATTTTTTTTTTGCTGAAGTGATCCGGAACTGTTCGAAATGGCTCTTGCTATTTATACTAGCATGCTAACAGAGTAAATAATAATGAAAACAACAAATGGTCCATGTAAAATACTAGATTTACTTGAATAAAGTCCAGGGCAGAATAATTGCATGCAGTCAAATGATAAATAATATAATAACAAGTACATCAGAGCAGTTAACCTTCTTCATTCAAGAGGCTTCTGAGCTGGTCCTGCCTGACAGCATGACTCCTGATGGTGTAATGGTGGTGTTAGACATGAGCAGGACAGATCCCTGTTGTAGCCCTGGCATCATTAAATAGGACCTTATCAGTTACCATAGCAGCTTATTTTATGGGCAGAAAAAAAGACTTGAGAGGCTTACTCTGAGCCTAATCAGCTGCAGTCTCCTCAGGAAGTCCATGATGAGCATTACAGGATGACATCATGTGACAACCAGTAAGTACAGAAGCTTGTTCTTTCTCAGAAACGCCATGTTATGAGTAACTTTGCTTTGCTGTGTTTAATATGTCGCTTCTATTAAAGAGGAAATACATCAATAGGCGGTGTGATTGTGCTGTGTGTTGTTCTCCAGGAGCCTGAATAAAATTATCTTTGTGTTTGAAATGTGATTTGAGCTAAACGGGGTTTTGCCGGAGAATGATTCACTAGACACGCCGTGATTAGGGAGAGAGGATCCTAAAAAAGTACTACATGACCTGGATTGCCTTTATGCTCATTTAAACCACCATGTGGGGAGTCTCCATTGTGCTGCCTCAAGTAGCTTTGTCTGCTCGGCAGATTTTCTAATGAGGGGCTTTTGGAGGAGGATGACAGAGCACTCTGCCTGTTCTGTCGGGGAGGAGGGGCCTCTAAAGAAAAACCAGCACTGCTCTGTCCACAGATACGCCTAATGCTAGATCCCCCCGACTCAGATGCCCTGCTGGCAGCTTGGCAGCACCATTAGGGCTGAGAAGGGTGGCATTAGTCTGAAACTCTCATTATGTCAGATACACTGAAAACCTCTAATCCAGGCTCCAAATGATAGGGGTAGAACTGAAATAAGGAAAAAAAATGGGCAAGAAGGCAGTCGAGGGGTAATTCAAAGTACTCAAATCAGCCTTGTTTGTGTTTCAGAGGACAACTTTAACAGTGCAAATGCTGTGCTCCAAGTAACTCCTTGTATGTAAGAACTTAACAAATAAACCATTGTGGTTTCTTACAATGAAGCACTAACCCTCTGCTACTTTTCCAAGAAGCCCATGTATCTTAAAACTGCAGATCATGTTAGATTTATGACTGCTGTTTATGAAAAATATTTAACTCTGAAGAATAGAAAACTCACAAGTGTCTATAGAAGAATAAACACCATTGGGTGACATGTGAATGAAAGAATCTGATGAGACAAGCCCACATCTATGGGGGAGGAGCCTTAGTGGCCAAAGAAAGAGAGCAGAACAGAGACTATTGTGACAAGCCATCTCACCGGTCAAGCCATCACTGGGCAGAAAATTTATAGAAGGGTCACCACATATTTACCACAAGTGATACCTGATAAGTGCAAAACATGAAAGCAATATTCAGCTACTTGATGAGCAATAGATACATTATGTTTACATATGTGGGTGGTTGATACAGATTGTCTTAAAATACGTTTACAGCCTCATGTATGAGAGAGACATGAAGGACAGAAACACACAAGGATGGCGAGGAGATGAAGATCGTCCCTCGTTCCCCAAAATCACCAAATTCCATCATTATAGTGACCAGGCTTCAACAGGGGTTTTCAGAGCAGCTTGGAAAGGCTTTCCATAAGTTTGCCATCTTAATTAAAAGTCCCTATTCTTTCACTGAATCATGTCATAACCTGCAGTCATGTGTGTCCCCAGAGGATTGAAGTAAGTCACAGGACATATTAACTAAAGCCTGAAGAAGAACTAAGGAGAGGACCACACTACACACACGTCTAGTCTCATTTTCTGCTCTTTATTGAATTTAAAGAATTTCTGGTGTGTTTAAAATGTGTGCCTGTTCCTCAGCCCACACACTGGCTTTGTGATAAGCAACAGTCAGATTAGCACTATAGACCAGCTTGCTAACAGGCGGTCCAAAAATATTCAAATGCCACGGTAATTTTCAGTGAGCACCATTTATTTGTGCCAACTGATCTTCAAAAACCTGCTGCAGCTAAGCCTGATATTCCTCGCAAAATGTCACCCTTCAATAAATAATAAGATCACAAATATTACAGTGTTGGGGAAGGAAGAAGTCAATAGAGGGCTTTAAAAGGGAATTAAAACGCTGCATGACTGCCATCTGCTGGATCATGACAAACGTACAATGTTTGTTCAAAAGCCTTCAGCAGAGAGGGTTTACGGTGGTTGCTTTCTTGTGGTGTCAGTGAGGCTAATCTACATTAACAGAGCCTTTCTAAGGCATGGGATCATGTCCATACATCAACCCAGACATCAAAGTGTAAAAAATTATTCTCCATGCCAAAACTCCCTATAGGCAGTTTGATATCTTCTTTTTAATTTATCACTTCTAATTCCTTTGATCTTTTAATATGAACAGCTTCATAAAAGCTTCCCTGATCTTTTCAGAGTGTAATCTGTAGAGGAGTTGGTGTCTAAAGTATCTTGAAAATGTTGGAAATCTCACAGCCTTACAAAGTCTGGTTCCCTCACTCTTCTTTCAAAATATAAGTACCAAAAGGACACCTAAAAGTGCCACAGATGAATCGGAGCTACTTTTGGCACTGTGGGGTCAGTCACAGCTCTGGCAAGTATTGTGTTGTGATTATGCCCTAACTTGGTTATGAAATGTGTGTACGTGCAGGATGGAGACTAAGTGTTTTACAATGGGTTTAAAGTGAGTAAGAGTAAAAAATGTTTGGGCCAAGTATGACTCAAACCCTCAATATGTGGGAATGACCCATGTTTGATGACTCAGACCTGAGCCACATTAACAGGAACCGTGTCTGAAACAAATAGACCTGCAGGTATGAGGTATTTCACACCTATTTTAGATTGAGTAGATCCTTTTTAAAAGTTATTTGGTTCTGCATAAGTCTTCCAATGATGCAAAGCTTTGAATCAGGTGTCTTGAAGCATTTAGAAAATGCAACACAGCGAGCTTCCAGTTTGAGTTTGAGAGCCCTGCCGTTGTACTGGGGAGAAAAACAGCTGAATGAATGAGAAAGGATTGTGTGATGTGCTGCACACTGCATGAAACAGTTTGTACACAAACTGGAGAGGGCAGAAGAGATTAATTGGGGGGAACTAAATTTTTTTCTCTAATAAACTACATTTTAGTTTTTTAACACTATAGTTATGATTAAAAAAAGAATGACTGTGTTTTGATTATTACCATTATATCAATCTATTGATATAACAGGGACTGGTATAACGTTATACCAGTGTAGTAACGTTTTAGTCTTTGCTTGGATCGGCCTGGAGGGGGCTTATTTTGAAAAACGGAGCCAACCGGATGTTTCCCATTCATCTCTTCCAGCTGGACACCCACACACACACACACGTGCGCGCGCACAAAGCACTGAGGGCTATGGTGGGAGAAGACGCGGTCGGACCTTCAGCGAGCTCGCGTGACAGTGACTGACCCCCAGCCTCGGAGCACGTCAAAAGCAAGATGTCTGTGAACGAGGTGTACGTGTTCCGGCCCTTCAAGCTGATCGCGCTGCTCTGCGTCTTCCTGGCGCTCTGCCTGGACGTGGTGGCTCTGCTGAGTCCGGCGTGGGTCACCGCCGACCACTTCTCCCTGTCCCTGTGGGAGTCCTGCTCCCAGGCCAGGGCCCGGCACCCCGCGGAGGAGGCTGAGTGGAGCTGCTTCTCCACCCTCACATCTGGTAAGGCGGCCAGCGGCGCTTTGTGCGCCACTTTCTCCTTTCCCGGAGCCCTGGGTGTCTTGTTGTTGAGGATCGGAGGACAAGAGGACAAAAGCGTTAGGATCTGACCTGTTGTTTCACGATGCTGGTGTTTTATTTAGTTTTTAAAGCTGTGCGAGACCAGTTGTGTTGGGTGGAACACTGAATTTGTCAGGTTCTATTTGGGTTTAAAACACTTAAGAAGGGTTGAAATATTCCACTAATGTGCAGAGATTAGTTGACTGAGTACTCAGATTACTCTTGTAATATTATTTTTTTAGATATCCTTTGTTACCATGAAATAAAAACAAGTAAATAATCCTGAGGTGTAGAATTGGAAGTGTCAGCTGCAGGCGTGGAGGGGCTGGCTCGCTGCTCTGTTGTTGTTTTTACTCATGGGCTGTCATAAACAATGCATTAGTGCGCGTCTGCGGCCAAGCAGCTTCTGTCCCCTTCGAGGAATGGTGCTATTAAAGCGGACAGCCCTGTGAAAAGAACCACTGGGCTACCATGTTGCTCCGCTTCTGGCCCCTCTGTCCATCCCCATCCCGATCCCCATCCCCATCCCGATCCGGACCCCCATCCCCACGGGAGGGCTCTGTTCTGCTGGAGCTGGCTGGGAGGAAAGCAGCTGGGGCTCTCTGCTGCTGCTGAAATTTCCTCTCCTCATACCAAAGAAATGACATAGTGCCACACTCCATGGAGATGTTATAGCAGGAAGGAGAAGGCTGAGCCCTGTTTTCACCCGCGTTCGGTTCGGTCCCTCAAAGATTTGCAACCATTACAGGAGGAAAAGACAAACTGCTGAATAATGTTGACCTAATCCTTTTGGCACGTTCAGAGTGTTGCTCTTCCTGACGGAGAGCTCTGAGCGTGTTAGAAGTCACACGTTCAGCATCCTCCCCTTCATCCACAGCTGCATGAGGCAGAGGTGCCTTTTCACAAAGAGAGAGTGTTTGTCTTCCCCCCCCCAGCGAAGCAAATCCGCCTCAAAAGCAGCATTTATGGAACTATTGGGTTTCCTCAGGATGTTGGTTTATGAGATGGAAGTGTGCCTCTATTAAACATGCATTGGTTCCAAACAGAACTGGATTGTTTTGGCACTTTCAGGACCACAAAAGGAGACTCTGGGCTTTTTTTTTTTGGGGGGGGGGGGGGGGGGGCGAGCACTCTGATATGGTGGAATGTGTCGGGGTGAATGGGAGGCGGGTCGCTGCTTTGTGTGTGTGTGCAGAGCTCATTAAAACAACAGTGGCCGGGGGTGCGTCGAGGTTGAAGGTGCAGCCAGCCAAAAGGCCCAGAGCACCGATTATCTACATCCACAGATCCTTGAGTTCCAGTTTATTTTTGGAGTGATGTCATCCTGTGAGCACAGTTCAGAGCAGAATAACAGTCAGGTGACGGCGCTGCCGTTAAGTGTTTGTCAAAACAAACGAAAACCACATAATGGACTAAAGATGGTTTTAAAAAAAAGATGCCCTGAAGGCCGTGTCACACTGAATTATGATATTGGCAACGTTTTTCTTTTTCTTTCCTTTTTTTTTAGAAGGCAGAAAGTCACAGACACACCCAGGAAAAAGAAGGCTTCCTGAGTTTGTTTGCTTCACTAAATGCAAATTCAGATTTTAAGATCAGTCTTTTTCCTGGAACTGACAAGGGGACATTAAAGAGGAAACACTAAACATTCGACTGTAGAACGCCTTTCCCACTTTGAATCAGGGTTTGGAACACGTGGCTTGGGCAGCGTGGTGATTCGGAGCTCTTTCCAGGGAAGAATCTTGTGATGAGCTTCAACTTTTCCATTTGGAGCAACTGCAATGTTTGGAGTAAATAGTGTAAATGTTGTGGTAAAAAGCCACTGGGGTTGAAACAAGAAGGGAAAAAAAATACTCTGGAAAGTCACAAGGAGAAAGTCCAACCTCCCGAGCAGCGACAATAAAGCAGACGGTGGCAAACAGGTTGATTTCCGTGGAACAGCTCAGCCACAGCGGTTTGTGTACAGAACAGGCAGGCTGAAAGCTTTTCCACATTTTATCTTTCAAATGTACTGAAAATAGACCAGTAAGCCACACGCAATCTTCCTAAATGACTAATAAAGCAGTTTTAAGAGTGATTGTGACGCCTGTACTTGGTGTAAGAACGCCAAACATGGAGGAGTTTCATGTCTTTCTAGGGAAGAAAGAAGCCCAGCAAGGTTGGAAATGGAGCATCACGGCACAGCCTTTTTCAGATCTCCTCAAAGATTATTGGTAGACTTTCGGGCTGGTTTGCCCTTAGACTTTTATATAGTTTCTCTAGAGCACTGCTTCTTTCCTGGCAGTATCCTGTAGGACATTGTATTGTTGAAATAGAAACCTTAGCCAATGGGAATAATGGCCAAATAGGACAGTCTTTGTTGCATCTGATTGGAGGGCTTTTCTTTGCGTAGTCTCAGTCATTCAGGTGTCTTTGTGACAAATTCCCCGGAGGCTGTCATGTGTTCTTTTGTGAGATACGGCCTCTGTCTGCCCTCCCCACCATTAAGGTCTGATTGTTGCAGAGGTGAACTGAAGTTTACACTCCTGTTAGGACCTCCCAACTCCGCAGAGGAAGTTCTGAGTCCCTATTTAAAATGACTCGCTGGTTACATGTGTGACCGGCGCGCTTTATCCTCCATGACTCCCTTTTTTTTGTCCGAGAAGCCACATGTGATTGTGTAATTGCACAAGTCTATTTTGGGCTCTAAACTCGGTTAACTAAAAATTATGAGAGCTCCTAAAAACTTTCCCGGATCTGTGCCAAACAACAATGTCGCTGTTTTGTTTTTTCAATTTCCTCCAATAAATTCTATGGGAAACCATTCAGTTGAATTGTTCAGAAATATAAGACCATCACTGAACGAATGGAGGACAAAAGATTTTCCGAAAGGGATGTCCTTAAAAAAATGTGACCTGAGGCAGCCTCAGTTGACCCATCTTATCATTCACTTAACTATCATCAGAAATGGTCTTAGTGGAAGGCTGCCTGACATTGGGCCATTTGTAGGGAAGGGAAACTAGGAAAGGCCAAATAATACAAGAATGGGACCTATAATATGTGGCATCTTGTCTTCTGTAGTGAAAAATTCTCCACAGAGGACGAGTTTGGAATGCCCTTTAAGGAGCCTGTGGAAATTCTAAGAAGGGATTGTGTACAAAGGTTTAGTCAGAGTTTACATGGAAACTGCTCATGATTTACTGTTTTGGGTGCAGTAACTTTAGTTAAGAAATAGAGCTTTCTGAAAACATTCACCATATACTGTGGTTCTAAACTGTTTTATTTGTATTTTCCATGATTGAAATGTTTTTTTTTTTTTAAAGAGCTGAAACAGAATTTCAAACACTTCAAAAGGGTCCTAAGGCTCAGCAATTCCTACATTCTTTATGTAATTATGTGTTTTCAGGCAGAATGTCCCATTTTAATCTCATCACTGGGATTATCTCGCTAATCGGCTTCTTATTACTCGTATGTCTGATGGAGAATCTGTCCTGCTCCCTTCAGTTCTGGGTGAAAAACGAGCTCTGGTCCTGTGAATGGGGCATTAGCTGTAGACTGCCCCGCCCTAACCTGCCTGTGTCCTGTCCTGTGTCCTGCAGACTGGCAGATTGCCACCCTGGTGCTGCTGGGGGCCGGGGCCGTGGCCACCCTGGTGGCCTTTCTGGTGGCCCTCATTTCCCTCTGCAGGGGAACCCAGAGGCAGCACTACCGCGTCGTGGCTGTGTTCCTCTTCACTGCAGGTAGGTCAGCTCTCCCCACACACACTGCCCTTTTTTTTTTACCATCCGCTTGCTAAGGAAACGTAGACCCATGGCGGCTCACCCCACCGGCAGTTTTTCCAGACGGGCACGTCTCGTGCTCACACTGAGCTCAGGCAGCAGAGGAGAGGGCTGACTGAGGCCCGCTGGTTGAGCTCATTCTTTGCGGTGTGGAATCCGACTCGCAAGCCAAGAAAAAGCAGCCACAGAATATGCAGGCTTACCAACTAAGTGAAATCACTGAGGGGGGAGAAGAAAAGCCACCTCACACTGCCCCCGCCCGTCATCGCCTCATAGTTGGACGGTCGCTTTTGAATTCTTTGTGAGAAGTTCCTGAGGGAGTGAAACCAAATTTCGACACAGAGGAGGGAGGATCTAACTATTTGAGATGTAATTAACATGAACAGTCAATACGCATTCCCCCATGTAGGAAATCGGCAGTATATGTTTACTTTTCCCCTTTTTTTTCGACAGACCACATTACTTAACCATTCCCGCCAGTTTCCAGCGTAAAAGTAATTTATATAAGAAGCAGACGTTCTAGGCGTGACAAATCCACATCGTCTGCAGTTTGGTTTGGTGCCTTTAGACCAGACTTAAAGAAATAAGTTCTCTCACTTCCCTTCAAATGGATAGCGTAAATGCATTTGGTCTGGTTGAATAAAACCAGGGCAGGCTCAGGGTGAGCTGGTTACCTTCAGGCACAGATAAGGCTACGTGTTTACCACACAGATGGTAAGACTCTTCACATTATCAGATACTTGTGGCGACAAAGCAATGCCAAATAGACACAACTGTTTGCACTTTGCGCAATATCGCTGAAAACAGAAGACAAAGCAAAGACATCTCTGTATATCTCTCTGATATTTGCGGACACTGGGTCACATCATCTCCTCGCTAAGTGTTCTGCAGCCAGATAAATCCACTCATACAGTTTTAACAGGGTAACCGTTTCCTACTCTTTCATGATACATGGAATCCAGCTTGTACGTATACTTATAGACACAGCTTGGAGCTGTAATGGTTTTTTCACGATCAGGGTCCATCATGTGTCGGATGTTTCCCTTTCACTGGGCCTCCTTCAGAATGTTTCGAAGAGACTGTTTACGTGTTGTACACTGTGTGCCACTATTAATTTGTCTATGTTTAAAAGGAAAGAGCAAGGTCACTGTGTTTGCTGTTGAAGTCAGAGTAGCAGCTCAGGGCTTCTGGGATTGCTTTGGCTGCAACAGACCATAAACAGGAACCAAATCAGACCGAATAAAGCCGCGTTTCAGTCATATTCACATAGAATCTGTCCTTGAGGATCATTTTTGTGGGGCAGAGCGGGTTTATTTGTGGTGTAGAAACCATAGCAAGGTAAAAGTTTTTAGGCCCACACTGCCTGGCCAGTGTGTTCGCTTCGGGTCAGCTTTGCTGAAGCCTTTCAGGTAACTGTTCTGCAGTTTACTGTGAATATGTGGATTACCTCATTCCTCGCACAGAACTTCTTCAGAGCAAATGTCGTGTTGATCCAATCCCATGTGTGTCCAGGGGGCTCAGTCAGCATAGTTATAAATATTTGGGCTGCAGCTAGTCAGGCACAGAGAAGCCCACGGGACAAACAGCCATGGGGATGCAATCCATGCACCCGCTACCCACTGAGGAACAGTCAAGAAATAGCATTAGATTTTTCAAAAAAGGATGTTTGATTTCTTTTTGTATAATCTAGGTGAACACTTTCTGTCTGTCCTTTGTGTGGACTTCTGAACTCTCCCATTTGAATAATTTCAAACCACAATTTGCCTGGATTCCAACAGCAGGTCTGTGTCTCTTTTCTAAACAGCAAACATGCATGGGAAGAACCGCTGATGAGCTGCAGTCCTACTCCACTAAAGAGGGAAACTGCTATAACTTATTTTTATGTTTTATTAAATGCTGCTACGACTAGTTTTTTCCTGAGAAACACTATAATGTACATGTAATCTAGTGTATATAAAAACACTATCTTCTTCAGATCATTTGTTACATTCGTTCTACTGTGAGTTAAACTGTTGTTTTAAACTTTGCTGTAAGCAGTGCGCAAAGACACAACGTTTTTCACATCGGATCCAATACTTATAGTTTGTATTAGTGTAAAATCTGCATTAGGTTACAATGTGCTATTGAAGCATGTTTAAAGAGAAATTTCAAAAAACATTTGACCCGTTCGTTGAATGAGTTCCACAAAGGAGCTCTGTAGTCGGCTCAGTGGCTCTGACTGTTACCCATTTACTAAAAGGCGTGGGAATGCTGTGTTATCCTTTCCTGTGTGTAATTGCTTTAAGACCTTTGCAAGAAAAAGGTCTTCACACAGCCTTAGAGCGAAGCAGCAGACGGACGGACGGACGGCTGGACTGTTACGTGCCCCTTGGCAGTAGGACCGTGACTGTACGGTATTTATTTTCTGTCCAGAAATATGACCTCAGTGGACAGCGAGCTCTCTCTGGCCTCAGTCAACATGCAACATAGCCACAGTCTCAGGCTACCATAATCCCCCCTGCCCCCCCAAACCCAACCACTGCTCTGTCCTGTAGGAAGGAAAAAGGTGGAGCCATATTTACACAAAGACCTTTCCTCATGAGTCACCTTGCGCGCACCAAAGGGAGCTGAAGCAGTCGGAGGGACTGGAACACGCCTTTGATCAGTTCCCCCCGCGGGCTTATGGTGCCAAGTAGTGACACAGAACCGCCTTCATTATAGGGACGACTACCGTTTGTGCTTTTTCCAAACTTCACTACATTGTAGAGCTGCTCGGGATTGGCTTCTACATGCCAAAATGCTGCTGCCAAAACTAATGCTCTCTGGCCTCTGTCAGGCACTGACGGAGAGAAGAGAAAAGCTTCTTCCAGCAGAGCTCACTTTTCTCCGAGCCACAAGCCTAGCAAGATGTGGGCCATGCAGACTGTTTTCCTGTCATTTTTTTAAATTAATTTTTAAGTGAAAAATAATTGACTTTGTTGTGGTGATGAGTGCTTCCAGCTGCCAAACCTCTAAGCCTTCATGAAAGATGAACAGAGCCAGTTTGACGTGCATATCCTTTCATCTACAGGCTCCTCAAAACTCTTACTCCTTCTTACTGTCTTTTATAATCCGTAGTGGCTGAAAATGTAGATTTACAGCACATACACTGACATGAGGTAGATAATCGTGTTACATAAATATCCTCAGGTTATTTTTTGGATTGGCAGCTCACTTTGAAAACACAGAAAAACACTTTTCATTTGCTTTAGTTTCTCTCCACAGCCGGAGACAGCCAGCCTTTGGTCTTCACAGCTGTCTGGTAGCTGTCACATCTGCGTGCTTACACCAGCAAGACCATTATTTCACAGGCTTTGACTCGAATTGTGAATTTGGGTAGTCATAATGGCTTCCACTTCTCCTTAAATGTAAAGAGGCAGGAAAAATGCAAAGAACAAAGGCAGGAAGGGTCAATCTTATTGCATTGACAGATGGACTAATGAAGTGGAAAAAAAGCTGTAAGGAGTAAAAAAGCAAAATCATTTTAATACAGCTTTTTAAAAACAGAGAAAAGCGTATAGACTGGCAAAATATGGACAAAGCCGGACTTGAAATTCAGTGTTAAAAAAAGAGCTGCAGGTGAAAACTGAATTTCAGTTGGTTTGTTATTTGTTAAATGGCCTGTAGTAATCATATAAACAATACGCTGTGATGTTTTTAGAAGTATTTGAAGAAATCATACAATGTACAAAACACGCTCCAATTATTATTCTTTTTCCACCAAAGAGTTTTATTTCTTGGTCGATACCTCCAAATATTTCTAAAGACTATGTGCAGTCCATTGCATTCTGGTATTATCAAGCCTTTATCTGGTGTTCTAACATTCTCTGGTAGAGACAGGAGTTTATTAATGTGGGTGATGGTGATATGTAAAATCTGATACTGTAAAGACTGAACATATGAATAGTATTATATGTACTCAAGGGGTTTGTTGATGGTGGGAATGGATCATTCCTTTCATCACCTGACTGCAGAGGAGATTATTTCTTCAGCTGATTTAATCACATGGCCAGAGAGTACGGCCCATCCCAAGTTCTTGGGTTTAATGAGCAGGATGATGGGCAGAGCTTCTATGATTTGGAAGTGGTCAGAAACAGCTTCTCACGATTGTCTCTCTGGTTGCAGTGGTCCTGCAGGCCTGCGCTCTGGTGCTCTACCCCATCAAGTTCATCGACGGGACCGTCCTGCAGACCTATCACGAGTTCAACTGGGGCTACGGGCTGGGCTGGGGAGCCACCATCTTCATGCTGGGCGGAGGGATCCTCTTCTGTCTGCGGACGGACATTTACGAGGACGCCATGTATTAGAGGGTTTCCAGCTCAGGGGCTGGCCATACCTACATAAGCACACAGAGACTTTTTTTCTTCGCGCCCCACACGGCCTCTCTGCGAGCACAGACCCTTTTCCTCAGTTTCTTCTGCCGTCTTGCTCTCTCGGTTATTTTTAGACAGGTTGCGAAGTCCTTATTTAGGACAGGGCTGTGTGAATAGAATGTGCCCCCACACCCCCGCCCCCGCCCCCACCCACTCACTGCTGCCTGTCCCTCAGCGTTTCTGGTATCCGGGACGAGATAGCAGCTCTAAAGCCCAGATCTTTCTGGACAGGCCTGAGCCTCCATTGCTGGACGTTTCCACTGAGCGGGATGTCTATTGTTAAAGAAAAAAGCAGCGCAGACCTGAATGTGCAGCGGCTGATCCATGTCCACATTTCCCTTTTTTATTGTTTTTTTTATACCTTTTCTTGATCAGAAGCTTGTTTCGCATATTTATAGCCTCATATTCTGCTTCAGAAACAGTGATACGCACTCTCTGTATCTTGCCTGCAACATATTTAGTAAGTGTAAATTAGCTGACTTTGATACATGCTATAAAGTGTGATGCTGGTTTGGAAAATCAAATCAAACAAGTTTGTCTCAGAAATTGTAAATGTGTACAAAGTATTTCTACATGAAGGACATTTAAAAAGAAATAAACAACAATAGTTTTGGGAGCATTGGGAGTGTTAATTATTGTTTGCAATACTTGGATTGAGCAGCTGCAGTTTGTGGTTCACAAACTGCCCACTGACAGAATTTTTGGAGCCATCAGGGGTGCCCGTCTTTGTAAAACGGACAGCAATGAAACAAAAATGCAAACCACTTCATTATCCAGAGCACGCATTCCTCAGAGCAGAGCACGCCACGCTATTTAAAGAGATACCTCCAGGTTGCCAGTTTTGACCTAACTTGTGTGGGAAAATATAAAGCATTCAATGAAACATGAGCAACATTTTTTTGTCCTGACTACAAAAGTAATTTGGTACGGAGTTGGCCAGTACAGTTGATATAAGTAGGATTTACGTTTTTTTCCTTTCGAACTATCATGGGTCACCGGCAATGCATAGCATAGGCTGAAAGTTCTGGTTGTGTTGAGCATTACAGCCAGAAGATTTTTTTCCCAGGATTAACTATACACTTTTTCAGAGTGCGACAGCGATAGGGAGATTATGAAAGGTACCCATGAGTTTTCTGATAAGTTCAAGGCGTTCTAAGTCCGTCTTAACGGACCCATTCTGCTCCTTAGAGTTCAAACTGCTGCATCTGCTTAAAGAATCTACAGGAAGGGATGGATATTTCCCACAGCAGCAGCAGTGGGAAAATGTAGCTGCTGTGAGCAGTATTTACACCAGAGCAAACAGCTCCCAGGGAAAAGAACACAAATTATCCCTCCACGTGACCTCAATGAACAGCCTCTGTGAGTTGTTCCACGTTGGCTTTTGGAAGTGTGAGCGATGATTTTAGTCAGATATGAGCTGCGTGGAATGTTTGAAATGCGACGTGCGAGTCAAAGGTTGTGGGGCTTTTTATGTCACACTCACGTTTCGTTTCTTTAACATGACACAGATGTGATCGTGTTTCCTCACTGGGATGCAAACTGTTCATGTAAGACATGTTATTTTTAGTTACACATTGGAGGAGCGTACATCGTGAACATTTTCAGGGATAAGTAGAACATTTACTGACTTTTCTCAATGGTAAGATCATTTAAAGCACAAGGCCTTGACATACCTGCGTCATTTGAGATGATTCTAATGTTATGGATATTTACGTTTCCTAGGGCATGTTTTTTCCTCCACTTGTATTTAGCAGGACATTATGAAATGCAGTTGACTTCCAGTTTTGATGTGCTTCAAAGGTGAAATGTGGAAATGCCTGTGGGACCTCCTGCTCAGCACTCCACCCACACGTTTACATCTTCTCTACCACCGCATCCTTGTGTTCAGTAAAGAGAAATGAGAAACCAAAGGCATTGTTCGCGTTTTCTGGCGTAGGCGGTAGTTTAATTTCCACGGTACCATGGCTGTTATCTTGGTATTCTGATTTAACCAAGGTCATCTCTCTCCATCTAGTGGTCAAATTGTGCTGCTATGTTCTTCTTTTCCAGACAAAGCATTTTGACAGCTCATGCTGCTGCATGCTTTGTCAAAATGGTGGTACATTTGTATAGAGTGACAAATTGGTATTTCATCTTTCAGGTTAGCTTTTTCATTTAGTTGAGGTACACTGGAAAATACATGTTTGGTGCATGAATTTAAGCACGACTGATGTAAATATGATTTCGATTCTAATTCTATGTTCATTTTAAGCATGCCACAAGAATAGAACCAGAATTCAGTAAAACATTTTTTAACCCATCTTTTTTAATTATTGACAATAAACCTCAATCATAGAGTCTTGATGAATTATAAATGCATTAATGATTAATAATAAAGATTGATGTGATTAGCTTCCCTAACTTGAATTTTCCTCACAACTTAGCTCTTCATCTGGTCTTTGAATACTTTAAACATGCCCACAGTTTTTTCCCTGAAGCATGAAGTCTTTCCTCAAGCTGTAAGTCAGACGATGCATTTTGGCACATCGTTTGAAGCTGATTGCCCGTTCCTTGAAGATGACCTGGTCTGCGGAGAGTAGCCTGGCCCCTGGGTGCAGTAACCAGTCAGGCCCTGCACACTTTCACTCTGCAGGGACAGATTCCAGTTACTGAGCCCAGGGGACAGAGGCAAAGGTGAGCCCTGGCAACTTGTCTCCTGATGGCAAAAAAAACAATAATTGTATCACTGGTAAGATTCTGTACAAATGTACTACCGAAGCATTCAAAATGCAAACCTGAAGTTGTCAAGCTGTGGCGCTTCCCAAGGGGATGTCTTCTGCAGTTGAGTCAGTGGACTGTTAAGGCAGATAAATGGACTGAAACGCACCACCTGGGCTATACATTACCCTCCGACCAATCCTCTATCAAGATTGGCTCCACCCGAATTACTCATTAACCCAAAAACGCTGTTCATTTCTCCACAACTGTCACTCCTCTGCAACCCAGCGGAGCCTCTTTTAACCATCATACCACTGTCCTGATCACTGTGGATGTTAAAACCAAGCGTGAATGCATCAGTCATTTACACAGTCTTGTCAAAAAACACATTGTATTGCCCTTTATTCTACTTGGCAGTGTTAAAATACTACAATCAGTCATTGCTCTAATTGAGAAATAACTTGTGTGTTTTGACATGCTTCAAGACACATCTAATTATGTTATACTTTGACGCCCTATTTAAGTGTGCCAGCTCTTAACCTCATTGAGCCAATTCGAACTCTAATTATTTAAACAACAAAGACAGATAAAAATTGGCGTCTGCTTTTGGACAGCGTGAACCTGGCAGCGTGGTGTGGGAAGCACTCAGCTGCCGCCCGACCTTGTGAGGTGTCAATGAGTGTTGAGTCAAACGCAGAAAGTTGCGTTCGGCATGAAACCAGATGGCAACTTTCCCAAAGTGAAGGGGTATCTATATTTTTTTTATATTAGTTGTATATGAATGTAAAAAAAATCAATTTTCTACATATCCGTTGCGTTATGATCAGATCAAACTAGATATAAACAGCACAATGTAAATGTGGCAAACTAGAATTAGATGTTTTTTAGGTATTTTTTTGTAATTTTTTAATATAACTCTATGATACAATGTTGTAATGGGAGCTTGTGTGTGAGAGTAATTTTGTATGGAATTGGCTAGTACAGTTGATATACATAGGAAATTCAAAAGAAGATAAGTGAAATTGGTTTATTTGAAAAGTTTTTGAAACCATCAACAACAGCTTCCACTGAGAATCTAAAAGCATTGGTTAATGTTCTGTGTGTAGGGTAGATTATTTGGACACAAGGGGGCAACAAAAGGTTATACAAAAATCTTTTTTTTTTAAGTGCACAAAGCTTTTTACAAATACTACCACTTTAAAGTTCTATCTTAACAGCAGGCCATTTGTTGTTACGCAAAATTAAAGATAATTTTGCATATTTTTATCCTAAAATGCTGCTCCCACTAGGTATTTAATATATTTCTGTGTACCTTTTCCAACAATGGATTTTTGTGTTGCTTCGTGTGTGTTTTCCTCAGAACTATTCAGAGTTTTCAATGGCAGGCTTAATCTGCTAAGAACAAAGATATGTTTTTCCATTCTGTAGATTTTTATACGGAGAAGCTGTCTGTTTGGAGGATTGTTTTGTTCCAGCCAGCTGCTTTTCATAGTGGATATTTATTCAGGTCCGATTACATGGAGGCTCTCTGGAAATAAAGTCATCCGGGCCATCTAATACATTTCAAATTCAACAGGCAGTTACGTTTTCTATTTGCAATCCCTGTCACAGCTCTTCACTCATGCTGATCTTATTCCCACACATCCTCACCTCTCTGCCTCGCTTACACCGTCTTGTTCCTTTCAGATAGGGCATAACCCACTTAACTGGAATTCATATGTTTCCCTCCAGTTACGCAGGGGTATATGCTTACAGTGATAATATGTTCTCATTTAATCTGTGTCAAAGGCTCAATTTAAACATGCAGTTTTATGCAGACAATAGCGGCTGGAAGTGAGGAAGAGTTTACCTCACTGTCCCTCATTTCTATGGTTGTCTTACAACTGCCCTGCTCACAGGTAATCATTTCATGCTCACGTTAACTGGAGAGATGACATTATTCAAAGGCTTTGCATCCCATTTCATCACTCAGGAGACCACTGCTGTATCCGATTCACTGTTAAGGTGGACATAAAAATATTATAGAACTGGTTGTGTAACATGATAAACAACAGTTTGCAAAGATAACCGCTTTTGCTATTTACCTAAAGCAAAAGGCTATACGTTGCTTTTTGCCTTTGTAAACGAGTAATGACTTCTGATAATTTGCAAAAGTCAATTTTGTGGTCAATTCTCAACAAGCTTCAAATGATTAAGAGTTGTTGATAATTATTAAACTAAATTAAATGGATTACGTTACCACTCATCACCACATCCACAACAGACTCTTGGAATTTCTAGATAGTGGCTTTTCTCACCATGAATGCACACAGAGATTACAAGAAAATACAGTGTTTGTGCGGCAGACAAGTAGCCAAATAAAAAAATGGAGCCACTCTGCCCGACCACCAGCAGTCGTCAGTGACACACAGTCACACACCCACACCAGTGGATGCCGAACAAGATGAAGGAGATTGAGAAGGTGGTGTCAAAGTTATGCCTTGTTAAACTTGTACCTTTCTGACATTTGATTGTTTCTCCATCAGTTGTTATGCCTTCATAACCTGTAAGATCCATGACGACTGTGCCGTGTTCATACATGCCTCATTTATTCCCTGCAGTCAGACGCCCAACTTTTCTCCACCCATTCATTGTTCATACCATTTAATATTGTATTCATCAGCCTGATAGCACATGTTAGTGGCTGCATATTCCAATTTGTGAACCCGCAATCAGTATAGATCATCAGAATCAGAAATGTAGGATTGCCTTATCCTTATTTGCATTCCTCTGTTATCAGATGTCTGATTTTCTATCGTGCCGTAAAATCTACCTCAAGCATTTCGAGAACCTAAAACATAATTCATAATAGACATTTTCACACTGTTTTATATACAAAGAGATGTCTTTGTGGATTACCACTCCAACTACACTCAATGATTTCATATGATATACAAGATTATTTAAATACCTCTTTGGATTCACACAGCTGTGAGTTAAAACGAATGCAGAACTCAACTATCCAAACGCTTGTACATTTTGGGATAAAATAAACAATTTTCAAAATGTGTTGCCACTTTCTTTATTTGCAATGTATAGGATTTACAGTCTTCTCAGAAATAGATGTCCTGTTCAGTGAATTCAGTTGTCCTACCAACATGTTTTGTCCTCAGGGCCAGGTGAGAAAGAAAACATTTAACCATTCCTCTGCCTTAGAAAAAAGTTCCATGAGCTTTAAACACTTCACTTAAAACCTTTATCTACACAGCAGGATAACGATTTGATAAGATTACATCCTTGTGTGTTCAGTTATTGTGCCTTTTGTGCTTTTTGTTGGTAATCTCATCCATCACTCCTATTGCAAGCATGACTTAGCATGTATTTTCCTTATTTTCTTTTGCCCCTGCTCGGTTCATTGTTCGCCTTCAGCGCCGTAGTTCTGTTTGTAAGACGTTTGACATATTTGACTTTGTAGTCACTTCAGTTAGTTTGTCTCTCCGTTTGTATTTCTCTTGTTCTGTTCTTGAAATTGTACAAATTGGATTCAATTTTATTAAAAGCTTCCTCTTATCGTTACATCTGCCCAAATCCTGTTCTTTTGTCTGCTTAACACTTTGAATCCTATTGAAACCCATTTTCTGTAGGCAAGAGAAAAGCTATTGAGTTGACCATCAAAATTTTTTTTTTTTATTATGGATTTCAGATTCTTACAGTATTATGCATGTCCAGAGATTACAATGTACATTTTTTAAAAACCCTTAGGACACCCCAAAATATATTTCTATATTGCATTATCTCCGTGAAAGGCAGTATAAGAGCAGTCACTTTATTCAATCCAAAGAGAATTCAAGGCACCAAGCAGCTTGTTCGTCACTGACACACATACAATGAAAAACAAAACACTCACATGGATGATTTAGTCAATCTTTGATAGAAATGTTTTAATACGTACCTCGTACAAATTCTGCGTGGCAATTCTCCTTTGTATATACATACAAAACATATATAATGATCTGGCAAAAACTGTGGCACAGAGTGAAATCCTAAAAAACTGAACAAACACATACTATATCGAACATATCAAACACAATAAAACATCTATAGTGTAATATCTGGCAAGAAATCTGGCTGAGGGTAAGACAGTTCTTAAAAATCCCATGAGGATAATCAGCAGTATAAAAATAATAATAATAATAAAAATCAAATAAAATGACATTTCTATTTGTGCTGACTATATCAGCATGCAAGTCTTGTGGCACAAAGTAAACATTCAGCCAAACGGGCGGGACCTTTCATCAGAACAGCTCCCATTTACAGGCTCGTTTGATAGAGTGCAAATTCAAGCGTGTCGAAATGTAAATGCTAAAATAACAGCAGGAATAGTTTGTTTGCCTTATAGTTGGTTGTTAGATATTTTTGTAGAATAAAATACTGGGTAAGTGTATGAGAAAGAGGTTCTAGCCTCACTTGAGAATCTACAGGTACCCAGGAAAAAGTAACAACCATGGAGAACCACGGTTAATGCTGTCAGATAACTGTGTGAGGGCACGTTTCCTTTCCCTCGCAGGCTTCTCTGTGTGCGTGATTCCTGGAGAACAGTGCTGAAAGCAGAGAGAACAGCTTCTTCTCCCCGCTTGATATCCTCCTGCAACAGGAGCGCAGTTTGAAATCAGTCGGCTCTTGACATTTAATTGTATATTTCATGCAAATACATTAGTGTGAACTATCTTACATTCTGACAGCCAACCACACGCATAGAGACAGCACCAGCAGGGAAACAATGGCAATAGCAATGGCAACAGGTACCAAGACCTGCCCTGGCTCAGGAGTGGTGAACATCTTGTTTAATACTGAAAGACACAGAAAGGAAATCCAGAGGGTCAACAGAGAAAGAAAAGAATATAAAGATAAACTACAATTGAGCTGAATTCAGCAATCGATCATGAAAATCTTTCCTTTTTTTAAAATCCAACCATTCATGGATTTAAAAAGATACAAGATAACACATATACAAAAAATAAAATAAAAGAATAATTGTTGGATTCAGCAGCATATGGCAAGACCAGCAGATATTTGTTGGAGCACGCCGGTGTGCACGCCCTCGGCTCCCCACAGGAGCGAGACCACACCCTCAGTTTCCAATTAACATCCATCACAAGATTACATTACACAAAACCTCTGGCCAGCAAAATCGCTTAGGGCCACAAAAACTGCAGAGTTGACTAAAAACTTCAACCAAAACAGTAGTAGATAAACAAACAAGAAAGAAATGAAGTAGCAGTTGTGCATTAAGCTCCTGGCAGCCCTGGAAAAGACCCAACCCAGAGACATCATTCATTAGCAGGACGGGCACAGTCACCGGGATAGAATTCACATAACGGAGGCTGCAGGACCAATCATTTCATAGCATGTAGTTTGCGTGGGGTGAGAAACAATCATGATCAAATTAGGTCAGAATGTTGACCTTGCAATGTAAAGCCCCTTCTGATGCCATCCACTATTATTAATCAAACAACAGACAAGTGAGCAATGCTTTCATTTCATTTTCTGATATTGTTTACTTGCAAGTGAGATAACGAATCGCCTCAATTCGAAGTATACACAGGAAACTTTAGCTGCAAACAAATGGACCAGGCTCAGTGGATATTTTAATTTCAACAAAACTCTGAACACTTTTCAAACCAATGAGCAGTGCTGACCAACACATCATCAGGTGGGAACCTCCTCAACAGTATACTCTATCGTTCCATGTACTGGTTTTGTTTTCACATTTGTTAATAAAACTTTGGTTAAAAATCTCCTCCATTTCATTCCTCCAGTTCAAAGCATTTCAAAGCCTTCCCCCTTTCAATTTCACTATCTTAATTAATTATACAATGTTCAAATTCGGAGTTTTAATGTGTCTCACATGTAAAGCCATAAAAGCCCTCTGGTTAAGAATCCTGAGGGTAACATATTGAACATAATGTCAAATAAACGCCAATGTTTACAACTAAAGTATTATTCTAACAGTGTTGTACAATTTTAGATTGGATTAGAGTATATTTCAGAAATACAGTTGTAGATTTTACTGTACAGTGAAATATGTTAACATATTTTAAAGAATGCAAATCAGCTTCGCTGATACAGGTTTCTCTATGCATCAGTGAGCAAGCTAGTGCGTATATTTAATCTGATAAAGCCATTCTTGTATCTTCCACTTATATTATTAGCTCTGATAGTCAGGAATGCAGGAATGAAAACAGGAATGATTTTTTTGTATGCAGCTCAAAGAAATAAACCAATACTTTTACATTCTTAAAACAAGTCAAGACACAATAAAACAACACAAGTAAATAGCTATGTTACTGACAAGGTGAAGTTAATACTGTTATGGTGGTTAAACAGTTGTGTCTAGTACATAGGTTTCTGCAGTCGACCCTTAAGGCCAGCATCTTATCTTTACCAAGAATGTTTATCATCGGACTCGTCTGACTCAATAGCGGTGTTTCACTAAGCCATACTTACTAATATCAGTGGCTCATGCTGCATTTAAACAGATTTAGTAACCTTAACTTTCAGAACAACAAAATGTACAAAACAAAATGGATGTGAATATTTCATGATCATAAAGGGACTGTTCTTTCATTCAAATTCAAGTACATGTCAAAAGGAGATAAGTATAATTTTAGCAAAGATTTAAAGAAATCATGAGAGGTCACATGTTGCATTTTTTACAGTTAAGAGTCTACATTTTGCTGGACAAGCAGATGATCCTTCAGCCTCTTCACCCTGGCAGCACCTCTGTCTGAAGACAACGAAAGAGGTAAACCTCAGATCCAGATACATTTTTCTTGCTTGTCCTTTGTGCATTTAAAAGAGTTTCACGTCTGACAGTGTTGATTTATTTAACTACACAATCATTGAGTTTTACCATAAAATACACTAAAATTACAGGTAAAATGAGAACAACGTCATAAACAAAGATGGACATATGAGGAAGAAAAGGTTGGAAACTTACGATTGAATGATTATGGTCTTCGGGTGGAAATCCCCCCCAAAAAATGATGACTTGGTTTTGAACAAAAAAAGATGTTTCACTGCTCAGTTTGAACTTTCCTTAGAAATACAATTTGGACTGATTCCACAGGTTTACATGTTTGCAAACAAAAACAATTTTATGAATAATTTAAACAGATTCATCAATCAATTTACCAGCAATTATAGAATAAAAAAATAGGAATTTAATTTCTGATTTTTTTGTCCGTTGTATTTTTCTTTTTTCTTTAAAAAATCCATCCATACATCCATTTTCTGTGCCGCTTATTCTGATCGGGGTTGCGGGGGGGTCGGCTGGCTGGTGCTTATCCCATCGGACAACCGGCGAGAGGCAGGGTACAGCCTGGACAGGTCGCCAAGAGAATGTGTGAAAATGGTCCGCAAAACACTGGAGAAACTCACAGCTCATTTAAAAATGAACAGTGGCACAGTGGAAAACTTTCTTGAGGTCATATGATGAATATTTCAGACTGTTTTGAGCATTCTGTTCTGCTGTCTGGATTACTTTTAAAAGCACATTTCAGCGACACACACTTATTCCAACAGCGTGGTTTTGTACGGAAAACTTTTAAAATGCCGTGAAACACAAAGAACAAAAATAAGACCGTTGGTCTACTGTTGAAGGTGTTCGATACTATTTGCTCCACTGGGTAGTCCTTTTCTGCCTGTGGGCCGAGCAGCACTCAAACACAAGAGGAGCCGAGTGTGGGAGCAGCCCTACCTGGGTAGCATGCTTGAGGGCTCCAGTCACTCCAGATGCCCTCGTCTGCGCAGTACTTGATCATTTCGGACCGAACTCTGAAGCAGTTTGTCCCTGTATCGGGGCTGGGTGCGATGGTTAGTTTGGTGTCTTTGGTAGTAATCTGTCTCTGTTGGTAAGAAAATAAGTATTAAACTTATTAATAGATTACCGCTTGCAGTGCTTTAAACTGGCATTAGGCAGCATAATCAACATGTTGATTTGTTTATTCAAGACATTTTTAACAGAATATTTAAAGGGTAAATTAAAATTTAGTTTAGAAAAAGAAATTGTGTTTTTGCTAAATTATGTTTTTTTGCAGTTACTGGTATGTTTTACCGTGCTGAGTCATAAGTACATTATGTACGTTCAATGTATATGTATGAGTCAGCTTGTACACCAGGTCTTAACACAACAGTGAATATCTGCTTAGTCATACCAATGATATTGTTCCATCAGCTCCCTCCTGACTCTGTTCCACCTCCCATTCTAGGCAGTGTCCAGGAACCTTCCCTACAGGATCCTCCCAATGCAGTTCCAGCTGCTTGTCAGGACCTGCCTGGAGATGCAGATTCTGTGTGGCTGCAGCCTTCACTGGAAACACAATACAAAGACAAGGAAAAAAATGGAGAACGCCACAGGACAAAGGGCCTCCCTGAGCAGGCAGTTTTAATGCTGTAATACACACCGTGGTTCTGCATCTGCACGGTGATGCATGTTGGCCTCAGGTCCCCTTCATGGGAGGTGCCATTTACACAGAAGTTGATGTCTTTAAATAAAGGGAGAGGGTTTTCTGTCAGGTTGCAGCCACTCCTGACTCCACCCGACATAATGTATTTCGGACATTCCACTGCATGCTCCAAATTTTTATGCCTGTAGAGAAAATATTTCACATCATTCCTCTGAAAATGAAAGCTCATAAATTATGTCATCACTGAATTCCCCCATGGGATCAATGGAAATTATTTTAACTTATGTTATTTAATCCTATCATAATTCAGCACACATCTAGATGACATCTGCCATAAACACACACTATTTTGTTAACAACACCTCCCAAATAGTTTTAGGTGTCAAAGGTATTTGAAGACAATCAAATACTTCATGCAATAAATCACAGCTTTTGAATGAAAAGACAAGCAAAAGAGCTGTAAGAACAATTTATGTATTAATGTGATGCCTCTTCAAATGGTTCAAAGAGTTCTGATGTAAAAGATTTTTTCGTTTACTCCATGACGTTTGCATTCAAATTAATCACAAAAAAGCTAACCGTGATATCTTTGGCATATGAGGAGTTGTATGACACTTTGGCTGAGAACAGTGGGTCAAACAGAGGAACGTGCTTGTACAATAGAGAACTTGTCTTAATGTGACATACCAGAAATAAAGATGGTGCTGTGAGGTGGCTGGTGTCTTCTTGCTTCTTTTCCATTCGCACAACATATGCTCCATGTTATAGAACAAGCAATTAAGATCCTGGACTCCAGTGTCCTGAATTCCTATACGCAGGTGAAAAAAAAGGAATTTGTGGACGTTCATACATGTTTCACATAAGCTTAGATAATCCTTCATTTACTGTATGCTTTAAAAAACCACAAATCTGTAAGCAGCTGAGCTAACTGACCTGTACCGGGAGGTTTCTGAATCATCTCGGTATAGGTTTTGCTTTTGATCATTGTGTTGTTGGTGCAGGGCCCATTCAGCAAGGTGTAAACTCTGACTTTAATATCTTCCATCAGATTAAACTGAGCACTGTAACTCCTGGCAACCGTCCTGACAGCCTGGCAAACAGAGAAACATGTTAAACATGAAAGTTACACCTAAAGCATTTTACTCCAACTGACGTGTCGTCAGACAGGGGTGTTTACCCTCCAAGAGGAAAAAGTCTTAAAAGTGTTGATATATGCCTTAACGTTCTGTTTTTTGGGTATGTCGAACAATAAACAGTCATTTGGTTAATTTAACCTTTAAGCTTCCGGATTTGATTTTGATTTTTGGCATTCACAATTGTTTTTTTTAAAACTGGTTCGACTGTAGAAGACTGACTGGTGAAATAAAAGAATCACTATTGAACTTTTTACAACAGACACCATCATTGTGTCACTGCACCTGTAACCGTTGTTATGAAAAAAAAAAAAAGTTAGCCAAATAGGCTCATAAGACACAGATTTTCAGCTATTTTGGTTTCTATACAATGTATTCTTTCAAACTAAAAGATTTATTTTTCTACACTTCAGCAAAGCAATGCTGTATTACTTCTACATAATATATTAATTATTTACATTTGATCAATTCCTTTATCAAATTTGAAGAGCTAGTTATCAAGACATTAAGAAACATTATCAACAACTTACAAAATATTAATATCCAAACAGGGTGTTTTAGTGAAATTCTTTACTTTTCCTTGCATAATTTTAAAGCTACATCTACAGAAGTGGCTCACAATGGTGTTTTGATGTTGATTATCATACCATATGCATGATCTATTAAATTCAAAACATGTGCTTGCATTATTTATTTGTTTATTTTGTGCAGCAGGTATAGGACATCTATCTAAAATGCAGATGAAATAGTCAGCACTTACATCCCATCTGTCTCTGTAGGTGTTGTAGTACTCCAGATGATACATTACTGAGCACTTTGTCATGTTGATGGAACTCCTTGCAGTGCTCCATGTAATCTCAAGAAATCCAAGACGACCAGGGTCGAAAACTGAAATGTCCTTAGGGGGAAGCACTGCATAACAAAAGGGCAATTATAAAGGTCCAGTAAATACTTTGCGCCTTCTTCATATCTGTGCTGCAGAAATTGAACACATATATATATATTTTACCCATTCTGCAATAATTTGAATTGCTCTTTTTTCCTGTTTATATGTACTAATATTTATGACCACCTAAGTGGGGACACGTTCAGAAATGCACATGTGAAAGTTATGTAACTACAGGATTCTCACCTTCCAGTCCATTGCAAAGCAAACTCTCCCTCCAGGTTATGAAAAGCAGTATCCATATGCAAGACCTAAACGTCCGGGTTTTCGCCATCTGTTGCTAGAAACAGAAATATAAAAGGTATAAAAATATTTGTATAATATATATGTATATTTATGTATTCAAATGACAAAAATGATGAAGATGTGTGCAGTTGGAAAAGATAGCTGTGTCGTTTTACGCTCACGAGAAGATACAAAGTATTACTATACTAAAGGAAAGTATAATTACAGTTCCCGGTGAGTCCGAGCGTCCCTCCCAGGTTCACAGACAGGTTATAAGTCACAGTGCTGCTGAACAGAGTGAAGATTTGATTTTCTGGTCCTCTTTGTTGGGGCGAGGCAATATAAAAAGCGGGTGGGTGGAGTCACTGCCGGTGACTCAACGCAAAACATTAGCATTTTTCGCAATTTTCTCATATTTTGAGACTTACCCCGACTTACCCTTATAGATTACCATTAACTTCAATTAAAAGTAATTGTGTAGAGCTCACATTAGCATGAGTAGATATGTCAAATCTGTGAGCAAATTGAGGTCTTTTATTTGTGTTGAATTAGTTCTTGCTATATCTTTTATATTTTGCATCCTGTTTTTCATTTGGGGATGGCTGGGAAACTGAGCGGCACTAAACTCGTGTCCAAACACGTTCGCAGGAGCGACGATTTCCACCGAATACGCCAAGCCATAGGCGAACCCCTAAGAAACGGAAAGAAGAAGAGGGGAGGGGGGGGGTGATTCGATTTCATCACGTATTTACCGTTGAACTTTGTCATTTCCGCTCCCTTGTTTCACACACACAATTCCAGACTTCATTTTGACATCACAGATTTTCTTCTTGCTTAATCTTTCACCATGGGGTCATACTTTTAAAGTCTCATTTCTGCTGGCCGTCTCCTTCAAAATTGTGCACCACACGTCCCAGGTTCTGGACTGAGATGGAAATCTAGCAGATGCTGACATTCAGCATCTTTCCCTGTCTTACTCTGGCTTGGTGCAGCATCACCGAGTTTATTCAGATTATCTGAAGCCATACCGTCTTTCCTCTAAATGCTACAAAATCAATAAAGGGGATCTCATCTCAACTAAAAATGCTCCATTCATATTTTACACAATGATCAATTTTATTAGGCAATACTTAGGACACTTAGGACACAGGACCACTGCACAAAAACATTTACGTATATGCATTTGTCCAAAGTAACTTACAAGCATACAGGAGAATCAACGGTCAAGAACATTTTAAAGAACAATTTACTCCCGGTTGGTTAAGAGAAGAACATGAGATGGTGAAGGACAAAGATCAAGTGGGAGGGGAGGACTGACAGGAGAAGCAGATGTAAACAAAAAAGCTAATTTACAAACCCTGCCTCTGCGTTCTGTGGAGGATCCACTGGAGTATGTCCTGACAGCCAGCAGCCCCAGACAGGTAACCGGATCCTCAGGGTGGCTGAGCCAGCAGCTGGAGTCCACGGTGACCTGCTCCCTTTGCACCCCCTACTGGGGCGAGTTGTGTCTGGTACGAAGCGTTGGCATAATTCTGGGTAAAACAAACTAATTGGACTCAACAAATACAGACCAGATCCACTTTAAAGTGCAGAAGCATTCCACAGCGCCGGAGTCATAAGCAGAGTGGAGATGTTGGGAAGTGTAACAAATCGCTGGTGGTAAGACTCATACTGGATCAGGGCATTTTGAAGTCCAAGGACTAACGTTTCATCTTCTTTACATCTGACAAGCAAACAATAGGTCTGTCACCATTATCAGGAGTGTGTGAATCAGTGACGTTAAGAGTCAATGACTACAATTTGTGCCAAATTGTGCTCTAATCACCCCATAGACAATTGTGTCGTGTCAGTTTTGTGTCGTTCCTCAGCGGCCTTGAAATGTGAACTGTCGGATTACTCAGTAATTACACTGGTTCTTAGAATTCCTCGCAGGTCTTTGTCAGCACACACTGAAAAAAACCTTTCTGTGTTAAGTGTTTCTTACACAGATGCTTCCCGGAATTGTGTACTGGGACTTTTATTGTTTATTGTGCTGAATCACAACCACTATGTGCCAAATTGTGCCAGAACACTGGCTAAAGGGCTGTCACAACAGTGGTAGGCCTGTGGAGAAAATCATTAACTAAGCCTGTACAGAAAAGATAACGTATGTTGTTTTTTTCTTTGGACAGCAAGTCACAGGAAAATAAGGGGAGTTCATCCGACAACTGAGGTGTCAAGAGTGAACATGAGGGGGATCTGAGCACACCATGAAATCACCACACAGAGCATTCTATTCAGCGGTAAGTTCGTTTTTTTTGTTTTTAATAAACGCGTCAGCCTTTAACTCCATATTAACTGTCTCCTTCCTTAGAAAACTTTATATTATGTGAACTGATCATGTCCCAGTGTAAGCGTTGTGTGCCAAATAAGAGATATGACTGTCAATTTAACTGGTTTCACGTCGTTATGCTATCGTAAATCTTTTACCATTTCTACACCCGTCAATAAGCAGTGCCAAAAAATCCTTCTGTAGTTAAGCGGTACCATGCATCAATGATAATATTTTCATGAAGTCATACATTCCGTTACAGCATCTCTTTTGTCAGTTACCCTCAAGTTCAAATAAAGACCGTTGCATTTGAAATATTGAGTTTTGCATCAGTGACTGATTTGACATGAGCGGCCATGAAATTTGCCGACCTGTAAATCACAAGTTTGGTAGAAATAGCAAGTGAACAAAGAACTTAAGATAAAACACACATGAAAGCAAACAAATCAAAGCGCATCTTGCTTCGTTTTTTGGTGTTTCATCTTTGTGACATTTGACAGGAAATCTCTATCAGAAGATCTGGAAAATCACCCACATATTTTAGCTAGGCTTCACTTTCTGCTGAATAGAAATCTTTCTTTGTCACTTTACAAGAACCAAGGAAGAAGCTTAGCGTAACAGATAAGATCTAACCTGTTGAACCTTTGCCAAAACATCACTTAAGACAATACATGCGGGAATGGAGAAAGACTTGATTAAACGGTTTTTGACTTTCTTGTATTATTCATAGTGGTATTGAGTGATAGCTGTCTCTCTTTACTGAAGTTCCCGTCAAGGCTGCTATTTCACACATTTGTATTCCATGTACCTCACCATTTTCAGATAAGCCATAGCTTATCTGAAGCTGTTTGGATTTGACACACGCACGGCATTTTGGCTTGCCAAAAAGCTGTCTGCAGGGAATATACCATATCTGATAGTGAAGCACTACAGAAACAGGTCCATGAAATACCTGAAACATGATTGAAGATATTTTTCAAGGCCTGTCACTCGAGCCAATTTACTGTTGGCTGAGTTATGATCCACAGTTGTGTCTGTGGAAGGACGGCTGACGATGATTCATTTTTAAGTACAGGGAACATGGACAAAAGGCCCAAGAGCTGATCGGGGACACCGTAGATCACAACATTACTGAAGGAAAGTGGGGTCTGTATGAGGACGTCACAAAAAGCTGCCTAAATCCAAAAGGAACTTTAATGATCTCTGGAGAACTGTCTAAAGAGTGTCCAGACCGTGTTGAGGAATAAAGCTCTGGTTTTGTTCATACTAAAGCATAGCAAACTGGTAAAAACAGGCATATCATATCATCATATCATATTATCTTCCTGGGAAGAGCTACAGGAACAAGGAGTGGCACACATTTGCAGAGACCATGTCTTCAAAAATAAAAATATTGGAACAACACATTGAATTTCTTCCCTTTTTAAAATTAAGCAACTTAAAGTTAACAGAAGACAGTATACAGATAAAATGAATTAAAAAAAATACACAATTGAAGAATGAACACAGTTTAACAGTTTAACTAATTAATGAGAAATTCTCTTTAATGCTTCATGCATTTTCAAAGTTCAACAGGGAAGAAAATCTGTGAGTATGATCATCCCACTGGACCTTCATTTCAGCTTGTTTGTTTCAGAGGTGGCCAGACCTCCTTTGTTAGCTTAGTGGAATAGAGGAAGCACAACCTGATCACCATGAACAGGACTTTCACCACAGAACAACCAGAAAAACTGTCCAACAGCAAGATATATCTTCCATCCTAGCTGTGTTGAAGCAATTCAGAAATTAAGACGTCAAGGGAAACCCTGAGGCTGAAAAGTGGGAGGAGAACGAGAGACATTTAGGCACTAAATAATCTTCTTTTCAGCTCGTGATTTCTGCGTCTGGCTTCCATCTCAATACAAATTAAACCCATTCTAAGCACCTAAAACAATCCTCTGTATCCTCAGTAAATGAAGACAATGATACCCAAAAGCTGCAAAGAGTTTGACTTTATTTTTCACTGTTCATGTCTGCTTTTTTTTAAGAAAACCTTGAACTTTATACAGACTCTATGTACAGAGGTTCAGCATTATTCATTCTGTCGTCTTGCATGCATAAGACTAGTTTTAAAATACAAAATATTATGTACACCAGCTTGCTGAATTGGCTTGGCAGTGTTGTAATCAGACATGACTCACTGTTTCACAGATTTTGTCTGCATGAGATGAAATCATTTAAAAGATACAAAGCCAGAACAGGTAACATAAGATCAACAGATAAACCCAACAAAGAAAAAGTTATCCTGAAATGAAACACAATGTCGATAAATGGTGAAAGATATTCATGAGAGGGCCCCTCTTTATTCTGTGCGATCCCTTCTCTTCCATTCAGCCAAAACAGCTCTCTCCGTTTGGTGTGACTCATTTTTACAAGGAATTCCGATGTAGCGTCAGCATGAGTAAACATCACAGTTATTATTTAAATATTGTTGAACAGGAAGGCAAAGGGACCAGCTTAACGATAAAGACGTTAATTTCTCAGGTTTTATAGTTCTTGTTTGAACTTAAGGTACGAATGAATAAGACCAATAATAAGGAGGCCACAGAGCTGACGCAAACCTTTACTGATAGGCTTCCGGGGAAATAAAGTCTATCTGCTTATTGCTCTAAGCAGAAAAATATTTGTGCGGTCTACCTCAGGTTGTGGTGTCTTAAAGTGAACTTTCCTTTTAATGATTTTTATCCTTTGATCGCACAGATTAGCCTGTAAGTGTGTGATGTTAAGGAATGGGAAATAGTAGGTTTTACATTACAAAGCTTTTCCATTACGGAAAGCAATCTTTCTTTAGATTCAAAGTTGTTCTTTTTAGCAAAATATGGCCAAAACATTAGCAAATTATTCAGATAACAGAGGTCAGGGTTGTTTCGCTTTCTTGTTTTGTGATTACAGTTTGCCAAAAAAAAAGAAAAATGATGGAAACCGAGCTATTGACAGATGGTGTCACACAAACATCAAAGCAACAAGTTGTGGGTATCCACACATGCAATGTGTCACATGCAGGCAAAAATCAGCAAAACAAACACTTTGCAGACATGTATTGAAGCTTTTACTTGATTGAACTCTGATATGCACGGTGAATTAAAAACTTTATAAGAAATGTTGCACTTGTGAGAGAGAGTCTGTGCAATCCCTCACCCTTCGGAGACAGATACAGTATTTTTCTTATACAAAAGGGATTCTTTGTTTGGAACATGAATGCACCTCAGTCCTTCTAGCCAATTCAGCTCCCATTAATGGAAAAGCTGCTTTTTTTCTCTTCCTGCAAGATTTGCAATTACATGTTGGTACACAGTTAATATTTCGTCAGAAAAATGTATGGTTCCATTTAATCTGAATTTTTTTTTTCTCACAGGAGTGGTCTATAATCTGCTCTTACTCTGGAAAAATGCATATTTTTTGCATTTGAGCAGATGCATAAAGTCAAGCATCAAGCAAGGAGATAACAGATGTTGTAGAAATTCTTAGGGACTTTCTGCTAAAGCAAAAGGTTTGACCTGAGACTCTGTGCATGTTCAATACCTAAGGTCAGATAAACTGATTTTCATTTTGCTCAATCTCAGTGGCATCTCTCCTCAGAAATGCATTGATGTTGTAGAAAACACTTGACAGAGGGTAAGGTGAGGCTTGGCTTCATCAACAGCTGAATGATACCAGAAACACCTAAATTTGGCATGTTTTTCCCAATCTCAAATACAAATTTCTGAACGGATATTGTCTTTTTTATTTTTTGGACTGGCCAGACGTCAACCAAATGGGGAAAAACAAAACACCTGAAAGTCAATTTTATCATCAAGCGTTTGCTTCATTTCACTCTGGGCAGTTGCGTGCATCAACACCTTTCCTTCTGCTATTTTAATCGGAACATTTACCTTTTAATGATCAGCCTGACCCATAAAATGACATGAGAAGTTATAATTACAAGGTACTGACACACAAACTATGCCTCAAAGGCAAAACCATCACTTCATGTTACAGCAACCGCTAAGCTTTGTTGGTAGCAAATTGAAGCTGCATCTCTGCTTCATCAGAGAGGCACTACGTGTTAAAAGTCTTAAGCACCTTGTAAACTGGAGTGAATAACTTAAACTTCATTTGTAGATAGAAAATAAAAAGGGAACTGGGAATTCATTCAACTTTTTGGGAAAAAAAGAAAAGAAAATATACCCCTCCTTTAAGGCACGCATCATGTTGCAGATGTAACAATGCTGCAAATGTTGGTTTTCAAGGTGCTGAAATGGAACAACATCCTGACATCCTTGGATGTTTTCAAATGCTTGAACTAATCAAAAACCAGAGCTTTTGCATATTTCAAATTTTATAACTAGATAAATCCAGATCGCGAGGGAGGCATATTTTTCTCCCAGATGCGTGTACGGCCTTCCTGACAGCAAGAAGACGTTCTACAGTTTATCCACACATGGTTTTCACCTGAACATAGCAACAGTTTTCGTTGCTACCGACAGATCAGTCAAGCAGAACCCGAGTTTCTCTTCAGTTTGTCTGCAGGCAGTTTCACACTGTCTAGAAATTCCTTCATGATATTGTGGTCTATAAAGTCATTAAACTTACCTGCAATTAATGCATAGCTCTGTTTGACTGAAGATTTATTCCTACTGCAGGGGTGAAGTGATCTAAAATTACAACTGCCTAACTATGTCATTTGCAGCTTCTAACTGTAATTGTCGGTCTTTTTTTTTTTTTTTTGCAAGCTTGACTGAAAAATTGTTCACGTAGCTGCTGAATTCTAAGCTCCAGTCCACCTGAATAGTCCAGCCACTTTCAGTCATCAGCTACCCGCCGGCAGTGCCGCTGGGGGGAGTACCGAGAAAACAGACATGACAGCTGCATGATTTGCTGCATCTGAAAAGGTAGGGCAAATAAAAGAACGATACAGCCACATATAAAACATACCGAGTAATATTTCCCTGAAATAAGCCAAAAGAGTATCCAAAAGAATATGCAGCAGGTTTTGCTGGTCAGTCTAACTATGCAGAGTGTAATACCTTAACAGAAGTGATTGTCTCCGAGTGGCAATGAACACTTTTCTGATCCAAAAGCACACTCCTCAGACCCACCCTCCCCAAAGCATATGCAGTGCTAGCATGTCAAAACTTTGGTTCTACAAAACAAAGAAAAATCCTGTCTTCACATTGGATACAAAACAGGATGTTGTACCTTTAGAAAGGGCTATGAAGATCTTACCGAAATGATCAAATGTCACTTTCCAAGATGTTGCAAAGATGTTTGCAGGAGAAAACCCATCAGCACGGAGTTGCTTGTGATTTGTACAGGATTATAAAGACACAGCAAACACACCAGAATTTCAGCAAATTTGGCAGAATTTCTAAGAGACTGCACTAAAAACAGATGCTACCTTGCATTTGCCTTCAGATGCAAACGGGATAAATCTGCCCTTCATTCAGGCTTGGCAGCCGTCAAGAAAATTAAGAACCTATAGAAAACTTAGGTAGTTAAGAAAAATATAAAACTTGACTGACACAAAAAAGGATGAAAAATTTCCCTCAAGCAGCTTAGTCCTTCTATATGAAATAGTGAGTTATGTGCCAGTTAGCGCCTCACCAACTGTGTGCAGCGCAATTATGAAAATAGCGCTAGACCTCACAGATCATCACTTACGCCGAGGAGAAGATGTTTTTTTCTTACTAAGACACTGTCATTTTCAAGTGTTAGCAAGTCTTAACTGGGCAGCAGTAAGTGCAGTCACATTGTAAATCCCCGCGCACGTATGAGGACCCCAGCAGAGAAGAACAGGAAAGTCAAAATGCGGTGCACGTTGCTTTGCTGCTTGCTGACATCATAAAAGGAAACGTCACACCGTCTCCTGCTTCAGTCAACTGGAACAGCAGATTCCCCAAAAAGCCCAGAGCCACCGGGTCCTCACCCTGGAGTGGGGGTCTCTGGTCCCAGACAATGACATGATGCTCTGGGCTTGGAAGAAAAAACAGGTCCGACGCAGCGTTCAGGCTTGTATCAAACGGAAGCAAGATGCGTGGACTTTGATGTGGGCAGGTCCAGCAGAGCCTGGACGGTTACACCCACCTTGACCAGACCCCGCTCCTCCAGAATGTGGTGCGGCAGACAAAGCTTGTCCTGGGTTCACAGACATGTCGATCATCAGTTTCTTTCAACAATACAGACAGGAAGGGCTTTCCGCAAGGATTTATCTGTTAAATACTATTATGACAGGCAGATTTTGCTTGAATAATGCAGTGTTGTTTTTGTTTTTTCATTCCCTATAGCTATGAGAAGAAACCTCCGTCAGAAAGAAGTTCAGACATACTGTACACACCTACACACGAGAGCAATAAAAACATGACACGGCATGCAATGTTCTGACGTCAAGGATTATTGTATGTTTTTTGGTAATCATCATACATAAGTTCATAGCTGATTTTTAAAGGTATTTCAGTAACTTTTAAAATAACACGAAAACGGCAACTACATTAAAATGCAAAAACCCAGCAAAAAAAATCGATTACCTGTGGAACGCCAAGCTTCTTACAGGCATCCAAGAAGTTCTCAACATTCCTGCGACACTTTGCCATGCTGAGCTTTGGCTGAAGTCACAACAGTAATAGATGTCAGTTATTTCAATCCACAGGAGAAGGAAAAGTGAAAATGTAATGTTTTAAATCTCATGGTGGAAACAGGATACTTGTAATCATTAATATGTGTAAAATATGTTTTAAAGAAATAAAAAGGGTGATCCTGTATCTTCTTTGTTTATGACTCAAACACAGTTTGGTAGAAATAGAATATTTTTTTTGTCCAATATCTGCAAAAGGTACAAATTAAAATTAGACAAGAGTGCAGCCTACAAAAGGCTTCAAGTTAAGCTTCTTTCCACCCTTTTGAATGTCACCAGCCCCTCCCGCATTTTTTAAGCAAGTTTAGAAAGAACATCTTCAACTTAACCGGACATGACTAAGTAGACAGATTGGGTGTATCCATGGTTACATCAATGCGGTTGATTAGATCACACCAGTTACGACACAAATCCTAGATCCAGCGGGTACTTGATCCAATGAGTGTCTTTGTCAATTCAAATGAAAAACTAAATAACTAACTAAATAACGCTATTTTACTCACCACTGCAGGCGAGGGTATGTGGATACTGCCAACAGAACGAGGACAAATGTGATTGGCTAAATGGCAAAGGACCACCCCGTCCATCAGAGCGGCTCCAACATCATCTGGAAGCAGCACCTTCAGTCTGGACTCAACGTTCTGTAAACATAGAAAAAATGACCCACGGACATAAAAAAAAAAAAATCAAAAGGTGGATTTATATACTTTTATATAGCTATCACTGAAACACAGATTGTGTTCAGAATCTCTCACAATCCACACACCTCCAACACTCAGACCAGAGGCTGTGCGCTTTGATGAGTAGATCTCAGCGTGTCTGATAGCACCTCTTTCGTTGTAGTTAAAAAGATTTTGTGTGTGGCTAAACTAAATTCAAACCAGCCGATTGTGCTTTTCCTGTTATCAAAAACAGGCTCCGTGGCTTTCCAATCATTTTAATGAACAGGTCTGAAACAGTGAGGGTGAAAGCAGCATTCTGAGTTGTTCTTTTATGACTTCTTCTTCTTTACATGTGTTAGTGTTTTTTATTAGTTTATTTTTTCAGCTCCTTGGCAGTTACTTATTTCACATAAACTCTGGCTGAACACACAATTTTTTAGTAGGGTGATTTTGGATGCATGACTTTGAAAGAGCACGATCTTTTCAGCATCTGTTTTCATGTGTTGTCAGGGGTTCTCTGTGTTCTTACCAAATGTTGCGTGCTCCACACAACATTTGTTTATTGAAACATTGATGGTTTACGGTTTACTTCTCTGGAATTATGGAACAGGTTGACCTCAACAATCTTCAAATCTTTAGCACAAACTCCAAAAAACATGCACTCGGGATAGTAGAAGGTGTTAAGGTTTGCTCAGCACGTGTCATTGCCTTTTTTGTCAAAAAGGTTTAGTTGAATGTAAGTTTGGTAATGCCCCAGTACCACACAGAGAATCTGAAGCTGGAAAGCCTCCCTCCTCCACACTGAGGTGAGTCGAGACTCTGACTTTGCTTTGAAACCATGACAACCACAGTGTGGCCCCTTGTCACACAAGTAGGTTTTCACCAAGCTAAATCTGGGACTTATGAAGACAATGGCACCACCAAATGATGGATAGCTAAAGATTAAAAAGGCAATGTGTGGAATACTGAATAACTGTAGTTTTTTTGGGGATATTCAGAATTTTGAAGTTTTTAATCCACCTACAACTCGTTTTAATCCTCTTTTGTAATTAAGCCAAAAAAGTTGAAAAAGGTTCTGCATACTTTCCCACGGCTCAATTCTTGCATAGATACAATGGAACAATTCATGGATACGTTTCTTTTCAAGCTCTCACTGACAAAATAGAAAGAAAATGGCAATCATTGAACTTTTAATAAATGTTCAAGTTGTATAACCGCTAACCACAGCTTGGGGCTATGACTAAAATTTGACCCCACCTCTACTGTTAATAGGACTCAGTGTTTCCAGTTCAGAACTCTAAATTTGGAGACAAGTAAAGAGGCATTTCTCACCAGTTGTGACAATAATTGCATTGAGACTGAAAAACCTCAGTAAAATGGAAACGGGAAACAGTCAAACTTTTTTTTTTCCAACCTAAAATTCAATATGATTACACAGAATCTAGTAACTGTGTCATGAGAAATGGTGAACAACACATTATCTAACAATCAGGAATGTTGGGAAATCCATTTGATTTATGATGTTGTGGAGTAAACATAACGGAGGCTTTATTCTCTTTTTTTGCCGTGTGGAATTAACACTATCACATTTCTTCTACCTAGGAATCCACCCATGCCTTATCAGTTTTCATCTCCTGTTACCTGTTCAAAATGTCTATTTCTTGATAGCCTTAGGTACAACTCATGGGAAACAGGTAGCTTTTCATAAACATGACGATACATGCAACTGAGCGTTACTGACCAGTATTTACCCTTCTAAATAAATGGAATATTGTTGATGGAATGATTATTACCAAGAACTTACAGTTTGCAGGTTAGCACAAGACAGTGCTGGAGGAAATATCAGTAAAAGAATTATGTTTGAATTCAGTCAAAATAGTAAGCATCTTAGTGATATGATGTTATACAGCTCACTTTGAAATGAGTTTTGGGTTTATTGTAGAATAAGCCTGCATTTATTCATTGTTTGAGTAGACACAGCGCAAAAAGGTGGTTTGGACATTTCATTAGGATGCCTGCTTGATGCCTTTCTTTGGAGGTTTACTAGATACATCCACTTTAAAATGAACGAAGGGAAGCCATCTAATATGTTTTACAACAGTAAATGTTCTTCAGTATGACTACATTAGTTATTTATTTATTTATTAGTTTAACTAATCATCTGTGTGACTATGCGTACAGACATTTGGTACTTCTCAATGAAAAGGTACCCTTTAAGTGTTGCAGCACTCTCAAGGCTCAAGATCAACGAGCAGCTGAATCTTTCGATAAGACTGAATAAGTTTACTAGAGTATGAATCAACTCTGTGGAAACTCTGTGGAGAGGTTGCAATTATTTCTGTGTTGACAAGTGGGAACAATCAGCCAGAATAAACACAATAGTCTACATATTTGTCATTTTGACCCTGGGTCATCACGAACTGTAGAGAAAACACTGGAACAAAAGCAGGATCCAGCAGTCTGTGCTTGATGACTCACACCCCAAAACGCAAATGAGTAAACAAAGCCATTGGGCATCTGACCTGCCGTAATAATCCAATCTGCTCCATTTCCTCTCTCAAGTGTTCCATCTTCCTCCTCATCGTGAAACTGGGGTCTGTTGGGCTATACTCCTGACGGTTTCCTCTCGCAAAAGCTGAAAATATACAAATAGAGCAATGCTCTGAGTTCCAAATTAAACAATGGGAATTATAAGAACCAAACCAAAGTTCCTTGAAGCAATACTTGTATCATCTCAGGTCAACTTCAGGGCATGTGAAGCCTGTGTTTTTTCTGCCTGATAGACTTTCTTGCTTTTCTTTGTATGTCAAGCAAGAATTTTTTGGAATATCCGTTTCTGGGGGGAGTACCCAAATATTTGACACTTTTTTCGCCTCTCGACAATCTAACCGAGACTTTATCTATATAGCAGCTGTCAAACAGCCGTGCAGCTTTACCAAGTGAGACAAGGACGTAAAATAAAAAGCACAATTGACAAAGTCATATAATCCCCTACAGACAGTGAGTCAGTTATCCAGAAGAGGAAAAGTGAAAGCTTATCCACCCACTTTAGTTTGAAACAATCTGGTTACCGCAAGAGTGAGGCGCGAACAAAGAGCTACTGTTAGGTAGACTTAAATGAGTGAGTCCCCCTGGGGGACTGGGTCAGTGGCATTGGGGGTCTTGCTGGCCAGCTGCATCTGGCTGTCTGGGGTGCCTGGCCCCTTCCGATGCTGCTGGGGGGCTCTTCTGGGGGGCTTCCCTGGTTGCCTTCGGGGTTGGTGGCCGTTTTTTTCTGTGGTCGTCTTCCTGGGATCTGCACCCGGGTGGCTGCAGGGGGACCGGGTCTAGGGGCACCCTCAATAATAATTATTATTATTATTTTCATTATTGTGTCTCAATAATGTCCCTTCTACCAGTGTTGTTGCTTCTGTTTGTTCTTTTGTCTTCCCTGTGTCCATTTGCAGGAGCTACTATAGGTTTTCCACCCAGATTGCCCACAAGAAACTGTTTCTTTTTGTACACCTGGTCGTATGGTTTTGTTTTCTTTCTTTATTTCTTTCTCTTTCTGTCTAAAGGATTTCTCTCCTTTCCACTGCTCCTCTGCAGTTTTGGGTAATCAAGGGGGGGCTTCTCACCAACAAAGCCTCCCTTGGCCAAGCAAATTTGTTCAGCATAACACGGTACTCAGATTTCAGTTCTGCTGCCATAATGTTGAACAGGACATGGTTAAAAAAATAAAAGTAAAAAACTGAAACATTCTCATTACCACAAGCATGAGGAGCGAACAAAGAGTTACTGTTAGGTAGAATTAAATAGTAAGAGCTTACATCATCAGTAATATTTGAAATTCTAATAAATCTTACAGGAGAAATGTAACATCTCTTGTAGAGAAAATTTAGGATCAGCTAATAGATTTTAAGGAGCTGTTTGGCTATCCAGCCAACATCCCTTCAGCAGTTCAGTCTCGATGTGATGAATGGATGGCCCAAATTTTTCAACCTCACATTGGGGAAGGGGGTACTTTGTATTTTAGCCAAATGAAATAAATAGGAACCAGTTCCATGCCAACTTTTCTGAAATTATCATTAACAGCTCTTCCGTGTTTGAATTCTAACTAAGTGAGAGGCTCAGTGAATGTAAAGTATTGTGATGGACTGCTTAACACAGCAGGTTTCCCTCTAAATAATTTCAATAGACCGACTGGAACGGAACAAAACAGTTCCACGGAAAACAGTCAACGCTTCCAGAGAAACGATGTTTGGCTCTCAGGTGGTTGGTTGTAGGTGCACACCAAGCTTTCATTTTGAAAAATGTTAAGGCTTGACATAAATAATAGCTCTTTGTTCTAAGACAGATGCAGTGCTGAGACACGCCAATATTCACATGCCGACACCCCTTTTACATTGGCTTCCCAGGAATTCTCATTGCTCTCTACTGCAACCTAAACTAAAGAAGTTATTCATAGGCAAGTAAAATAGAACACATTATTTCTTACACCAATAAATAAGTATGACATTGACAGGTCGTAAAGATCAGACAAGATCTATTTATAAACCTGAGATACTTGAACAAGTAAGAAGGAAAAACACAGAGAAAAAAAGAAGATGAAGACAGTAACAATCAAGAAACATAAAGTTGTGGATTACCTGATCTTGGCTTCAGTCCAAACACTGTCAACGTTGTGCTAAAATCGGTGTTGCGCAAACTCTCCTGAGGAGAAAAAAAGCATTCATTACTGAGCATTATCACAGCAGTCAAAACAGAATGTTGAATGATTTAGGGGGATTGGGAATGTCCAAACGTACTTCACAGTCATCGTTGCCACAGGAGTTCTTACGAGCACTCTGACACTTGTACTGTAAGGAAAGGAAAGCCAAATCTATCACTTGTGTTCATTACCTCCACCTGGATAAACGTGTGACCAAAAAAGCGAAACTTCAGGGAAAATGCAATGGAGCATTTTGCATTCTACAGATGCTAAATGGTCTTAATAATTCTCTCGACGTTTTTTTCCTTCATTGAAAATCAACTTTCCTTCAGTAAACGTGTTTCTCACAGATTTTTGTGCTGACCAACTGAACATGTATGAAACCTCTTCTGTGTCTGTAAATCACTGCCAACCTTTCAGATTTTTATGCTGGAGAGACTGCTTGACCCAAGAGAATGTTGTGTTCACTGAACTTGATAATAACTGAACAGGTGAGTGTATTTCAGAGTATCATGTCCTGGGAACTCTAGAGAACAAACACAGGTCCGTTATTATTGAACTAAGAGAAGAAACAGTCCCCAAGGATCACGTGAGACCGCACAACTGGAAGAACACAAGAAAAAAAAAACTGACGTGGTAAGATTAAGCCCTGATCGCATTAAGGAGCACAATTACAGGAAATGTACCAGCTTCTACCTTTAAGTAGTCTTTCCTGAGGTACTTGTTCCGCCTTCGGTCTTCATTCTGATTGAGGACAGGTGGGACTTCAGGCCACTTTGGTTCTGAATCGGAGTGATCTGACTTCAAGCTGCCATCAAAGGAGCAGGATGAAGAAGGCTGCAAAAGCAGAAATGATTCTACTTTGTAAAGTCTTTGGATGGATATCTTTCTTTTTGGAAGCAATCTATAATTTAGGACTAGGAGGAAAGTGTACAGACATGGACAAACATGACTCTAATATATCAAACACAGTGCATTACCTGTCCTGTCAACACCGATGCTGCACTACTGCCTTCATCCAGAGAAGCACTGAAATAAAGACATGAGTACTGTCTGGTTATTTTGCCTACATACTGGGAGCATGCAGCGCATTACACAGAACATACTGACTATAGGCCTGCTTTGATATTTTCTCCCTGACATTCTCTAAGCTTGACAAGCCTAAAAAATGAATGACTTCAACATTTACAACCTTAACGGGACAAAGGAAGGAAGATCTGTAAAAAGAGTGTATTAAAAAGCAGCAGTATTAAGAGCAGAGCAGCTGTTTTCTGCTGTCATTGTAAAATAACAGGTGCTGCATTTTCTTTGGAGAGATCTTATCTTTTTTTAATGCCTTGTTATACAGGAGGGAAAAGATGAGTCATTTGTCCTTCGTCTATCAGCCCTAAATAACCAGCCGAGAGTTGTACATACCTACGGGCAGTCTGAGGTGGGAGTCTTTGTTTGCTGCTTGAGCTTCCAGAGTGACTGAGGAATCTGAAGGAGGAAACAATAGCAGCAATGCTCAATTTTAAAACACTGACACAGCATGTAAAACAAGAGATGTTATGCTGCTTGCACAAGTTCAGAAGAACCTTATCAGGTCCGCAATGTCATGTCATGTGCAAAGCGTAGAAACATTTTCAGATTCTAAGAAAAAAAAAACAGAATATCTAACCTTGGGTTAAAAACTTCCAAAAGAAGTAGTATATCCCAAGTCAAAAACATGACATTTTACACCTGCTCCTTAAAGTTTAACAGAAACTAACACAGTCTGGACCAGAATGACCAGTAACTCATTGGCAGGTTTTGACGTGTTGTCTGCAAACCATGTGCGATAACAGAAGTGATAAACCCCACGTGAGTACCTGTGTGCACGGCCAGTCACCCTTCGCCTGTGAATAAGACTCTCTGCTCTGCAAATTAAGGATCGTCGTCTAGGAATATACAGAAGCAGATCGAGGGGGGAAAGAAAGAGAAGAAGAGATTTGGACAAAAATGAAGTACGAAATGCAAAGTTTTTTTGTGAGCAACGTCGTGGCTGAGTGGGATTTTGGGAGGCAAGAAGACGCACAAGAGGCTAAATAAAGCAGCGGAGCATGTTATCATCTCTGACCCTAAACCTAAATTAAGTTCCGCTCACCTGTTTTGTTGCTCCTGCTGCAGAAGCTGAACAGCAATCTTCCTCAGATCCAGCACTTCTTTCAAGTCATCATCTTCCTCCTCAACCAGCTGCTCCTTATCAGAACTGGCAAAAGGTGAAGAGCGTAATCACCATTTTCAAAGAGCCTCAACACAGCATTTAAAATTCACACCAAAGAACATTTTCACTACCGTGTGAGCTGTGAACTTAATTCATGACCACATGCTGTATGCACGTCATGTACCTCATTTAATGAAAATCCACAAAACAATCTTCCAATTTGCAATTAATACTGATTACAAGAAAACACTAACCACACAGTGAGTACGGCTCGTTCAGAGAGGGGTAGGGTTGCAAGAAAGGTATTGTTTACATTGATGGAGCCAAAAAATGAGTCAAACCAGCAGGTGCAGAGATCAATCTGCCACAGAATCAGGCTGGAGCATGCAACACACACATGCACAATTTGATGAAAGGAGACTTAAGTTTAGCATTTTTTGATGGCTAATTAACCTGTCAAATAACAAAAAACGCATAGAGCCTCTGGAATAATCCATCCACTTATGGGCTTTGATTCTGATATTAAAATAATTTTCTCATATACAAAAAAATGCCTTCTACTTAGTTCCGTGGAAAAAAGCAAAAAATGGAATAACTACAGTCACAAATATCAGATGTCAATCACAAATATAGCGATTCAATACAGCTGCTGAACAGTGTCTCTGTGCATGCTTTTTTCAAACTCCACCAGGTTTAGTTGACAGATAAAGAGAATACACTGATTCATAGATCCTGTAAACCTTATACTTATATTAAATATATCCCAAAGAGAACTTATCAATTTTTGAAACATAGATGAGAAAGAGACTAAACAGATTTCTTCTTAATCTCACATCTTTTTAAATAATCTGCGGCCCAGAGTAGGTGGAAGCATTTCTGGGTTTTTATGTTGGATGAATGAAATTCCCTGATGGTGTTTTCAGATACATTCCTGGGCGTGTCCGGTGGTTTCCACAGAAGAACTCTGGAGAAGATCAGTGTCAGTACTGCATTTCTGATCTTTTAAAAACATGTTGAAACTATAACTCATGGCATATATTGGTTTCCCCCCCTGTGATGGACTAGCGGACAGTCCGGGGTGTACCCTGCCTCTTGCCCATTGACTTCTGGGTTAGGCTCCAGTCTTCCTGCAACCCGAAATAAGCGGTTCAGAAATTTGACGGATTTATGGATATATTGGATTCTAAAAGAAAACCATCACAGACCTTGTCAGACATTCCAGCAGACACAATGATTTAGTACCACACATCTTTTCCATACTTGTGTTCCATGTTCCCGACCTTTTTTAAAGGTTGTTTTAAAGTTAAAAAGGGTTGAATTAAAAGGCAGAGAATACCATTTTAAAACTTGTACAGTTTCCAGGGGCTAATGGTATTTCTGTGTGCATAGTGTCATACAATTGTATGGCTAATCCATGGCACTTAACCACGCCGGACAGTGACTCATTGGGATTAGTGGTAAAGGTGCTCCTGTCTTCCACCGATTTGTCTTCGCTCGTCTTTGTGAAGAAATATTTGTGTGCAATCAACAGTGGCGTGGTGAACGAAAATGTTCTTTTTTCTCAGGTGAGGTAAATAGCTTCTTGGACTGCGTCACCATAACAAACTCACCCTAACTCCTCCTTCCAGTTGTCTTTATCTTTGCATTGTTGAGACATGTTAAGAACTTTCTCCAGTTCCTGAAACATACCGAGACACACCCTATGTCAAATCCAGTTAACAGATTAGCATTCTTGTTTCCTACGAAGGCCTCAGTGATTTTACCATGCTTCTCTTGATTAAGGTAATAATTTTCCAGAAAGATATTCTGACAAAAAGATACCTTTATACAAGACATATGACTGCTTTGCTGCCCATCACACTCTGACAGAGCAGGATCCTCGTCGGGGTTGGGGTCTATAAAGTCATAGAGATCCTGATCTGATAGAGGGAGGAAGCATCCGCGTTCATCACTTAACCGTCATATCATAGGCACTTCATTCAACAACCCCGTGTCTCTGTTATTGCTTTCAAAGGGAATATGTGATAGTTATTGTCGGTAACCTTTGCAAGAGTCCATTTTGGAGAGAAGGGATAGGGCATCAGCACGAGCTGTCTCTGAAATTTGTGAGTGGAGGCTGACAGTGTCATCATCAGAGGGCTGGAGAAGAAGTGAGAAAAGGGAAGAATCAAAAGCTGTCAGAAAGATGTTGACAGCTCACAGTCATGATACCAGCATGCAACAAAGTGTGTGCAGACACCAATAGAAACATGTGAAGGCCCATTAAAGCACTAAACAAACATTTTTTGATTGAGGCTCCGTTAGACCAGGTTATGTTGTAGGAGGACTCTGTCGGCAGTGCTCTTTCAGCAGTGCCTTTATAACCAGTAATTGATTCCTGTTTGCTGCACATTGCTTTGTGTGTAAAATAAGAGGTGGAACAGGGGGTTGAAATCAGTCCCCTTCCAGGTCATAAAGGGTGGAAGTAACCCGAGGCAAAAACATCCTGCCAGCAAATTCAAGCGGCATTGTGAAACAATCTGACAAATGTTTCCTGAACAATCCAAATGTATTACACTTCTGTGTCTTAGCCTGCTTTAAGTTGTTTATCCACCAACTTCTTCTTTAATCTTCATTACAGCTATCCGTAGAACAACAGTGAATGAGTATAAACAGCCCTAACTGACACACACCCTGTAACTACCAGCTCAGCTCCAGCACACAGATTGCTATCACTTTAGGAGAAACGTGTGTGTTCCCCCACCAGTTTTCAAAAAAAATCATTTTCATTTGCAACCCATGCGTTCCACATTAGACCCGCAGAGCTGTTGTTGCTGCCCACATCTTTGTTTTTCTTTACAAAGTCTACCTTAACCTCTTGAGTTGTGTCTGAGGCGTCATCCTGTGGATGCCCTTCACTGAACCAAAGAATCTGTTTGCTTCATAGATGCGCTTTACAAAAAAACTCACCAAAAAAAAAAAAAAGTCTGCGAAACAGAACTAATACTTTGTAGCAAACATCCTGTTGAATGCTGTGAGTTCCTGCACTGACCTCTGTGGTAGACAGCCTCTTGTCTCCATTGTCACTACCAATTCCAGAGTCAGGCCCGTGGTTCTTAGTGGGATAAAAATCTTCCATGCTGGAATTAAGAAAGACAATTCATACAATAGGTAACAAATTAATAATAAAGAGAACGTATTGAGAATGCAATTAAAAAAAGGTGAATAACAAATATGTTGTGCTTTCATGTGGAGCGTTGAACAAAAGTAGTTTATGGTATTACCTATCTGTTAGGGGTTGTGGAAGGCAACGTTTGCTGAGGGAAGGGAGATCCAGGGTGTCCGGTTTCTTATCCATTCTACAAGCCTGGATGTTTAGGTACTTGAATATGTGAACTTTGCCCTTCAGGCAAATCTGAAATAAACATGCATACAAAATACGTCTGGAGACCCAGTTGTTGGCACCACCTTAGATTGAAATATGTTCTTTCCTCCACTAGATGGAGCAATTGTGTCACGCCAATTTGCGTGTCAACTTTCATGTAACTGGTTCACATTAGTAACACAAGTGCATGCACAAACCTGTGCAGGTGGAGACTGCATAGGATTGTTGTCCAGAATGATGTGCTGCAGCTGTCGGAGTTTCCTGTAAGCTGTAGGAATCTCTGTGATCTTATTGCAGGAGAAGTCCAGTCGGATGAGCGGCAGGTCTGCTAACTCTGAAAGTACAGGGGAGATTGTTTTAGATTAAATGGCTGTGGCTGCACTGGACCTTGCAGTGGTGTTGGATATTTTGTTAAACCTTTCATGTTTTCCATACTTTCCATACATGAATATAACCTTATTTTCAAATGAACAATCCAGAATAAAGTCAAATTAAAACAAATTAGACGTAGATACACACATTTTCTTTGTAGCACTTCATTGCCAGCAGACTTGGTAATTCACAGCATCACTGCAGTTGTTTAATCATACAGTAGTTCAGCATTCTATTTTTTATTATTATTATTTTTTAACTGATTTTGTGTAAAGCACTTTGAATTGCCCTGTTGCTGTAATGTGCTATACAAATAAAGCTGCCTTGCCTTGTTATAGTGCCAATGGAGTAACTTTATAGCATCTTCTGCTGGTGTCATCACACCCATCCACCGTTTAAATATTACCACTTATTGGTAAGGGACAGTGCTGTGGTGGTTAGCAGCGTGGTCAGGGGGACCGGGGCTCTCTGTCTCTGTGAGGAGTTTGCATGTTCTCCCTGCGTCTGCGTGGGTTCTCTCTGGGTACTCCGGTTTGTTCCCACGGTCCAAAAACATGCATGTTATTCTGATTGGACACTCCACTTTGCCTGTAGGAGTGCTTGTGTGTGAGACTGTTTGGCTGTTGACTGTCCGGGGCGTACCCCGCCTCTCGGCCGTTTGTATACTGGGAAAGGCTCCAGCGACGCCGTCGGGAATAATCAGGGCAGAAAAAAATGGATGGGCCTGCTTCAAGGCAGAACTTAACCTTGACAAATTGAAATCACCTCTGATAATTTGTATTTGTTTTTTGTGTCACAATAATTGAATGATGTATGATTCATTGAAGATAAACTTATCATTTCATGACAGTCTACACAAAACAAAAACTCAAGTGGTGTGTTTTTTGGCTGTGAGAGGACGGGTCTGGCTGCCAAAACTGTAAAACTGTCAACTCAAGGTGGTTACCTGATACCTTCAGCACAAAGTAAATTTATCCATAAAAAACCGAGTATCAAAATAAAAGTACTAACCCTCGGGCAGCATGTGAAGACAGTTCTTCCTGATGTTAAGCTCACGTAAAGCTTGGAGCCTCCCCACCTGAGCTGGCAGGACCTGAATTTCATTGCAACTTACATCCTGAAACAGGAGACAAAGTGTTGGAGATACAGTATATTTGCTGTGGTCGTCAATATTTCAAAGGCCGATACGCGCTGATGAATGCTCACCAGTTCCATCAGCTCTTTGGCCTTGCCAATCTCCTCAGGAATGGACACAAGTTTGTTGTTGCTGACGAGCAGAACTTTGAGGGGCAGGTTGAATAGGTATTTTGGTAAAACTGACAGGAGATTTCGGCTGCAGAGGAACACAAAACATTGACCTACATTTAAAACAGCAGACAAAGGCATTGGGAATTCGGTTTTGGCAGTAGAGGAAACGGGTCTCTTTCATGAGAGCTTTTTTTTTTTCATGCTGCTGCTGTAAAAGGGGAACAAGCAACTCTTCAGAGACAGGCAGCAAACACACAATCAGTTGTCTAAAGAAACTTGGAAATATAGACAATAAACTGAGGGTATATTGTTAGGAATGCCTCACCTGATGTCAAGATATGTCAGCATCTGTAGATTGATAATGGCTTCAGGGATGCACTTGATGCAGTTGTGGTAGAGGTTGAGAGACTCGAGAGGAGCGAACAAACAGACTTCTGGGGGGATTTCTGTGAGACGATTCTTGGACAGATCTGCAAGGAGATGAAAAAGAGCCATAGATATATAATGTATATAGTTGTAGTCTCAAGTTAAGTATTGCCTTGGTATTTCCAAGATCAGTACAGAAAATGGCTTTGGATTTCTTTGGATATACCTCAAGAGAATCTTATCAAGGCATTTCACAACCATGTCAACTTCAAGGTAATACTAAAATAAAATATAACTGTGAGTCATATTTTCAGAGTTATTTATTTGAGCTTTAAACAAAAACTCCATAAAAGTAATTTGGATTTAAATTGGGCAATGAAGAGCAATGCTAGGTATCCTATCAATGTTTTCCATATATCAAGGAATAACGAAAATGAGGCATAGAGGCGTGTAATCTATATTTCATGTCCCAGTAACAAAATAAGTGGTATAAGTACAATATTACAAAAGTGGACTGTTGAAGGTCAGTAAATCATTAAGTTGAAGGTCAGTAAATCATTAACAGCCATGTAAAGGTTGGAGATTTGCTACACTCTGGACTGCGGAAGGACTGGAGCCTCTCAAGAGCAGGAAATACATATACATATATATATAAAGGCCTCCTTGTATTCAGCATTGGATTATTGATTCATTGCCTGGAATTGTGTGTGCATGTGTGTGCTTGAACAATTCTGTTTTCTGAATTATCTCCAGCTGACAAGATAATTAAGGCCACTGTGAGGAGCTGCATAGACCCAGATAAACGCAGATAGACCCAGATAAATCACTCAATTATCGTGTCTCTTCTCACTGGGGTGCCCTATTCCTTCTTCTAGAAAAGCAAACATGGTTACAGCTCAATCCCCTGATTCGAGCAATTACATGTCCATGCCACTCTTTATTAAACAATTAGCCTGTTTGGGCTTTACTCAAAGAATAGTGTGAGTGGATCAGAACAGATAATGTATTTTAGTCGTTGTTGTTTAGTTTTTGTGGTGTTGGGTTTGTATTACTGTTGCAAACTGGCCCTCACTCTTCAGTTCAGTAAGCAGAAGTGAGAAGCAGACCAACAAGGAGAAAAGAAGTCTAAAGGTTAAGGGAAACAGAAATTAGCACATAGGGACAGACCAAAGCTGAGGTCACTTGCTCTCCATTAAGACTGAATTTGGCCTCTCCCTAAGGGATGGATCTTGATGGTGTAACCCAGCTGTAATCAAACAACTCCCCCACCTCGCTCCATCTATTCCTCCCTCCCCACAACTGGGTATTCTGCTCTAGCAGTGGAATCATGAGGGTCAGCGATAGAGCGATTGGGAAGAAGGGGCGATGGCAGCCTTTGTATGCCTGTCTCCATGTCTTTCTCCATCTCTTTCTCCACGGAGCATGCACCATCTGCAGGCCACAGCGGGCCTCTAATCCACCTGCTGGTCACCTCCAGTTCCCACAGGATGAGGCCCCGCCAGGCAGATGAGCCCTCCATTACGGCTCCACTCCGCCTCTCCCTCGCGCTTTGGCAACAATCTATTCATGCATCTTGTAGGGGGCAGGCGATACTTGGTCTTCCTGTGACACAGCAAAATCTATGCTAATACATATGCTGCTGGGATCTGGAGCGATCAACCATATTCATGAGTTGTCTCTCTGCTGGGAGTTGAAATTGTATGGTTACGAGCAGGACATATCCTATTTTTTTTCATTTAAAAAGTCGAAGAAAGGAGATGTCTTAATGAGATACAAGGACAATTTAACAGCCATCTTAATTAGCCAATGATTCAAATGAAAAATCTGATGATGAACTAAAGTGAGAGATGATGTGTCCAGGTGTCTGCCTGCTAAGTTTGAGATGTTGTCTGATGTGTATCTCTGCTTGGCACTGGCATAAATGACTGGGATGATAATTCAACACTGCTGACTGGTCTGTGTAACGTTTGGGCTGAGGAGTTGGCCGGTCTCTGCATTAGCTGTATTTATTCAGGGACTTGCAGAGGTGCTGGCTGTGGGTGTTTGTTACAATACACAAATACACATTAAATGCCCTGCGATCCTTAACCACCATCCTTAACCTGCATCGTTAAGTCCTGTATCAAGAATGCAAATGTTCATATTACCAGTATACAGGTCACAATATCATTGATTGAGACAATTTGAGAGGAAAAAGGAACCCCACCACAAATAAAGCCAACACACTTTTTAATATTAATTACTTTTATTGTTACATCTCTTGTGAAGTTCCTTTTTTGGTTAGATTAAGTTTTTTCAAACAAGTTCTTGGAGCATTCTGATAAGAACGTCTGCAAACCAGGAGAAAAAAAAGAACGTCTCTCCCTGTGTTATCTTCTGCTGTTCTGACACAATCTTTGCAACCGTAACAAACCAGAACACAATTTCACCAAAACTGAAGTATGAAAGTGTGTTTTATAGTTAAACTATGGCAGAGACATCACTGATTTAACAAAGCTTTCTCCTCTTGTTGAAAGAAATACAAGCATCTTGCTTAGACAGGAAGATAAATGTAAAGCCATCAGTAGATTTTTCCATTTTTAATCTATTTCTGCTGACTCATTATACCTTTCTTAGATTGAGTATTGGAAAAAAACATTTTGTTTTTTGTACTGATTATGTGTTTCCTATGTGAGTGCACCACTGTGTTTTTGTGGTGTGTCTCAGTCACATGGAAGCCTTGGGGTAGGAGTCAGCCTTCCTTTTAGTTGCTTTTAATGAACACTGGCACTCTTGCTATTTACAGTGGTTGATTTTTAAATCTGGGAATGTCAGCCTGATTCTTGTCCTTGTGGAGAGACCGTCTGACTCTTTAGCTCTTAAAGAATGTTGGACAAGTGGCTACAGTGCGAGTTCTGTACATTTTTTCACCTCTTCCTACTGCGGGAGCTTTAAGCAGTATATTTGAGATCAAAGTTGGGAAACAAGCACTCTCAATTGGAGATAAATGTCACATCTCTATTTTTCTTTCTATTCTGTTATATCCTGGGTACAACCTGGTTATCTTATATCAGAAAAATACAAATTTGACACCAAATGATTCACAGATAAGAGTCCTTGGTTGTGCTGAACGGCCAAATGACGGCAAAATAAACAAAACCGCAATCCCCATATTGTTATATGTACTGTAAATAAACCATTGTATTCATTAAATGTTTAATTGTCTCGGTTGTTAATACAGATACATATAAAGGCAGGGGCATGCTGGGATATGAACCTGAACATCTGCCCCGGGCCCAGAGCTGCTGTCTTGCCCTGGTACACAAGGTCAGAGTAGGCCTCTTCCCCTTTCTCAAAGGAAAACAAAGTGACTGGAGACAAACTGCCAGTAGCACAGAGCAAACAGACACCCCAGTGTCAGCAGGCCTCTGCTCCAGCTGATCAGCTGTCATACAGGTGCCACTCATTAGACTCTGCCCTAAAAGCTGCCCCAAGACTGACTCAAATTAGAACATCTAATTTATGATGAGAAGGAATTTAACAGTCATGTGACTTTATACTGCAGGAGGAACCAAAGTTACACAAAAAAGTGCCACAGGGCTCAGTCATTTCTTCTTCTTTCCAAAACTACCAATTGTCAAGTATCACAACAAGGTTAATCTCAGCTGCGTAGACTCTATTGTTATGCCTGAATGCTTCGCTTGTAATGAATCCACTAACTTTAGGTGTTAAGCCTGCACACAGTTTGTTTCCAAAGCCGAAATTGTGGCTTTGCTGTGAAGTGTTGATCTCTCTTTGCACTGCTGAAAGTGTGACTTCCCTTAGGCACCGTCTTAATTTGACCTGTTGTAAAGCTGAAAAGAAAGTAAAACTGAAGTAACTCACGCCTCAATAGCAAACGGTTACAGTCAAAGCAACGGCTCAACGCTGTGACTGATGTGTTTTAAGTCTTTGTTATCGGGATAACAGCACAACATGACAGATACTCAGACAGCCATTATTCAAATAAATGCCATTACCACAACATAATCTTAAATTCCCCAGGGACTCGTGCTCATGACCTACGGTGAAGAAAACTGTGTTTGTTCAGACGATTAGAGGCCACACAACAAACCACTTAAATGACTAAACCAGTGGTTAAAATGATGGATCTACACACAAAAGAAAGATATATGATTCAAATTACTACATGCTTTCCCTCTCCAAACCTGTGGTAGACGGAGCCTCCACTTTGATGAAAAAAATACCTTCTTAATAAGTCATGATTAGCTTCCTGGAGCTAGTGTCAATCATGCACATACCATTGACTCTTACAAACACTTTAAACATTTAACGCTAGCGCTGGTGGGATATGTGCATAGAAACTGTCACACTTTCTCGTTCTTTTTTTTAAAAGAAGAATAAATATCCCTGGGTAAGTAGGGCTATAGAAAAAAAATCACTGACTTGTCTTGATGAACTACCGCCATATGGCACGTGGAGCCATCAGAGGAAGCTATCCTTCAGAAATCCAGAATATTGTTGGTGTCCGTAATAATGACTGAAAATGATGCATTCAACACTAGCTCACCACCATTATTCATTCTGTCTGCAGCTTACAAAAATAAAATAAATCTTATTCACATCAATACATGCTCCCGTTCACAAGGCTTTTATAGAGGCCAAATGTCTCCCATTGAGCTGCCTGTCTGAGAATGCGTAAAGTGAGACAAGTCCTACTACAGCACAAGGATAAAACTTAGTATGTATGGCCATGCTCTGATAACACCACCTCCAGCAGACGTGACTGACCTACTGACTGACCTGCCTGCAGAGTAAGGTCACATTTTCAAGGGAATCCATTAAAATCGGAGTAAGAAATTATATCTATCTATCCATCTCAGCGACTATCAGCCTTCACATGAAACCCTATCAGATCTGGTCCTCCCTCTGTCTGACAGATAATAAACTATGTGTTCATCTACAGCCAGGCAGGCAGCCAGGGGGTGAGGCTGTGAGCACCATGCATCTTTTGTCTGCCGAAAATGAGGAAGGGGGTGGAAAAAAGCAGGGGGGAAAAAACGCCAGTTGCGTGTGCCACGCTCACCACAAAATGTTCATTTACAAATCGCCTAAAGGTCCATTCAACTCGTGCCCCGGCTATCAAAGGCAGAGCTGGCTCTGATAATCTGCGCACCCTGCCCGCCTGGGTGCGCCTGCCGTCTCATTCATGCGTCTCCCTGGGGGGGCGGGGGGGGGGGGGGGGGGGGTACTGAAATGAAAGCTAGTGGCGTCGACCAAAAACAGCCACACTTCTGCAGCCGCTTCCCTTTGTGCAGGAAAGTGGCGTGATATAAGAGCCAAGGTGGACAGTGATTGCGGGCACAGGAGTTAGTCCTCATCCTTTGGAACACAGTCACACGTTGCTGCGCCCCTATCCACAAAAGCAGGCAAAAAAAAACACATGCACACAAAAAAAAGCATGCAAGACCGAGGCAGGCTGCGGGCACCAGCGCCCCTCTCTGCGTAACAGCGCGCTTCTGTCCGAAACCTGGCCCGCGCGCACCCAGGCAGACCCACCTGCTTGAGTGGTGTCGGTCAGATCGTAGCTCATCCCCGGGTACTCCCTCAGCTTCCTGCCGCTCAGGTTGAGGATCCCGGAGCACACGGCATCCTCCAGAGCCCGGTCCAGGCTGCGGGCCGTGAGGTGCTGCTGCTGCTGCTGGTGCTGCGGCGTCTGCTGCTGCTGCTGCTGGTACTGGCTCATCCCCGGGCTCCAGGGAGGTCCGCTGGGGCAGTGGTGACTTTGGGGAGCCGTGACAGCTCCCACACTTCCCTGACCAGTCGCCATTTTCGTAGAAATAAAAAAAGAAAAGAAAATTCTCTCACAATAATAACAGCGCACAGCGGCAGTCTCTCCGCCCATGCGCATACAGGGCGCATTCCCGGGACGGACGCTAGGGGATGGGCTTGTGAGGTGGTGCTGCTGATGATAGTGATGGCAATGATGAGGAGGATATGGTAGCCATTTTAGGCTTTTACCCCTTTTACATGCAGTGATACCCAGCTATCATACTACCCCTGAAAGCATTCAATCACTACAACTGAAGGATGCTTATCCAGATATCCTTTTTTTTACAAACATATCCTCCCTTTTTGCATTTTCTCTTAGTGAATATCTTAAGTAGGGCCAGACATGATGTGATCATGTTGTAATTCACATCTTCAAAATAAAAGGAACTCAGAATAGGCCAATGTGATTAAGACTGCAGTTACAAAATAATGCTGGCACAGTTTGATGAGTTTGTGGCACCTGGTGGAAATAGTGTGGGGGGGGCGGGGAACTATAAAATATTTCTGGAAGGAACCTTAACTGGATGTGTGAAACTCGATGCTGGGTGATCAAGGTAATCTTTGATTACAATGAAAATTTAAACTAAATGGAACAGTTGTAAAAGAGAAACATGCAGGTCGACCAAGGAGGACACAAGAAAGCATCAGGGAGGAACATTAAAGAGTAGGAAAATAAGGAATAACAAATGGGCAGAAACGTGTGTCAGAGAAACCTGCAGTGATTTCTGAAAGAAAAAATAGATGTTTCTCTAACTAATTAATCTCCCACTTAGCTCTAAGTAAAAAAATAACCAATGGAAATCTGAACCAATGTCATTTAGGGCAGGCTGTAGTTATCTTCCTAAGGCTTTTTATCTCTCTCCTATCAGGAATGCTCTGTGAAACTGACAGTTTGCCTTTTTATTGTCATACCTCTGAGAATGAATATAGACATGTTATTATTTTCAATTCCAAGTATGTGTCACTCTCCTGAAGAGCTTCTGAGAACGTTATTATTACAGGCGAGTCACTACAAAGAATTCAACCAATGTCTTTTTATGGGGTAAACAAATAGGTTGTCAAATATCCTATCATTTCCCTGCTTTCCCTGTCATCTACGACTCAATTGGAAAAACTTTTTGGTGCACAAACCACAAGGCTTTTAACCACTGAATTCCAAGTTAGATAAAATGGACATATGTTTTCAAGTTGGAAAATCTCTCTGTCATGTGTGACGTTAACACGCAGCTCCTGTCCTTCATCTATCAACACTCAAAGTTTAATGGATACTTAATGCATGTCCTTTGAGTTGAGAGTTGTTTATTTCATGCCTTTTTATTCCAAGGTGTCCTTTATCCAACCGATACAGCCCTTTTTAAGAGGAAATACTCTGCTCTGTGAAAAAGTATCAGACTTTAGGAAAGTCAAGGGGATAAATCGTATACACCCCTTAAGAAAAAATATCAAACATGGGCAGGGGGGGCAGGCAGGTGTAATTGGAAGCAGGATAATAGTTTTTAATTTGAAGTAAAAAAACCCGGCTTTCCGCGGTTTAAGGAGTCTCGTTCCTGGGCGCGCGCAGCCCGGAGCCGGCACGCGGACGCGGTAAGTGACGTGCGCACTGAGCAGGCGTCCTGTCCTCTCTGAGGAGCACCAGGCGGAGATCTCCTCGCATCCCGAGAGCTCGTTGTGACAGAAAACATTTGCGCGTCGTTACCAACATGGTGACGCGATAATATAACACACACACGCACACAATTTTTTTGCTGAAGGTATGGAGCTGATTGCATGTAGTTTTGTGGTGATTTTCTGGCCGGAGACTCGGTGCATTGTGGCGTTGCACAGGAGTAACACTTATCTTAGCTAGCTCAGTGGGCTGTTTCTACCGCTGCTGGAAATCTGCAGCCAGACGGGGGCTTTAGGGGCAAAGGGACGGCGTTATCTGGATGATTGTTGAGGGTAAAATGTCAGCTGTGCGCAGCGGTACTCGTACAGAGGCTAAAGCTAGCTTGCCATTTCACTCAGGGCATCGATTGGTCGCTAGGCTAAACATTAAGGTTGGCTAGCGTTAGCTAGGTGAAGTGATGGCTAGCATCCAGTCTAGGCCTGTTCAACAGTTTGTGGCACAAAAAGACTAAGATTACATATGAATGGTAGTGTTTTGGAGTGTTAACACCCTGTTCAGTGAGCTACTTTATGTAACACAGTCTGTGTTTGTCCACTCCTCTTGAAGGGCTTCAGCAGTTAGCATCGAATTGAGGGTACCCCTAGGTTTTGCTTTGTGATTTGATTTTTTTCCAAGTGTGCAATGATATCGCTTTCTCGGTCCCTGGGTAAAGTTGAACTGAATCATTCCCTGCTTTTCTTACCCGATTAAAGCCTGTATCTATGCAGGGACACTAAACCAGGAAGCTGTTAATCAGAAAACAGATGTTTGCTTGTTTACCTTTCAGTCAGCAGTGGTCATTTTCTCCCCCCCTGGTGACACAACATTTATTCTAGGGGGAGACTAACCCTGGACCCTGGTTGAGATGCTTTAAGTTATTCATACTTGTAATACATGTAAAGTTGTTTCTGAATAGAAACAAGAAGTGACTTAAGTAGATAAGGCACTGTTTTAGGGATGTCAATGATTGACTTTCTTTAGCAGTCTCTGAAAGTCCCTGAGAAAATGACAGAGATTGTTCTAAGCGTGGGATTGGGCGGCTGTGGCCCAGCTAGTGTCCTGGTTGCCTTTCAGTCACATATGTTTTCAGTGTACATAACCAGATATTTCACCCCTGATTACAGATGAAAGTCATCATTTTATGCATATCTATTTTGCCATTTTTTTAATACTATTGACGGTTTGTCTTTGCAGTCCGAGAATGGCAGATAAAAAGGGAAAACCAGTCACTCCGATCAAATCACTCACTAAAAAAGAAAAGGAAAAGCTGAAGAAAAAGGTATGGAAGATTCAGGTCCCGTCGTAATACATATCTGCTCCGTGTTTGGATGAAAACACACACCAGACAAGCAGACATTTTTCATGCAGACAAATGCATTTGAATGAGCTGAATTATTTAAACGATCCGGTGGAGAAAACATGGATACCTTTCTATGTTTTTATCTTTCTATTTGAAACCCAAGGAGGAAGAGAAAGCAGCAGAGGTTTTTGAAGAATTTGTGGCATCGTTTGAGTCCAGTGAGAAAAGCAGAGTGAAGACTTTTGTCCACGGGGGAATAGTGAATGCTACAAAAGGTGAGCAGCGACAACTGAGGAACCTCGGCAGACGAAAATGTGCATTTGATGCAAAACACGAATTGCAAATCGTCCCTGTTTTTAAAAAAAAGTATAACGAACACCAGATTTTAAATCAGATGTATGATCCCCATTTTTCTGTCATTTATATGGTTTAATATAACCACCTTTTTGACTCCAATATTACTGTAAAACACAAAGATCAGTGCTTTTAACTTTGTTAAAAAAACTTTGTTGTGACCATTTTATCTGCACATTAGTCCACTGGACCTGTTTTAATGATCTATAGTAATCAATTTAAAACGGATTGCACATCTGCCTTATTAAATACTGAACTCTTGATTTATTTCCTTTATTAGAGGAGGAAGCCGCAGAGGTCAAGAGAAGTAAGTTGTACCGACCTGCGACAAAGTTTGCTCCTGTGCCTCAGTATGCCTCACCCCCCCCACCTGCTGCTGACAGTAGAAAGTCTGTAAGTGTGCCATGGCTACACAGAAATGAATAACCTCTAGTTAAGTCAGTTGCTGAAGATGAATTCTTCCTCTGTTTCTTCACCAGGCATTTAAAAAAAAGACAGAAGAAAAAAAGAAGAGTAACCTCGAACTGTTCAAAGAGGAGCTAAAGCTGTAAGTGTATTTATTAAATATGTCCAGTGCCGTGTTTCGGGACCATCTGCTGGTGTGTTGCCCTCATGAGCCCGCTGTTATGTGCAACGTAAATGCAGAATACAAGAGGAGCGAGAGGAAAGGCATAAAAGGAAGAGAAATGACACTGAAGGGGGGAGAGAAGGCGGGGGCCTGGGGGGCCTGGGAGACCTGGACATACCATTATCGGGACGATCAAGTAAAAGCAAAACTGTTTTCTCAGCACTTTCTTTTTGCCAATCTATAACCCCACGCTAACCTTTGTGTGCTCTTCCATGTTACAGTGCTGTATGACGACCTGCCGGTCACCACAAACCTTTACATTAACTGCATCAGCCCAAAGGTAAAGGACCCCACCCACTTTCCCAGGCCCAGCGTGGTGGGAACCCACGTGGCTCACAGTCTCTGGTATTTTTTTCAGATGAACGAGGAGATGCTCTGCAGAGAATTCTGTAAATATGGCCCCCTGGCCAGTGTGAAGATCATGTGGCCCCGCACGGACGAGGAGCGCTGCAGGACCTCTAACAGAGCCTTTGTGGCTTTCATGACACGGAAAGACGCAGAAAGAGCCATGGCTGCTCTGGATGGTAACATTGGCTTTAGACATGGTTCTGATTAAGCTCATGATCAGAACGACCCTGCTCTCAACTCCAGCCTCGTGTTTCAGGCTGACTGTATTCTCTTTGTAAATGTGTTTCTTTGTGTTGCAGGTAAAGTCATTATGGGCTTTGAGATGAAGCTGGGATGGGGGAAACCGGCCCGCATCCCACCTCAGCCTCTGTACACGCCGGTCGGGGTGAGAGCCGCACCGCCACCCCCGTCTGGTCTTCCTTTCAACGCTCAGCCACGGGACCGCTTCCGGAATGACTTCACCAAGCCGCTGGGCATGTCCAAGGGCGAGCTCGACAAGGTAACATCATGTCCGAGAAATGGCGGTTAAAGTGCTCTAAGATGGTGATGTTAGTGTACTTTTGAAAGACTTTGAGGACTTAAAAATGTGTCATTTGAATTAAGATACATTCAGTTCAGACTTAGGCAAGTGGCTCAATGAATAATGCTTCCAAACAAAAGTGCAGTTCATCACCAATCCCAGCAGAAAACAGAGGGTCATATTACTGTATTGATACCTGTTTCCAGGTCTGTCCCTGTTGTGCAGTGTCTGACATGATGCGTCTGTGTAGAAACTCTTAGTTTTTATTGTTTTTTTTTTTTTTCTATTCTGTAGTTTAGCGTGTGTAGTTTTATTTTTTTCAAACTAGAGTACTAAAACTGTGTTACCCTCCTCAGCTGACTGACGTTGAATGCTTTAGTCGTTTTCTATGCTGTATTTATCCTGCAGTGTTTCATCTGTACAAGTTCTCACTTTTTAATATTTTCACTATTTGATTTGACTTCACAAACAGACTCTGTCCGAAGCCGTAGTCAAAGTGGTTATCCCAACCGAAAGGTACACACACTCTTCTTACTACGACTGACCAGCTGTCATATCACACGTGCCATAGGACAGAAGCTGAGCTGCACTGATCTGTTATCCATGCTTGTTCTTTGAGGCAGGAAAAAACAGGTTTAAGAGCTGTTCTACGCACACCCACTGTCCACAAATCAGATTCTGTGAGACCGTAGCGAACATTTCGAGACATATCTCCTTGTATTCATTGTGTTTCTATCGTCCAGGCTGTGTTATTGTACGAGGTGAATAGCTTTGTTATGTGAATGACTGTCAGAGCCATTCATTTGTACCAACTTCTTTGAGTGCTGGGCTTCTCATGGGTTGGCTGAGACACTGCAGACCGATACAGCTAGAAGGCAGATAGGTTAAATATTAACCCCAGTCAGATGATGTCAGCAATGGATCCATGATAGCACCTCAGATCAAAGTAGTAAGGAGGTAGCTCTGACACACTGCTGCATGAACATACTGAGCAGTACCTCTCGAATTTAACCAGCTCATCAACAGGAAACACTTTAGGAATTTTTAGACAGAAATATTGCACAGTTGCTGCCTTTTGTGTGCTGAAATCTCCAGTTTTCTTTATATGAAAATAGAAAATCTAAATGTTTAAAGCATCACACTAAATCTAAAATAAATTTAAAAACCTTAAAGCCAAATCTGATAGGGCTGCAATAAAGAATGGCTTATGATTTTTTTTCTTTCTTTTTTTTCTTAAACATTGAAATCCAAGTGCCTACTTGGAATTGGGGCAGGATTATTTTTTTCCTGAATGAGTATCGTTACTTCTGTGATTCACTTAACTGAGTAGGTTTACACAAAGACGATTATTTATTCTGGCTTTGACTTTGGAGTGTTGCCCGGTGGGATGAAACATGCACCTCATTTTAATAAACATTTTGAAATTGTGGATGCTTTTACATTGAATGACATGGTTAGGCTCACCTAAACACAAAATGACAGTCAGACAGAGTTTTCATGGGCCACTAGTTCACTGTCTCAGAGATACCAGAGATCTCACATCCAAACTTTCTGAGTACTGTGAGTTAAGATGTAAAACCTGCTCTGATATCCCCCCCTTTCCCCACAGGAATCTATTATTCCTCATTCACAGAATGATAGAGTTTGTGGTGCGTGAAGGTCCCATGTTTGAAGCCATTATAATGAACAAAGAGAAAAGCAACCCCGATTACAGGTAGGTGTGCTGCCGCTGTCCCGTGTCGGTGTATTAACTAAACACGGTGTGTAAGTTTATACCTCAATTTCTCATCCTTTTCTTAAGGTTCCTTTTCGATAACAAAAGCCAAGATCACGTGTACTATCGCTGGAAATTGTTCTCAATCCTCCAGGTATGTTTGTTCCGCGGTTCACCGGTGGGTACAACCTATAAGAACACTTTAATGAGCCCGGCTAATGTGTGTCCCACAGGGAGAGCCCCCCACAGAGTGGAGGACGACCGACTTTCGCATGTTCCGTGGAGGCTCATTATGGCGACCACCCGTCCTGAACAACTACTCTGAGCTGGGTGAAGACGACGGGGAGGCAGAGGACGAGGCGTCCCCCGAGGAGGAGGTGAAGAAAGGGCAGCTCAGAGCCGAGTAAGTCCTCACAGCCCACTCAGCGACGCGCGTGTCAGTCATTTTCCTCGAGCTGAATGTTGTTCTGTTCTGCGAACACCACTCAGGCACAGAGAGAGACTGGAGACGCTTCTAAAAGAGCTGACTCCGAGCAGAGAAGGAATTGCCAATGCCATGCTGTTCTGTCTAGACCGTGCAGATGCAGCAGAGGAGGTCGTGGGCCACATTACAGACTCTTTTTCAATGCTTCCAGCGCCCCTTCAGACCAAGGCTAGTTTCTTTCTCTTTGTCCCTGAATGGAAAAAAATGTAATTGTAATGGAACCACAAATTCTTACAAACATCACATCTAATGTTTGGGTTTTTTTGTCCCTAATTTCAGATTTCTCGGTTGTATCTTGTGTCGGATATCCTCCACAACTCCTCTGCCAAAGTAGCCGGTGCATCCTATTATCGTAAATAGTAAGAGCCTTCAACTTCGTGCACCTTCCGCGCTGATTTTTTATTGATTTTTTTTGCCTTCCAACAGTCTTAAGATGTTTCTTTCCTTTTCAGTTTTGAAACAAAATTACCACAGATATTCGGAGACCTGAAGACGGCACACAAAAACATACAAGCCAGGCTGCAGGCTGAGCAATTTAGGGTAATCACCTCGTTCATTTTCCTCACAAGAGGACATTTACACTAAATACAAGAAGAAAACTGAGGGGTTCTTTATCTTTCTATCTCTGCAGCAAAAGGTCATGACTTGTTTTAGAGCATGGGAAGACTGGGCCATATATCCACAGCCTTATCTAATCCACCTGCAAAACATCTTTCTGGGCTTTGCCAAAGCAGGAGAGGAGGCAACAGAGACTGCCCAGGTCAGCTTATCTCCTCATAACAGACATTACCGCTTTTTTGTAAAGCCAGCACAGCAGCCTGGATATATGGGGGTTGGAAATAAAAGCAGACAGTACAATCCAGCAAGAGAACTGAAGAAGTCCTTATTAGATGTGGACATTGGTGTTCTTTTAGGAGGCATCCAGTGGAGGTGGGCTCCGTTTGGACCGAGCTCGTGTGGATGACATAGACGGCTGCCCTCTGGGCTGGGACCCCCTGGATGGAGTCCCCGTTGACGATATAGACGGCGTCCCCCTCGGTGCCGCTATCGATGACATCGATGGATTGCCCTGTGAGTCCGCCACATACAGCGTCAGCCATAATTCACACCCAAGTCTACGGTTTCACGTCTCTTTTATCAGCCGTCAGCCCCATCCCTCCACCCATAAAGCAACTATGGTGGTTCTGAGCCAGCTTTCTCTTTGGTTTAAACAGTAGATGAGAGCAATGTTTCCCTGTCTGGAGTGCCTTTGTCTAAGTGGGAGAAGTCCAGGGGTACTGGGAGATTTTCTCAAGGTAAGACATATCAGAATGTGCTTTATCGCCCGTTCAGCTCAAGGATCCTGCTAATTACTCTGTCTCCGTTTGTCAGCCAAATCTGTGTCCAAGTGGGACGCTGTCGGACAACAGGACAGTGACAATGAAGTTAATATTAGGTGAGCTCGTCCGAGGGGTTGGCCTCAGCACATCGTTCATCCTCATTCCCGAAAAGAACAGAGCGGTCAAGCGGTAACTCGATTGTCCTCTCCTCCCCAGCAAGAGCTGCAACTCGCAGGATGAAGATGAAGGCTCAGAGAGCGATAGTAGCGCCGACTCCTGCAGCTCGCCAAACTATGACAGTGCAGTTTTCCAGAGCTCGCTCAGGAGTTTTCAAATGTCCGAGAGCAAAAGGAAAAGGCTGAGGGAGGTGGAGGTAAGAGTTTGCTTTCAAAGAGATCCTTGCAGTGGGCCAACCCATTCCAGCCCAGCCCAGAGTACAAGCTCTGTTTAAAAAATATATGATCACAACTGATGTATGATGATGACACAGTTCTTTGTGTTGTGGTGGGGAAATAAAGACTTTCTCTCTATTGATGGAATAAGAACAGGCTTCTATATCCTCCTGTACATAGTAAAGCCCCAGCAATGTTAGTTTTTCATTTCAGGTGTAGATTATAGTTTTTGTTTTTCTTCTATATTTAAGTCCATGTCTTTGAATTCCTCCATTTTTCTTCACAAATGCAAATTCTTATTTTCGTCCCATTTCCTTTCAGTGTGTTGCAGCGTTCAGCATGTTTGTATTTGCCCCAAATTTAGACACTGCGGTCTTGAAATGGCAAACATCACTCTCTCTTTCTCCTGATGGATTTTGAAAGTCAATTCCACTATTTTCAATAACAGCGTTTAGAATGACAGATAACTGATTACATGCACCCCTCACAGGTCAAAGTTATGAAGATCCAAGATGAGCTGGAATCCGGCAAAAGACAGAGGAAGTCAGGAACGACTATCCAGCAAGAAGTGGAGCTCTACAGAAACAAACTGCTACAGAAGGTGGGTTGATGGACCACCCATTTCTTATACAGTTATCACCAAAGTGTTTTGGTTATATTTTATATCATGTTCCAAACGTTGGTCAGCAAAACCAATACCTGTGTTAGCTTTTGATTCCCCCCTGCTGGTATGTTTGTGTTTCACACGTGACCCTGACTTCTGCGAACTAAATTTACTTTCTGATATAGGAGTTTCAAAAAGATGAAGAAAAGAATGAGAAATCTAAGTCAAAAGACAAGCAAAAAGATGACAAGAGAAATAAAGAAAAGAGCAAACGAAGCGACAGCGACAGACGGCGAGCCGCTGAGCAGTCCCGGAAATCCAGGAGCATCTCTCCTTTAAAGCAAGTGACATAGAAGACTTTGTATCGAGACGTGTGTACATTGTTTTTGGTATTCTGAAAGCCAATCTCTCACATGTTCTGCCCCTTTAGGAGGACGAGGTCCCCCAAACTGTCCAAACGCTCCCGGTCACCGTCTCCCAACCAGAAGTCCCGCAAGTCAAGGTCAAGGTCGCCACATCGCTCCCACAAGAAGTCAAAGAAGAGCAAACACTGACCGCTTTGGACTCGGTCACTTATGATTGTGCTGCATTCGCCTGCTGGTGTCCAGATACTCGACTCACTTCAAACAGACAAACCCGTCTGCCCTGTTGGTCCCAACGTGAACTGTCCATGCAAAATTCAGCTCCCTTTTTTTATTATGAAGTTTGAACACTGTAACTAATTATATATATTTTTGTTTTCATGTTTGTTTTTAAAAGGATATCCAGAGATGTTGCTGCAAAGTGCTGACACTAAATAAATCACCTTTGGAGAGCAATGTTTGTGGGCAAGACATGATTACATGACAAGGAGGACAGTCATCAAACATATAATTAAATGTTGGCATTCTTTTCCTTGGGTCTGAAAATGGTTCAAACAAGTTTAATTTAAGTAGATTTTTTATTGAGGAAAGGAATAAAGGATCGTCTTATGTTTACAAAAGCAATAAGTACGCAATGTTAAACAGAAGATTTACAGTTTTATCATAATGAAATGTGCTTTTGTTGAACCAAAAAAATTATCAAAACGCCAGTATTATTTCTGAAAAAACAAAGACACTGAGCACTAATCATTAGTGTCTGCATACAGATCTTCTGTACTGTGGATTTACATGTATATAGGGAAATGTTTGATATCCAGAAGATGGATTTAGGAAAGCAAACTAGATTCGAGGCAAGAGTAGTTTGTAAATGAGATTTCAATCCAACTTGACACAGGGACAAATGGTTACAAGTCTTGTGAAAAAAAGAAAAGACAGACTTAGACAGTCTTACTTAAAACAAGAGAGGTGATTTTTCTGAAATGTGAGAGCCAAAGAAACATTTAAGGTGCCCATACTGGTGCAAAAAGCCTTCTAGCTCCTGTATACTCCGTCTTGACCATACAGCTATAAATGTACACACATCTGAACAGACTTACTGTCTGCTCAAACCTCTTGGCACCTCTGGATCTCTAAATGCCAAACCATTCACAGTTATCTGGTATGAAAGATTTAAAAAATAGAAATGTGCCAAGGAATCTCACCTTGTCCATTTTTCTGTACAGTCCTTTTCCCCACAGCCATTCCTTTGTCTACAGGCTTTGCCTGGGAGCAATAACTGTTAGGTGGTGGGGATAAAAAAGGTCCTGGAGGGTTGTCCATCCTGAGGACTGACCTCTGACAGACATCCCTGAACGCAACGCACTGAGAACCTCTGAACTCATCAGTACTTTTTAACGTTGATGAAAACTTTGATTGCTCCGGTAAAGTCAGCAGAAAGAAGAACTTCAGTGTGGTCTGTTTTGAGGGCTCCTGTAGCAAATGAAAAAACAAAAAGAGGGTTGTAAGGCATGTTGGCAGCACTGAACAGACTCTAGATGCTCCAAAAGCTGAAGCAGCCTCACATACCTGACGGTATGGAATCAGACTCTGTGGAGTCCAGGCTCTTCTGGTCGGCCTCAGGTTTTTCGGCCCCCGTTTCTTGTGGGACGATCAGGCCGGGATGGGGCGAGAAGACGGCCGAGGTGACCACCGCGTTGTGTGCTGGACAGGTACAGACGAGTACAGCTTTGGTACCGGGGAACAACGTCAGCGGAGCGGCCGCGGCGCCGAGCGCCCTTTTCTCACCTTTGATCCCCTCCCAGAAGTCATTGCGATCCCGTCGTACGGACGTGAACTTGCTCAGGTCGTGGTAAGTGCTCCAGATGTAGATGTATTTGTCCTCCGACCCGCTGACTATGAAGGAGTAGTCATGGCTGCAGGAGGACCAGCAAACAGCGGATTAGTCATTCTAAAGGAGAGCTGCTCAGAGACGTGCAAAGAAAACTGAACTCTCACCTAAAGCTGGCCTTAATCTGGCTGCTGCTGTTCACGTAACCCTTATATTTCATGGACAGAGACAAGTCCCTCAGGTCATACAGGCGAATGCGGGAATCGTTTGAGGTCACCAAAATCTGTAGTGGCGAGGAGGGGGGGTTCACATTTATTAAGCTTTGTTCCAAGGGCGTCAAACATACTGTAAATGCCAGAGTTAAGTCGTTACTTTATTTTCTCCAGGCAGAGGTTCGATGCCTGTGATTTTGCGTCCCACTTTGTTCCTTCCTCTGGTGGACCTCACGTGAATTTGAGTGTGGTATTTCAGACGCTGGCGACGGGGAAAGAGAAATACAGAGGATTCCACATGCATGACTGTGGTCAACCATAAATAGGTAATAACACATGACACAGCCATGTATGAGAGGCATAAAGCAGAGCAAAGAACTACCTCAGTGTCATAGAAGATGCAACGGCCATCATAGGTGCCGATGACTGCATACTTCCCATTTTGGCAGAAGTTGGCGGCAGTGATGAGGCGGGTTTGACCATCGACCTCATTCCACAGCGCCACCTTCTTGTCTGGAATGTTCCAAAGTCGCAGTTTCCCGTCCAGAGAGCCACTTAAGAAGTATCTGTCATCCTACGCATAAAGAAAGAAATAGGTGTCTGTAGACTGCCTTTATAAAAGAAGACAAGCCCAAATTAATTGATGTACCACTTGTGCTGATACAGGTAATATAAGTTGACTCAGCTTACCCTGGGGTGGAAAGCAATGGCTGTGACAAAATCAATGTGCTGAAAGCAGCAAAGACACTCTCTCCTGGATATGTGCCACAACCTGACTGTTTTATCCATGGACGAGGAGAGCAGGAAAAAGTTCTAGACGGGCACGAAAATAGAAACATTATGACATGTAGTGCAAAGGGTCGGCACCGTGTGAGAAGAGGGCAGCCAGACCATTACCTTCGACCAGGACAAGTCCAACAGATCGGCTGTGTGGCCCTTATATTTGCAGAAAGGGACTTGACGGAAAGGGGCGTTTCTGTCCTCAGTGTCTGGGTCCTCTGGCATACAGCTAGCCTGAAATATAAATGCAATCATGGAGAACTCAGTCATGCAACAAAACAAATATTCACACTAATAAAAACTAAGTTTTACTAAAACTTAGAATGAGATAATAATAATAATATCCATGTCTTATGTTCATTGTTAGTCCCCTCAATCGTGACACTACTTAAAAAGAAATCTACAAAAAGAGGTGCGGTCAGTCCACTCACCCCGGGGTCAGTGTCTGATTTGGAGGAGCATAAACTTTCCTGAGACGGTGATGGTGAAACGCGACCTGTGTGGTGGACACAAAATGGGATCGATTGCATTCCATCCGAAGATATTTTGTTGCACATTCAATGATTGTGCTTATGAACTTACCTTCAGTGTTGTACTTTAATCTCATATTATTGAAGTAGTCAAACGCAGTCTTCAGGACCCAGATGCGAACGATATTATCTTGACCAGCGGACGCCAGCAACCTTCCACAGTGAGAGAACTTCATGGTCCAAACAGCCCCCTGCGGGAAGAGTTTGGGAAATATGTCATAATGACATTTTCTTTTAACCAACAAGCAGGTCAGTGATAGAGGATTAATAGTGCCTTACCATGTGCTCGCCGCTCAGATCCTGTACAACCTTAATCTGATCAAAGTCAAAGGGACCCTTGAGGCTATGAGCCGCCTTAAACTTGGCAGGTCTGGTGTAAGGCATGCCTTCATCATCACTTGATGAATTATCATCCTGATCTGTGTGGAACACTGAGAGAAACACCCAAAAAATTATTAAAAACTGTGAAGCTGCAGGGGGATTAACGTCTCATATTACAGTGCTAAAAATTATCCATAGAAAGTCAAACACAAAGTTCTTCCATTCAAATGAATCGTCAAAGAAAAGATAAAAAAAAATGTTTTTTCTATTTGGAGCATAAAAAAAGTTATTTGACATAGCTGTCATTCACCTTCATCCCGCACACTTTTCACTTTGTTGACCGCCTTCTCCCCGTACTCCTCGGCCAGATGTTTGGCCTTTTTCACAGACTTGCCCAGGAATTTTTTTAGCTGGGTTCTGTTTGGGAAGGATGTGGAAACAGAAACAAATTCTTACACTCTTATCTGAGATGGCCCAGTGGAAAAAAAGAGGAAGAAAACACAATGCCAAAAGTCTACGTTTTCTGCTTCAGTTTTCCTCCGTCGGTCTCTGAAAGCGGAGCCTGAGGCTTGTCGTCGTCATCCGACTGCGCCGCGTCATTCCTGGAAGGGAAAAGAAAACATGTCAGCTTCCCCTTTTTAATGCACTAATGAGAAGTAACTTGGACGGATGAGATCGCATCCTCACACCAACCCTCAGCCACAGCGCATCCTCAAAGGTTAAAATATTTCTGTGTGGCTCCTTATTCAGAGGAGACGTACAAATGTAGGACACGTTGTTTGGTGTCGATACGACTGAGGATGAGTCAAAAGGCCATTTTCTGCTTACGTAATGTACTCCTTGGTTCTCCTCATGATGTGCAGAGTTAGGGGGTTGATCCCTGCTGGAAGTTTCTCCTCTGCCTGGATCAGAGGAATCTCTTCCCCAGTGTCTAAATTCTTGATCATCACCATGGCCAGTATTTCCTGTTTTTGAGATAATAAATGGGTTGTGAGCACAAAGGCCATTAGCCGAATGGATATGAACTTGTTTGTCATGATTCACGATGGGTAAACAAAGGGGGAAAAAAGAGGAAGTCTCACTTCGTCTGTTAGCTCTCGACCAGAGTTAGATCGTGGACGCTGCGGGCCTGGAGTTTGTCCTCCACCCTGAGATGACATCTGTTCATCGTCATTTTCCTATTTTAAAAAAAGAGGAACATACATTTCTATGTATTGGAAATTATGAGAAAATAGTGACCATTTAAATGAAATTCAAGCAACTTTGGTCGAGCCGTCTATCGCAGCCTCACTGACCTGTGCAGTGACCACTTTATCCCCACTGGTGGCACTGGCCAGATCCAGGGAATGCTGCAGGTCCTTGGTCAGGCTCCTCACTGTGCTGCATGGAGACACCAGTCCAGAGGGCTCCAGGGAATCACAGCTGACTGTACCCACAGACACTGGACAATCATACAAGAGAACATTCAGTCTGAAAACCAGATCTTCTTCCTCTCATCTCAGTCACATAGAGCAACTCCTTCAAACCCACAAGCATGTTGGCAAGTGGCCCCTACACTGGATGTAGGTTTTCCCTTAAAACCGTCTATCTGCACAAGGCCCCGCTTTGTGTAAGCAAACCCAGATCAAAACTTTTTTTTTTCCTCAAGACTTCTTCACTGCTTTGTTAATGATTTAAACTTTGCAATTAAGTCAAGGTTGACCCCGCATTTTTTGCCCCGGTTTTCCCTGAATCGTGTGGTGTCTTCTCTACCTTCCAGTGCAGTGGGCCGCAAACACTCCTGGGACTTCCTGGACGGTAAGCTATGCCAAGACGGTGGAGGAGGCCTGGGAGGGGGACCCCCACTGGGAGGGGGCGGGCGTGAGGGGGGAGGCTTCTTGGTGCTGGCTACAATATCGGGCTCCACCGTGAACTGGCGCGGGGGCTTCAAGGGTCCTGGGGATTCAGAGTCAGTCGGTCTGTCCGTCAGAGGAACCTGCTCTAAGATGTCTGCGGGTCTCTGCTCCTGGCTGCCTTCTGCACCCCCGCCAGCTCCGTCCGGCTGACTCTGGCCGAGGGTGCTGGTGATGTCTGGAGGATGCACGCGTTCCAGCGCCCCGGCCGGCGGCCCCGGGGGGTCCGTCGGTTCTGGAGCTGGCGAGGAGCACTCCCCATTGGTTGCTGCCCCGTTCTGCTGCTCTTCCGACCTCTGAGCGGGCTCAGCTCCACTCGCTGGCAGCGTTGGCTTCACAGGAACCTCCTCGGCATTTTTTGCTTCCTTTGGCTCCGAGTCTGCTCTGACATCGACATGAAGCTGATCTAAGAGCTCAGCCACCTCACCAACACTCTCCTTTTGACTCTCCTCGATGATGCTGTCAATGATCTATGAACAAGAGAAAATACAATTTCAGCTAATATCAACAACCCCACACGTTCAGAGGTCCTATGGAAGTGAAAAAGATGTCTGTAGTCCGACTGCTCAATTCTACTCTCTTTAAAGACACATCAGAACAGCATCCCTCTCACATTCTTTAAACTTTAGGAGAATGTGATGGAAAGGAAGATATTTTGAGATATTTTAAGTGATACATTTCTGAGAATAACTAAACAACTGAACAAAGCAAACTCCAAAAAAGAATGTCAAGAGAGTTTTGGGACCAAAGAAAATGATTGAATGAATTCACATAATACTTTAAATTATATAGCCTCACAGAGTAAATACTCATGTCTACAGTTCTGTGTGTGTCATTACGTCTTTGAGTGGATGATTCCCATTAAGTCTAAGTATTTAATTATTTGTTTAATAATAATAATAATCATTACTATTTGTGGGTTTGTTCATTTTGCAGTGAACAGATTTCTTTCTTTTTGTATTCTCTGCAACTTCAGTAAAATATCTATAAAGGGTATATACAGCTAAATAAAGACAAAGAATGTAAAATACATGTGAAAAAATAAGTTAAAAATAAACAATAATTATTTACAGTCTTTACAAAAAGGCTAATGAGATAAGCAATATAAAAAATAAAATCATACCTGTAGGGAATCATCTTGCGGAGTCTCAGACACCGCAGCGGTCACATCCTGCTCGGCGTTTTCTAACCCTTGTGAGATCGGCTTAAAGGAAAAACACACAAGCACTGGCTCACAGGTAGTTCTCAAGACTGCCTGCTCATTTCAGAATATTTCTGGCCAACCAAAGACATTTCTCCAGATTTAAACCTCCTTCTAACAACTAATTGACCTTTTCATATCTGATGTGACCTGCTTTTCACTACAGTTATCTGCACAACTGGCTTGACGAAATGGATCTGAAACTGTCCACTCAGAATCAATATTCTGAAAATAAGTTTGCAAATCTTGCACAGAGATTTTGAGCTTTAAATGCTCCCTTTGCAACCTCTATTCCTTTTAAAGACGAGGCTGGTGTAATCATTAGAACATCCAGTTCCCTGTTTAAACAGTGCCTGGGTTTAAATAAACATACCTCGGGTGAAGGAATGACAAACTTTGCAGGTGACCTAAGTGACACACAAAAGAGAGAAGAAAAAAAAGACAAAGAGCTTCAGTTACAATCGATCAAGTCACTGAACAAAATGCAAAATCCAAACTAACTATCTCTACCAAATAAAACTAATCTGATACCGTTGAACATGGCTACCTTGTTGTCTGTCTCAAGGTTTTACATTTAGGAGAATGTTAAGTATTGTTCATCTTAACGTGACGCCTTAAAAATCTCAAGAAAGCAGCATTATCTGAACCTGACATGACAAATGGAGTGAAGAAATAGGATGGAGTGTCAGTCTGACAGCTGCATGGTCATCTTTTTTTAAAAACTTGCATATATGTTAAACCGTATCTCCAAAACATAGAATCTATGTGGGATATATACAGGTGTCATGGTGGATGTTGACTTTAAACAACGACAACAGCTTTCTGCTTTTACGACAAACTTTGCACAGAAACCTGTTCCCGCACCTTCGGCCGTTACCCCGAGGTGTCAGGAAGCAGTCATGTGACCGCTGTTGGGGTTTGGCTCTTCGTGTGCTGGCAACAAACAGCTGGTGAACTTTAGAGCAGAGTCACCACAAACTACACCTTTTTACACCCACTTAAATCCAGCTAAATCACCAGCACCGTGTGTCCAAACCCGCCGAGGGGAAATGGGTGTTTTCTAAATGAAACGTCATCTTTCACCGACCACGATAGTGTGATGTACGATACGAAACAAGCATAAATTGTGTGTAATGTTGCTGAAAATGTATTCCTTACACTTTTGGGGAAGGAGTAAAATTAACGTCCTCGGCGGCATCATAGAATTCTTCGGTGTCACTTGTATCTGACGCCATGCTAACGTCAGCTTAGCTTCCGAGCTGGTCCAACTAAGTCGCCAGACAGCTGTGCAAGAGCCACACCTGCGGATTTTTAAGTGGTACACATATGCACTGTCTCACTGTGTGCCGTCTTATCAAAAATAACAGGGTAGTTCCACAGGCTTGGCCAGGTCGTCGACAAAGCAACCACTTTCAAGTCCAACGTCACGCCATAACGTTACAATATGCTAACCTGCCTCATAGCTAGCAAGTGCATTGCAGGCGCAGAGCCTAATGCTAACTAGCCTGGTAACTCTTTTTAATTCAGTCTCTATAACAACACAGTGTCGATTGTGAGCTCTGAGGCGGAAAAAGCGCGTTTTGACAGCACCCTCCTGATCACGGGGCTAATGAACCGCGTCATGAACAACCAAGAAACAGGAAAAAATACATCTTAGCGACTGTATATGGGTGAGTCAAAGGGCGGGGCGCAGCTGGCCTTCTTCTTCTGCTCCACTGTTATGATTCCTGAGTATGGTTTTCACACATTACTGTCAACTACTGGGCTAAATAGAGAATAGCACGCTATGATCAGACTGGGAGCAGGGTGAGCTCGAACAGGGGCATAATTATTTGAATATTATTAAACTCGCAAAAGTAACATTTTTATGTTCTTAAGGGAAAAACTCCATTACGGTATTTCATTTTTATCACCATTGGTATTCATCAATGTTAACACACCATTTAATGTTTGGTTTGATGGAGCCCAGTAATATCAGGTTTTAACAAATAATTGTATTCTACTTATTTTCTATATTAATGGTAGTATAGAAAATCAAACTGTGTGACTTCAGCGACAGACTTTGATCATGCAAGAGAAAGTTCTTAAAATGTGGAAGGTGATATGTAGCTTGAACAGCTGGGTTTACAAGCAATGCAGAGATAATCGTTGATAAAACGTGCACAAAGGTTGGCACCAGCTCATTCACCCAAGGAGGATATTTTTGGGCACATTTGAGAGCTGTAGAGCAGCCCACAGACAGCCAATCTGAAACTGAAATTTTAATCTGCTTTGTACCTAATTAAACAACTTTCCTTTAAGTCAGTAATTTGTTGATTAATGAAGACTTTGCATGAAACTGGAAAAGAGCATATGTAGAGCAGTACTTAGGCAGAGGTTCAAAGATGCTCATTTTAATGAATGCATGCATGCTCTGCCCACTTCAATGGGCCATCTGGACTGAGCGGGCACCACTGAGAGGGCTTTTTTTCTCCACTGCTTTTAATACCATTGAATATACAGTAATTCATAAGAATCTTCATTAGATAGAAGTGAATGTATCTATAATTCCTTGGATTGTTGACAACATAACAAAAAAGCCCAATTTGCGAAAATAAACAGCTGTGTGTTTGAGAAGGTGGTCGGCAGGAAAATGTCACTCTACTGTGTTATGTACAGCTCAAACTTTAAACAAAACTGGTTAAAAAAATTATATGTATATTCACTTCTCCACGACACCAGTGAAGGGGCCAGCCTACTCTGAAACCCCTAAATCTTTCTGATTGTGTTATTACAAGGTCACCATTATCTGTGATTAAAGCTGCTGGCTACCGCAGTTCATTCTAGTGTGACGATACCTTGTAGGCTACATTAAGGGCACTAGGAGGAGCCAGAGAAACAAATATCCATAACATTTCTTAAATGTCATGTATCTGGTGAGAAGTACATATGAACTCAAACTAAGTTACTGTAATGTCTTCTTAATTACTAATACACAGTGAGTCTTCCAACTGGCGTTCTAGTTTGTCAGTCTTTTTTTGTTTTTTTGTTTTTCAAAAACAGATAACTAAACATTTGATGACCTGAACCCTAAGTATACTGAGGTTTTCACCATAAGAAAACGTGCTACTTCCACTTTCAGTTGTTAATAGTTCCCTAACATTTTTTTCATAGTGTTGCCATTTTTTGTGAACTCCATCCCCATAATGGATTTAATGAATAAATCTGGTATAAGCACAAGTTTGTCTGTGAACAAGCCGTACTTTTAAATGGAGATCTATTGCTGCAATGGTCTCAGCACATATAAATGATAAGATGGGGCAGTTAAGTCCATGGTCTGATATCAGGTGACCTTTAAAAAGAAATGCTACATTACTCTTTTATAGTTGTGTCAACAGCTATATTTAAAAAAAATGATTTAATCCAGGACTCACTCAATATATGGCACAACTGTAAAATTATATAGTATATCACATCGGTTTAGGACAAATGAGTACATAATGTTCAGCTACTAAGTACCTCAAACGAAAAGGACCCTTCTTAAAACCACTTTATTTAGTAACGGAAGTTTTGAGCCAATAATAGAAGATTGCCATACCCCTTCACCAATAGAAAGTTTGGGTGCTCCCGGTATCCTAGTAAGCGACAACACTATTGGATAAAAGGTGTTGGGAGGCGGATTCAGTGGAGTAAGTGGATTTGTGGGCTCGGAAGGAAAACAAGGACGCCAGTTAATATAATCTCGTTGTAAAAGGTATGGAATTTGTCATCGAAAAGTTGACGGAGTACATTTAATTCACGTATAACGAGTGAACTAGCTTGTGTAGCATTTTAGCCTGAATAAACGCCAGGTTGATGACTAGTCCCAGGCATCTGTTGGTGGTGGCATGTCAACCAGCCACCCAGTCCAACTTATACTAAACCAACTAACTAATCTTCAGACTCCGCTTATGTATGCTGTTTTAAGTTACGTTAATGTGTCTGTCAAGTTATGGTTACCAGTAAGCAGCCTGACAGCAACACTGTCGAGCAATGTAATGTTATTTTAAGCTAGCCTGTGTCAACGTTAAGATTAGCTTAGCCAGTTAGCCCGAGTCTGATCCCACTGAAGAATGTAAGGACAATGTGGAGTCAACATGGGCTGACAAATCAGCCATGCTCCGGCTTGACAGCGTCCTTCTTGTTTTTTTTGTTTTGTTTACCAGTCCAGACAAAAACAATATTAATGTCTTTACAAACTTAATTATCCTAGATCATGGGCTGCCAAATAAATCAGCCTGATTCAGCCCGTTGAAGAACCAGTTTTGAAAAGAAGAAAAACATCGGACATGGGACTATTTTTTTTAAAGGACTTTGTTTCTGTCTGTGAACTCATCATACAGCTCTTTAAGGAGGCAAACGCATGTGGGGCTTGTTTTGTTTCCGGGAATGGTAACTGAATGTGTGATAACGATAGTAACTAAGCTGTAATTGTTTAGAAATACCTTAATAAAATCAGTGAAGTTTTGCGAACCAAGATGATCTACCATTTACCATAACAGCTGGAATCTAAAATTCTAGGAAACCTGTGTATTATTACACACACCGTCTATAAATTCCCTTTCAGTGCAACAAGTTAGAGTAATGATGCAGACAAAAACCTGTGACTTGTGATCACTCATGCAAAAAATGTTTTCCTGTACCAAGATGTTTTTAAATATGGTCTAATTATAGTCTATTATTACTGTGTGGAACATCTTATTTGTCACAGCTCTGAGAATGTCTGAGATTGAATGCTAATTGTTCAATAATTCAAGGCACACCATTCAAAGCTTAAAAACTTGTTCCTAGGTGAGGTATTGTGAGGGTATGGAGCACCCTGCACACAGAGGGGAGATGATGCCCATCGGACTGCACGACAGGTAATCTACTTTAGTTGAATGCTTTTCACTTGTTTGCTCAGAAAGCTTATAATGCATCCAGGGCAATTACCGCACTGCTGTGCACATCTGTGACAAATTTCTGTCTTATTTTCTCCTTTTTATTTCTTTTACTCTTTATTTTGTTTCATTGAAAAAATGCTTGGCCATCAGTCTTGTGCTGGAGTGTATTGTCAAAGTTATTGTTTGTTGCACTTAGCTGTATTTTTGGTTTAGTAACTTTGAAAGATATATAGTGCCTGTGCTCCAGTATTTCACTGGTGGCAGCCTTCCATACTTGAGGGAGCTCTGCATAACGACAATTTGCTAGTAGTCACTCCGGTGCTTGAACTGTGTTGTTATAGCTCTTGACGTATTGCTCCAGCCCTTTGCACACAGAAGCCAAATATCATTATCCAGCTGGACGCAATGTTGGCGGTACCAAACACACACATTTTCATTAGAAACTGACATCCTGTCTCTAGCCGTAAGAGTCAAATGGTTCCACTTGACGTAGTGTGACCTGAAGTGGGAGTAACACCACATATGAGTGGAGCTGGATGGTCGCTTTGCTCTCTATTTCTTACAGCCTGTTGGCTAACACAGTAATTGAATAAATGAACAAAACCCCGGTCACACACATGCATTGTCCACAGGCGGAATTTCAAATGACAGTAATTGTCTCATTGATTATTGTCCCATTTCTTTTGCATAGGTGGTGGTACAGTGTCTTGTGATCAAAGAAGTTTTTAAATGTGCATCATGAACGAAACCTGATGGCCCTGTAATCTAAAACTGTGGAGGCCCAAAAACATTTTTTAGCAGGAAGCTTATCTGCTTTTCTGTTGTAAAATCTTACTAAATTAATCAATGTGACAGTTTATGCCACGCCTACAAAAAACCTGTTCCTAGTCTTTTTTTTTTTTTTAGTTAGAGATGTGTGTTCGAAAACACTATTTTAAGTGTTAGCATTGCCATGACATCACTATTTCTTTTGGTTTTACTTGAAAGAGTTGCTTCTTGCCCATAAGCTTAATATTCACATTGTATTTCTGTTCTTATTATTGGTCATGTTTAAAATGGATGATTTTTACAAAAGGGATTTGGAAGGGGAGTCCTTTTAGAGATTGGAGGAGAACAGGCATTAAGTGGCTGAATAGGTGTCTCCCTCTTATAAACCCAAGTTCTTGTTAGGTGCAGTTTAAGATTGGAGCAAGAAGTTGTCATGGCAAGGTAATAATCAGATATTCCTGCAGGCGATGGTAGATGGAGAAAAAGGAGCATAATCAGGGTGTGAGAAAATCCGGAACACTTTCTTCTCTGGTCCCAGACCAAAATAAATACATGAATAGTTGATCTATGTAAACCATAAAGGTATTGGTTGATACACAATGTTCATAGATAATCCATTTTTACATAAAAAGGTTGGTGGGTTGAAATCCTCTGAACGGTGTGTGTGCGAACTGTCACCGCTTCATGGTATTCTCTCCCAGCTTGTATAATGTTTGTCACAGTTGCTTTGCCATCTGTGTTACTTTGTACATGAGCTCTGTGTGGGGGTATTACGATGATGACTCACCTCCTGATGCCTCCCGGCCATCAGCATTGGGATGATGGCAGTGTCAGGCGGCCCGGCCGTAGTGTTCTGCCTCCTGCGTGTTACTCCCAGGTGCCACATCGGAGTGTGTCCAGTGGGAGGAACATGTGTCACGTGGTCAGTCACCTGTTCCCAAGCTCCTTTGTGAACAGGACTTGGCAGGAAAAGTTCAGACATCCTCCTTTTTTTTCCGGTCATGTGAGACTCCAGTTTTTGTGTAAACGGTTTAGAGGATTTTCCTCTAGAGTCATTTCATGTGCCTTTGGGCAAACCCCCCCCCCCCCCCAAAAAAAAAGTCCTCACGTGTCTTTTTAATGACAAATTATATTGGTCCGGCTGCATGGATGTAAGCTTACTGTAGAGTGGTTTTCCCATGTCCACAAAAGGAGCTTTAGGAACAATTGGTTTATTGGTTAAGTGTCTGGCAAATCCCTTCATCCATACATCCCCACTTTGGCTGGGGATTAATGTTTCAGAGGCTTGCTGGTGGTTATGGAATTATTATTTTTTTAAAGTAAAGCTAAAACATACCTGCAACCTTTACTAAACTGATTCTTACTTTAACATTAAAAAAAAGATCTGTGAGAACAAAATTTTTCTAATATTCCTTAACTATGTCCCGTGTTTACCAGTGTTTTTTCTGAATGAAAGAAAAGCCTCTAGAAAAAGAAGTAGCAGTTTTGTTGCAAATTTAAAAAGGAGTCTTACTTAAGTAAACGGTGGGCTGAACTGTTCCCATTCCACGGTGAGCATTTCTTCTCTACAATGCCCCTTTCCTCCCCTTTGCGCAGCAGTCCCACGGCTGCCGTTCTCCTTTCTCCAACGAGGGGGCGCTCTTGCGTAGCTACGCGGCGTCCACAGACCCTGAAAGAGTGATGGGAAGGCAGGGCTTCTTCTCCCCCCTCCTACCACGAGACAACTGTGAATGCAGCAGGGCAAGTGGTCGCGGTGGATGCAATCCATTGGCTTCCCGGGGCTGCCGCTAAAGTCACAACCCTGCCTGCCGCCTGCCCTGCCCGTAGCAGTGTATTCCTGTAGCTGCCGCCGCTCGCTCTCCCTCCCCCTTTAAATGGTGTGGGCAGAGTGGGATGGAACACTGCATTGGGAACCTCTTCATGGAAATGGTCTTTGCTGTTGGTCTTGCTGTAGCACCGCTCTGGTGACAACAACATGCCGTTAAAATGGAAAAGCGGTTCTCCCGTCAGCTGGAAATTCCCAGTGCCAGTTCTTAAGACATCCAGGTCCTCACCCCTCTCGCCTGCCTACATGTGAGTAAGAGCTACACGGCATTCGCGTTATACGGCGCCAGCAGTGGCTTTGGATATGGATTTGTCAGCTCTTTGAAAAATGATTTTTTTAGTGTTTATATTTTCCTTCTCTTATTCATTCATTTTCTTGTGAATCAGTGTGATGGTCTTTTTTTTGTAGCTTCAGTCAGGCTGAATGTGTGTCATGAGATTCTCCTGGTCCCGCATGAATTTTCTGGGTTCATTTGTTAGGCAAAAGGACTGATTTTTGCCGCTGGCCGGGGACATGGCGAGCACCACGTCCCCGACTCCTGCCCTCTCCCTGTGGCTGTGTTTATTTGGGAGCAGGGACCCAGAAGCTTGGGAGGAGCCTGCCTTTGTCAGGATGTGTGGCGTGCCCTGGTTTAGAAGCTATTGTCATCCGCTACTGTTCGGGAAGGGGGAAGGGTAGAAAGGGTGTGCTTCACGCAGCCTCTTGCCATCCTCTTTTCACCCCTCTTGCAGGGCCGGCTTTGACTTTTTAACATGCCCTTTTCCCTTTGTTTTTGTTTTTTTTAAAAATCATACATAAATGTGAATCGCAGTTGAATCTATTTCTGCTCTTCCTGCCCTTTTTGCATAGTTTCTCTTTTAGATGTCTACAATGAAATGGAGGATATTACGAAGAGAGTAAACTGTTAGGACCACGTAGAGGAGCTTCACAAACTACACGCGTTAGGACTAAACGTTGTTCACCTTTAGGATAACGGCACGTGAAGTTGATTTTGTTAACCTCATTCAGGCAGTTGATTTTCTTTCTTCTTCTTTTTTTTCCCCCGTAGCTCGAACACCCTGTCTCAGATTGACGGGGTCTTCACATTTGCTCCCGAAGGGTCATTGGCCTATCTAAACTGGAGCAGCGTGGGGTTCAGGACCCCGTTCAGGGGCGTCTCTGTGCTCGCAGTGTTTGACAGCCCAGCGCTGTTTCGAATTCTTTACAGTCTTGAGATAAAACGTACAGCCTAATGCTGCACGATTCCTTCTTCGTCTCGTTGATGAACATTTAAATAATTCCTCTCCAGCTGTATGCCGCTTGTGTGCGCCGCATTTTTAACCATCGTTTTGGGTTTTTTGGATGTAAATGTTATTTGAAATTGCAGTGCGGGAGCTAGAATCTTTCCCTAAAAATGAACGACAGGATTTGCAATGTTGATGCATTAAAACAAGGGTTTTATGTTATGCTAATCAAAAGTTGCTGGTATTCCCGTCACAGCACTGGTGGAGACCTTGTCGGACTGTAAGATTGTGTGAACTCAGCATCCACATTATTTTTATCACTTGACATTGAATAAATGCACGGACAGACTTTCTTTTTTTTCCGAGTCTGTCAGCATGTCGTTTAGAGGACTGTGAAAACTCCCTCTATGAAGTTGCGGGGATAAGAGGACACAAAGTGTTCTTCAGTGGCTGCAGACGCTGGTGGCGTGCCTTCCCAGCAGATCTCTCACACACACACACACACACTCCGTCAAGTGGAGTATACCCGAGCGCCGAGACTCCACCTTACTCTGCTCAGTGTTGCTGTGCTCAGCTCGCTCTCTCAAAACACAAATATAGTAAGCTGTGTTTTTGAGCGGGCTGATATCGGGCCCCCAATTATAGGGCAGCCTGTGGTCAGGGAGAAGTGACTCTGTATAGGCCCGCTGTCCATTTGGCTGAGGACGTTTTTAACCCGGCGCAGCCTGTTGGTGGGGCAGCATAACACAGAGGAGTACATTTGCAGAGTAGGCAGCATGCTTAGTGCATAATGAATCCAGATCTGTTTGCACAAGGAGGGTTTGTATGTTTTGAGAGCTCGCTGATCTATATATCGACCTGCAAACTTCCAACAGTGCAGTCTTTATGCCCACAAGGAGTTGTTATAGTTCTCATGGGGCAATCATAAGCATTGTGTGTTCTGTTAGTTTTCTTTTCCTTTGATTCCACAAAGAAAGGAAATTGAAATGTCAGTCCTCATTTTGGACTTTAGTACCGAACCCTTGATATATGGGACTGCTGTCTTTTGGCTGTCACCTCCTGGAGGATTTGTGGTGAGCCACTAATCTTAAGGAGAGCAGTGCCCGTTTGATTCCTGCTGGGGTCCTTTAGTGCAAGTCATGTCCCTTTTCTATCCCCTGCCCACATTTGTCAACCATTTGATGATGGACGACTGCAGCTTGAAAAAAAGCCTCTTAAAAACTGACGTTTCTACACAATATTTATTCGAATCCACATATTCTTAAGTAATTTGTTTCACTCTAATTAAATGCAGCGTTGGCAGATTAAATTCCATGAAGAGGCTGCACCAGTATATTTAGAAGGGGAAGCTTAGAAAGGCTGTGTTAATAGAGTTGTGCATGGAGATGCTTCACATGTCTCTTGTGACAGTGAAACCTTTCTGCTGCTGCTGTGATCCGTTTTTTTTTTTTCTTTCTTTTTTTTTTTTTGTCACAGAGGTAAATGGCTCATTAATTCACATGTACTCACTTCTTTGGAATGTGTTTCATTACCAACCAGGAGCAATTTATTTAATACCTTAAAGCATTCACCCATTTGAAAGTAATCGCAGCTTATTTGATATGACGGCTGACATCAGAGGGGAAAAAGAGCCAGGATTTCTATTTGCTTTGACTCTTAAAAACACAGGGGGTTTTCTCAAGGGTCACATCAGACATGTCTCACATATGATAATCGGCATCAGTCAGGAATGATATGGTGGCACAGAGGTAGAATTTCTGAAGCTTTCATTAGCAGGGAGATTGTTCTCCTAAGTCTAAGTATAGGCAACAGATTAAATCTGTAATGTCTTGATTAAGAACTGAATTTTGTGTTGTATTACCAGACTTGTGTGTTGGCCTCTCTGTGGAATAATAACACCCTGCTCAGAGAAAATATCGTTATGTGAATGATTAACTGCTTTTTTAAAGCCTTGGCAGACAAAATTCAATCGTTTTCTCCAAATTCCTTAGATGAACTTTCCCAACTGCTTTTAAGAAACCACAGAATATGAAATGCTGCCCTCCCGAGAGAAGCCTCTGCCCCGTTTTTCAAACGAGGCCAGTGTTGTGCTGTATAGTTCTGGTGTACGTATGCGCTGGTCTGCCTTTGTGCATGCCTTCACTACAGCTTAAGAGGCCAGGGAAATATCTCGGAGCTTTTAATTTACCTGCCCTTTGGAGAGGACATTAAGTTCCCACTGACTTGCGGCCACTTTGCGGAAAAGGCAACGGCCACCCGGGGATCATTTTATTTTCATTGAAAGGCCAGGGGGGAAGCACGGGCAGTCTGGCTGGCAAAGCATCAAGCGAGTTCACTCAAGTGAAACTGTCATATCTGTGCTCATCACACGCACACGCACACACAGAATACTACTCATAGATCAGCCCTGATGAAGCTGAGTCTGGTTTCACCCACAGCGGATCAGTCGGCTTCAATCATCTCCAATGCTTTGCAGAAGCTTGGTCAAATGCATTTATTGAGCACATTATATCAGATTAACCATTTAGATTAAAATGCATTCAGAGACCCAGAGTTAATGACTTGTAAAGTGAGTAATACCAACGGCAGGCTGTTGGTAAAATAGTTTAAAACAGTTGATTAGGTGTAAATAAGTCTTTTTTCCCCTCCTTTTCCTTTCTCGGTTCAAAGCCTGCATTGGAAACAAATGTGTACCAGAGGTTCCCTAAATGTCTTTACAAGTGGAAATGTCCAGGCCTGGACCCCATCAGCGGGTCAGGTCAAAGCTGCACTTGTGTTTGCCAGTTCGATCTTGTTCCGCTTTGTTGCTCCGGTCTTTCATGAGGGTGTAAAGTTTCCTCCAATCTTTTCCTCCAAAGATGACTCCCTGGCACCTTTTTAAAGCTGTGCTCACGAAGCCGCACCTGCCTCCTGTTGGGTCAGGTGCACCTCATCCGGACAGTAAGAACGATTAGAATATGGAAATAAAGCAGATTATTGCTGACTTGTGCGATCATGGAGCCATCTGCTATTCATCTGCCCTCCGCGTATGGATGGTGACAGATTCTGTTTATTTGCATGCTGTGCTACGCCGCTACCCATTTGAGTTCAAGCCTTATGATGCTGACACTTTGACGTCTTTGTTGCTCTTTGCTCTCCCAAGTCTCTGGCCTTTTTGTCTCGAATTTTAGTTGAGAGCTTTATTCCATGTGCCCCGCTTACCCTGCATGTGCTGATTCATTTTACAGAACCTCTAATGGAACACATCTCAGCCTATTTTTAGGTATTCCTTAACAAAGGGATGGAAACTGGATCATTTTCTGTTATTGTCTTTTTAGCAGCACTACCACACTAACGTTAGATTCATGTGATAAATGGCCTAGTTGTGTTTTTAAGGCTCCACCAATTTGATTTTGATGACAGACTTGTGATGGCATACACAAACACTTTGTGTCGTTTGGAGAAAAGCGGACCCATCATCTAAAGATCTTAGATGATTTCTCCTGGTTTTTCATGGAAGAGCGAACAGCAAACGACTACCAACACATCTAAAAATGGATACATTACTTGAATGTATTCTATTAGTAGTCCATGTTTGATTCTAGACACGATTCACCATTTACTGACACCATTTAATCTTGTGAATCAGCGTAAAGAAAAGCGCAGACGATTTACCGAGGCCCCTTTGAATAGAATAAAGAAGAGAATTTAGCTCTGTATAGATTATAAATCTGTTTTCAGTTTAAAATTGTCCACCAGCCCCACAAGTGCTAATTACACAGTCTGCTTGATGGATGCGAAACTGATGAGCGGAGAGTTTGTTTTTGTTGTTGTTGTTTTTTTTAAGACTGCAGACTCCTTTCTCCTCCTGAATAGCTCTACGTCTGTAGGCTGGGGTGCTCCTGTCATAAAGTCGCGGTGTTTGATGGTGGTGTTGGGCATGCTAATGACTAAGTGAACTCTTCCCTTGAAGACATTCAGAGATAACATATGCAGCGTTGGAAGGAGTGTGAGCCCCGGTAACCCTGTACATTTGGAACAGGGGGGTCTCGCACTAATGCAGGAGCTTTTGTGTGGTTCTCACACACAGTGATGCTTCATATTCATCTCACATAAAGGCATTTTGAAACAAAATCATGCGTTGAAATGCTTGCATCATACGTAAGCATTATGTTTTGATTCTGGGAGCAGGAGCTGGTCAGCATGTTGCTTTATTACATTTCCGTGCTTAGTAATTGGGGAGGCTCTTTAGTATTTGTGTCCGATTCGATGCTCTGATCCAAAGACAAATACACGTTCCTCTAGGTCTCCACCTTACTCACAGAGGAAGTTCTTACTTCATCATTTTTCATTAGATTTTGCGGCTCCATTTTAGATTCAGTTGCCAGACTTCAGGAACCTGTCCAGCATTTTATTGAGATGTGCACACACACTAACCCTCCCCAAAATATTTAATATAAATGGGGTTTTCACCCTATTCCCTATTATGTGGAGGGTCTATGGATAGTTGAATAGATTTATATTCTTTATAAAGCTGTGTTTTTTTTCCTTTTTGGAAGGGGGGCATGCCTCTCCTAATATTTGTGTAAAGGAGAGGTTGATATTCTTTATCTAAATAGATATGCTCAAACATCTCTTTTCCATTGTGGCTTGTTTAGAGCAAAGCGTTGGGCATACAATTCTTTGTCATTAAAAAAATACTCTCTGTTTTACATTACCTCTGTTTACAGCTCAAAATCCACTGCTTTAATTCATTTTATTTGATTATTTATTCTTTTTATCAATTATCTTATACAGCTTTTAAAAATGTTTGTCAATTTTCCATCGGCCATGTTTACATTTTAATTGTACTTCTTAGTTTTCTTATATACCTTGTACTTGGTGCTAGGTGTAAAACACAATAAATTACCTTTTTCTTTGTCCTCCTTGTTTAAGACGGGCAAGATGGCATAGGTGCTTATTGTTTCACATTTATCCTTGTTATTGATAATGTTTTCACCCAAAAAGTGCTCATATTCGTAATGACATTGAAAAATAAATAGTTTTATTTATTGCTGCAGCAGTGCAAAGTCATCTGGGGGGGGGGGGGGGGGTGAGAAGCCGAAATCTTCAAAGTTTTTCATCAGTTCGAGGCTGAGCAGGATGTGGCAGTTAGGCTAAAACTACCAGTTATTTAAGACCCTTTCACTGTCACCTCTCATAAAAAGCCACGTTCCCTGTGGCTTACTGAGCTGTCACTGGTGGAAAGCTGTCAACGTTTCCACTGACATGAAGTGACTTGATATACTGCCACACTTGCCTCCTCATTACTACTTTTTCAACTCTTCAGCTTCCTCTGGGTGTCCTCTCGTTTGGTGTGTCTCGTGATTCAGCTCAAAAACCCCAAAACTAATCAACCGGAGAGTGGCGTCGCTGCTCATCCAAATTGTATATTTAAAGCAGATTGGGAGGCTGATTGCTGTACTCACAGGACCTGAAAGCAGAAGCCTACGTTTGTCTCGTCCTTGCCAAGGTCATTGTTACTCTTCGGCGTGCCGTCAATCTGCCCGGGTAAACAGGATTTAAGGAAGAGGCAGAGCACAAGTTCACCGATACATCCCTTTTGATCACATCATGCTGAAAGGGCAATTTTTCTCTCTTCTTTTTTTCTCTTTATACCCAGCGAGCAATTAGAGCTTTGTTGTATTGAAAGTCGTGTAAAACAAAAATAAATCCAGCTGAAGTGACGGTAACTCTAAAAGACCCACAGTGTGGACCCTAAGGCACTGCATGATGGGGGGTTTTGTCTTCATCCTGTAGTCATCCACTCCATCCTCATTTTAAGTTTGAATGTGCCTCGATACGCTGCTAGATATTAAAGCTCTGACATTTGTTCATCATGACATTTGCCTTGTATTAACCAATTGGCACTTGTAAAATAAAGTAGGGCTGCACAGTATTAGAAAAACAATACCTTTTTAATATTGTGATGACCGTTGACTGTCAATATATAAACAATGACTTTACTAAACAGTGCTGCTGTCGGGTGTATTAACCGGAGCTGAATTCAGCTTCTTTGCTGGTGCTTTGTGAATAGCTGCTGCTTTCATTAAAACATATTCTATCTCCTGATTTCCAGTCAAAATGTCTGTACAGTATTGACATATTAATTACAGAACGGCTGATGTTGACATAGGGATACATTTTCAAGATATTGTGCAGCCCTAGTTTGGCACATTCTTGTGTTTCTTTTTTCCTTTTCTTTTTTCTTGGTTTTGTATAAATCAGCCATGAGCTGTTCTAATGCTTTGTGATGATGCTATTAGAGATTCAGTATCTTTGTTCTTCAAGAAAAACAGGACGTTTTATGTCGGATGCTGTAGCTGTTGTCTCCTTTTTGTTTCGTTCCGGCAGCCACCAACACTCCTTTATGGTTTGGACAACCCACTCTCTCCTGGCTGCCTGTCCGACTTACCACCTGACGGGGTAAATGTACAAGTACATTGCCTGTGCTCTGTGTCAGTGTGATTGTGAATGCTGTTCAAGCCATCAGTGTTTAGTGCCAATGGTGTTCAGGAACTCCCGCTAGACTTAGCCCATTACCATCTCCTTGTAAACTGTGCCTTTTAATATCCCATCCTTATGTCATTTCAAAAACAGTACCTAAGTGTTTATTATTGAGGTTTGAGTCAAACAGACCTCAATCATATGTAGTCAGGCTACATAGTTCTATCTAGTTTTCTTTACCTTTTGTGGTCTTGGAGTCTCCATCTTGCTGTGCTTATTTTGCCTCTGCTCTCAGTGTATCCTCTTTGGTCCTCCTACCTGTTCCTCTGTTCAGCATGTGAGTGGAATGACGGGCAGACTCATCCCAATCCTCTCCAAATGTCTTTGACTAGTGTTTGGCTACAGTTGAATCGCAGTTGGTTCAGGTTTCAGCGTCATGCTCTGCAACACCAAACTTTTGATCACTGAGCCTTTGCTGTGCTTGAGGTCACCACAGCACATCACAGCCCCAAAGCACAGAATGCTCCCTTTAACGATAATTGTTAAGATTAAGTCCCAAAAGTGGCAGGTTTTAGTGATAATGACAAATATTATATCATGACCATCCCACTGAAACAAAGCAGCATTTGATTGCTGCAAAGCTAAGAACTCATGAATGTTCCAAAGTCCCTCTTATTAATAGAAACAACACCTTATTGGACAACTTTACTTACGACCCTCAGCTCGTCTTGCCTTTGCTTAACGTGCGTGAAAACATGTGTTATTTGAGAATCTTTTAACACATTCAGCATCGAGGTCAGCTGTTGTCCCCCTAGATGAGACAGTTTTATTTTAACCTTCTCTATTTAAAAAAAAAAAAAAGCCCACAAGGTTTTCCTCATTAGAACTTTAGAGACCGAATGCAAATGGCAAACATTCAGATCAACTGATTTGTTTTTTTATTTTACTTATCTTTTTTATTACCCAAATGAGTTTCATTACTTAGAGTTATTTTGTCTCTACCGAATGTACTTTTATAGTAGAGGGAGTATATTCCTCTTGGGGCACCGAGTCGCACATAGTGTCTTTACACATTCAGTCTCTGCGGGGCAATTAAAGATTTTGCACCAGATTACATCACACATCGAGGTCCTCTGTGTGTTTACCCTATCTTGGAGTACAATTATATCCGATTCGGATACACATTACGAGAAACGCAGTGCACTTGGTTGTTTGTTTTTTAATCGTCTGTTTTTTGTTTTAAAAGCAAAGCTTGGATAGAAAACCTTCCCAACTTTTCCAAATTGTAAAATATCTGGTTAAAAAAGTATCTTTCTCCTGAGTAATTTATTTCTAAAGGTCTGAAATCTTGCGACTTATAAACATGTTGTATGGTTTTAGTCACAATTGTCCAAAAAAACAAAACAGTTTTTCCCCCGTTTTATTTTTCCATTAACCTCAGAGATGATCTATCAAAAAATGAATAAAAAAGGGGATTTTATTAAAACGGAAAGTTTTCATTCTCGTTAGTTTCCTACTTCAGTCTCCATGTGTGAAAAGCCAGCATTAGGCTGTACTTTTCTATAAAAGTGTGCTTTTTTTCTTCTTCTTAGCATTTTTCTTTATCCTCCCGGTTCTTCAAGTCCTGTAGATGAAGGAATTTTCATCCTAGAAAAGGCCTCGCCCATCAGATTGAGCATTTTCAGTCAGAAAACAGAGGTTACCGCTTAGTGAACCTTGCCTTTTAAGAGGAGTTACAGTACATTCAAACCCGGATGATAAAGCGGTAAGACTCAAGGGGTCAGGCCTTACCTTCGCCTAATAACACATGAGTTCATTTTGATGTATCTCAGTATCTCACTATGAATCAAATTACTCCTCTAACTGCCTCCAGAGTGGAAAGAGTAAATTGTTTCTTGGCTATCCTGCATATTGTCTGTACCTTGGGGTCCACATCAGAGGTCAGACGGTCTGAAATATCACTGGGAGTAGCCATTGAGGCATTGACCAGTCCAATTCCTTCTTGGCCCATATTGTTAATGGTGACCACGTTGCTGTCCTACTTGTGATGTGGAGCACCTGGAATAGACGTTCACATAATGTCATCTGGGAATTTGTTCAAAATATATAGAGAGATTAGCCCAGTAATAACAGCTGGTATGTCATGACTTCTTTTTTTAAATTGTCGCAGTCTGCGTATATATCTGACAATAGCTTTGATTTCATGTGCGTTTTCTGGGGGAGTGACCTTATCAGACTGGAGTTGCGTTGGTTGCCCAGGTATTTTAGGAAAGTAGGAATACATCCTTTTCTCCCCAGCCCTCACAGTTTCACCACTGCAGCTTTTTGGAGACAGTTTGCCTTAGAATTAGGTTACCTCCACCCAAATGTTCTCATGTGGGGTCACTTTGAAAACTTATTTGTCCTACTTTCTACGATAACTTGGCACAAAACAGAAGTGCTTTTAATCATTTGTTGGAAATAAAAATGATAAACAATCTTTTTCTTAAATATTTCCTCTTTTTTTTTTTTTTTGTAGATCCCTCGTGGAGGACGACGACGCTCACATGAAAGTCGCTTTGGGCTATGGTGATATGGGCATCTCTGCTCACCTCCAGGCATCAAAGACTGGAAACACCCGATTTTTCACAAGCAACACACACAGCTCAGTAGTTCTTCAGGTGAGAGTTCAGTCAAAATGGCAGCAGGGCCTGTAGAAAAAGTAAGAGTGGAGGTAAATGCCATCAGTCTTGTGTGGTTTTGCGCTCTGTTTTAGCTCTGTCTAAATTCCCTGTTTACAGGCTTTCATAGTCAAAACCGTTAACACGTCAAGCTCTGTCCAATCCAATCCTTGCCTGCAGCAATACTAAATATGAAAATGATTCCTCTTATATCCAGTAGGGATACAGTCCCTGTTGAGTTTGGTTCAAGTTTGACACACGCAGCAAAATGATAACTGCATCAGAGAGCCCATGGCATGAATTATTGGTTATCGTTTTTAATGTGCTGATTAATATTTCAGTGGTTAAGTAAAAGCATTTGGGATTTCATGCCCGTGTAACTTGATTTAAAGAGTGAACACAGAATATTCCGACGCACTGGTAAAATGTGTAATCACAAAGCACTCAGAGAATGATGAATCTGCTAACTATTTCCAAAAGATAACTCGCACACATTCACTGCTAATTGGCACACAACGAGGATCACCCTTAAAATGTGTGTGTGTGTTTTTGCACCTTTTGCCACAACAGCAGTGGTCGTCCTTGGTCACCAGCTCCCATTGAAAAAAGAGGAGCCGTTGGCTGGTCATTAATCTTTTGCTGTCACAGCGCAGCCAGAGAATTATAATGATTTTTCTAGCCTATCGGATTTTACACCCTGATTTAACGAACGTGTTGGTCTCAGTGAGGGGCAGTATTTGTGAGCAAAGCTCCCCTCGTGATAACGGCACTTGGAGTTGTTGTTAACAGTAATGGCTCGCTATCTTGCACGCAGGCTATTTGTGCTGCCTGTCATAACCCCTTGTTTCATTACCGTCAGCTATAATACAGCTGATGTCTTTAAGCTGTAACTAACCATCACGTTGCTATGCCTACAGGGAACAATATAGTTGTTGCTGAAAACGTATAATTTCATAGCTGCTGTATGCGAGTCGGTCATGCGAACCCGCCGATACCGATAACTCTGAGAGCTCAGGCACAAAAGGGCGCCGTTGGATGTAATTTTAGATTCATGAGGTCATGCCTCGCAGGCTGAAGCGTATAATTCTTCAGTTTATCTGTACCTCCATTAAAGATCTTTGCTAATCACATGTTCTTCTTACTCTGGTATGCTTTGCTTTGGGATGCCAGCCTCTGAAATAATACCCCTGCATTGTTCAGGTGTCTTTGGCTTAGGCGTGTCAGATGTTAGCTCCACTTTAATGCATGCCTCTTCTTTTTTTTATTTTTTATTATCTCTCAGGGATTCGACCAGCTGAGGATAGAAGGTTTGTTATGTGACGTCACGCTGGTGGCTGGGGATGGCGATGAAGCTTTCCCTGTGCACCGCGCCATGATGGCCTCCTCCTCCGACTACTTTAAAGCCATGTTCACAGGTGGGTCTACAAAGGCCTCTCTTGGAGTGTCTACTCATCAATAGGACTGTGCACATTCGAGTTACACAGAGGCCCTTTCTATTGATGTTATTTATTTATTTTCGCATTCATGTCCCCACATAACAAATACATGTAGAAGATGCTTGCCGTCTTATAATAAGGGTATTTTTAGGAGTAATAGACTGTTTGAAACAAAAAAATTATGGTAGATAAAAAAATAGAAGCAAAGGTGACTTAACTGCTTTGAATAGCTGTTGTAGGCATTAAACTTTGGTCTTAGAATAAGATTGAAATGAAAGTTCTTCGCCCCAAAGATAAATAGAGAATTTTAAATCAATCCCAGAAAAAGAAAGCACAAAATTTAGGCAACTTGCCCAGAAAGCCCCCACTGATCTTTATCACACTGGTTCTGATATTTCAGTTTACTGACTCTTAAACCCTTAATCTTTTCTTCAGGATTCTCGCAGATTACAGTTGTGTTTTTATGCAGCCAGTAGCTGTGCCTAATCTTTCACAGAATATCTTTAAGGCGTGTAAACATTCTTTATTTGCTGCTTTAAAGATAATTTAGCATCATTAGTTTTTGACTGACGCCTGTTTTTGAGTGAGCTGGAGCTCCTAGGAGTTGTTCATAATCTTTAATAGCCAACAAGAATTTTTGGATAGCACCCAGATATCTATTTGGACAGAAGTCTAATATTTTAGAATTTGGGTGGCTTTGGTTCCAGAGGAAAGCTGCTGCTTACTGATCGGAAGGTCAGTGGTTAGACTCGATGTTCCTCCACGCCACATGTTGGCAAAAGAGCCCTTGGGCAAGGCTCTAAACACCAAGGTGCCTTGCAAAGCGTCCACTGGTGTCTGTGTGTGTGTTTGTGTCTGTGTCTGTGTGTGTGTGGGCGAATGACAGTGTAGTGTCAAGTGCTTTGTGTGGTCTATTCAACTGGAAAAGTACTACATAAGTCCATTATTTTTCTTGTTTTCCATCAGATCTGAAGGAGAACTGTGTGAGATGTCACTTTGCTCTGACTATGACAAAATGAACATTGCATTATATAAAGAAGAAATTATGTGTGAAATGTGTCCCGTGTGTCTGTAGCTAGTAGCACTTTACTGCCTGTGGTTCTGAAGCAGCTCTAAGTATTACTTAAAGTTTCTGTGAACGGGCATTTTTGGCAAATTTACAGGACGGGAAAAGGCTTAACTCCAGTTTAGCCTTAGCACAGGAATCAAAAGATAGGACAAAGCTAAATTATTGTGGGCTAGCTAACAGACTAGGAAGCAAGTGTTAAGATTGTTCCACTATATTATATAATGAATTATGTTCCATCCAAAGATCACAAAGCTTGATTTTTTTTTTTTTTTTTTGCAGTCTCAGTCATGCAGTCCATATGCTGTGATGTAGAAGTGTAACCATCAGATCTTTCTTGTCACCCCTTTTTTGTTACTGATGCAGGTGGAATGAAAGAACAGGATTTAATGTGCATCAAGCTTCATGGAGTAAACCGAATAGGCCTGAAGAAGATCATAGACTTTATCTACACAGCAAAGTTGTCACTCAACATGGAGAATCTGCAAGACACACTTGAGGCAGCCAGCTTTTTACAAATCCTTCCAGTGTTGGACTTTTGCAAGGTTTTTCTCATTTCTGGGGTAAGGAGGCAGATGCACGAGAGCCCGGGGCACAGCTCTCCTTTAGTCCTCAACTGTCTTTAAACACAGTCTGCTCTGTCTGACTGCCTGCCTGTTTTTGTTTTTTTCTAAACAACTGTTTATTAATCCAGCTCTGTCTGGATTATTGTTTCAGTATACTGATATCTCGTAATAAAATAATGCAGCCATTGTTGTTTCCAGGCTTTTGACTACTTTTCCTTTCCAGGTTTCTCTTGACAACTGCGTGGAGGTGGGGCGCATTGCCAACACCTACAACCTGACAGAGGTGGACAAATATGTCAACAACTTTATCCTGAAGAACTTCCCGTCTTTGCTGGGCACAGGAGAGTTTGTCAAGCTCCCGTTCGAGCGGCTGGCTTTTGTGCTGTCCAGCAACAGCTTGAAACACTGCACTGAGCTGGACCTGTTTAAGGCCGCCTGCCGCTGGCTGCGCTATGAAGACGGCCGCATGGACTACGCCCCGAAACTCATGAAGAACATCCGCTTCCCCCTCATGAACCCGCAGGAGCTAATCAATCACGTTCAAACGGTGGACTTCATGCGCACGGACAACACCTGCGTCAACCTTCTCCTGGAAGCTAGCAATTACCAAATGATGCCCTACATGCAGCCCGTTATGCAGTCGGAACGGACAGCCATCCGCTCGGACAGCGCCCACCTGGTCACCCTGGGCGGCGTGCTGCGCCAGCAGCTAGTTGTGAGCAAGGAGCTGCGTCTCTTTGACGAGAAGGCTCACGAGTGGAAAGCGCTGGCGCCCATGGACGCCCCCCGCTACCAGCACGGCATCGCCGTCATCGGCAACTTCCTCTACGTCGTGGGTGGCCAGAGCAACTACGACACCAAAGGCAAAACGGCGGTGGACACGGTGTTCCGGTACGACCCTCGCTACAACAAGTGGATCCAGGTGGCATGCCTTAATGAGAAACGCACCTTCTTCCACCTCAGCGCACTCAAGGGACACCTCTACGCCGTGGGAGGAAGGAACGCTGCCGGAGAGCTCGGTAAGCTAATGTCCTCCCCTTTGTAATTACGCTTGTGTTCTACCCCTTTCGTATCAATGTCGGAGGCCAAATCTGTTTTGGATTAAGGCGTGAACGGCAGACACGCCATCACCGCCGTGCGCCTCACCATTATCGGGACATTTTTGCTCTTGGAAATTCAGTTTCAGCTGTCAGTTCCTCTGCAGTGCAATTTCACACTGCGTGCCGCGTCGATGCCGGGAAAAAAAACACACAAACAAACACTTTAACGTCCTGAGACACGGCTAAATCTGGGACAAGAACTGTACTGATAAAGTGATGCGCCGAAAGCGAGAAGCTGCTTGAGATTTGAAGTTTTCATAAGGATTTCACATCACCCAGGACCAGCAATCGTATGCTTCTCATAGCTAAAATGTTTTGGTTTTGTTTGTTTTCTTACTACTCAAGAATTTACAATTCACCCCTCTAGTATAACTCTGAGTAGATGTCTTTATATATTTATGTGTCTTCCTTATGGTCTTCCTCGCGATGCTGAGTTACTGATCTGGAATCTCTGCACCCATAACTGTAGACCACAGAGAGGTGCCACCCAGTATTTAAAATCAGCCATAAAACTTGAACAGACAGGGAAAAAAAGCTGCCGTCCTCTCTTCTGGGTTATAATTAGCCTAAAGAACACAGCCCCAGTTCACCGCCTGTCTACACAACCGCCTTTTTCCAGCTTTACGTTTGCCCGCCTGCTGCCTGCATGTGGTTCCATCCTGGTGTATTTCTGGATGTGCCCTGCCCCTCCATCGTGTTTGTTTACAGTGGAAAGGTCACACGGGTGTGTTTTTTATTTGATTTTTTTCATTTTTTATAGTTGCATATGAATTCCACAGATTTGAAAAGAAAAGCCTAACAATGTCAAGACGTGGATTTTCCACAGGAAGCCGTCAGCCTTTATGAGTACACGTCGTGTTCCTTGGTCCAGCTACCCTTTAGGGTAGTTAATCTGTTCAAAATGAAATAACAAAGATTTGTGGAGAAGGAACCTGCGTGATCAAAAGGCATTGGGGTTTTTTTTTAAAGCTACGCCGTATAAACAGACTGCAGATTGGGAAGGGATTTGTGTTTTGCAATTGCTCGTGTGATTGCTTTAATCATTGCTTATAAAAAAAACTTTTTTTTTTCCACCTGATTCCTTTGTATTATCTTTGAACACTATTAATCAGTTCTCGTTGACAGCTGGCCGCATTTGTTTGAAAACAAGTGAACTTGAGCATTACCTCATATCCTCGAGGCAAAGTGGAAAACAAACTGGAATAAAGTGCTTTCAGTCCTGTAATTATGGGGTACCAAACAACGAGCGGAAACTTGATTTGTGTTTGCAGCACCATGATCCAGTCTAAGTGTACAAACGTGCCCCGCCTGCTGTTTAACCTTGGCGTTTGAAGTCTGTATCTTTAAGATGATGAGCGGTTGATATCCATGAGTTTCCCAACTTGTTCTGAGCCCCGTCACGTCCCGATTCCAAGCGTGTAACGAGCTTACAGAGCTGATTTACCCTGGCTGCTGGTTGTGGGGAATCTTCCCCACCATTCGCCCGCCTGTGATCATCACTCATGAGTCCCAGAGCCCCTGTTCTTGGCTCTCTTGGATTTTTGTGAAACTATCCTTTGGGTACCTCGAGATAAAGGATCTAACAATCTCCTCTTTTCCTGTGCAGCCAGTGCGCTCAGCGCCGTTGGGGTTGTGTGGATGCAAAGTCTGTATTTAAATCTCTGTTTTAGCTCCCACGCTGAGACCCTCCAAGGCCTCATTTGCTGCTGTTTGTCCTCCTTAGTTGTGTCTCGACCTACTTTCTACTAATACAGTCTCTTCTCTCCACCCCCCCCCCCTCATCTTTCTCTTTCTTCAAGCTACGGTGGAGTGCTACAACCCAAGGACGAATGAATGGACGTATGTGGCCAAAATGAACGAGCCTCATTACGGCCATGCTGGGACGGTGTACGGAGGTTATATGTATATTTCAGGTAAGTGGCTCCAGGGAGCAGAAGTTACACTCAGCAGAAATTCAGAGTGACAAATATTGTTGTTTACACTTCAGGGGAGTTTTTAAAAAGTTGCATCTCGAATTTGTATGCTCCGCTTGAACTGTGGAGATGCAGTCACAGTTCATATTATCAGACAAACAGCACATACAGTACTTTCCAGTTTTTGAGATAACATTCAGTCTGGATTCCTTAGTCTAATAATGGCTATTTATATCTGCTGAAGTTGCTATATTATTTTGAAAGAGTGCCTTTTAGACTCATAGGCTTCTGCAAACACTCCACACTCCCTTGATCCATCGATTATGGAGCAGACTTTTGAAGTATGTTGGAGTCCATCGCTTAAAGCAAATGATAGACGCTGAGTTTGGACCTTTGGGCTGTCGCTCTTCTCTCTTAAGACATCACATCCACACTTGTTCACTTCCAGCGATTGAAAACAAATCCTGCGGTATGGAGATGAGCCCTACTTTCATAGTGTGACTAATCCAGAGCGATGCTACAAAAGAGGGGAAGGTTGGTGGTGAGGGGGAATTTGGAAGGATTGAGCAAAGTAGAGGACTGAAGTCTGTGTAGGAGGTGTAACACAGAACAGACACTGCTAATCCCTTCTGGCCATGGGCACAATCATCCTCCCGCAACACGCGAGCAATAAACAATGTCGTTCAAAAACATAGGGCAAAAATAAGGCTCCTGAAAGTCTCCAGCAGAGAAAAAAGGAGGCAATAAACACTCCTCTTTTAGTCACACAATGAATATCAAAACTGTGAAGCCGTTATTGGATGTGACTAAGCTGTCTCCAAGCACATGGGCAGTATGTAAGCTTCTTCAGTGAAACACAATGGTGCACAGTTTTTGCTGTACACAAAACGCATATTTTGTTGGTTTTGCGTTTCAAATCACTATCAGAAACAGACACATTATAGATGTGCAATAAGTAGGTCGTGCTATTTATAAGAACCGGCATGGACAAAAAAAAGTTAAGAAGCCCTAAAGCACAACGTGCACACTCATGCTGTTTGTAAATTGTCTAGTATATTATTATGTGTTAAAGTATATAGCCGTGCGAGTGGAAGTAAACTGAAAGTAGCGCTGCCCTGAAAAAGTGTGAGCACACGGGAGCCTTTCCTCTGCTTTTTCCTAAATGCCTCCTTAACCTCACCGGAGAGCTTCACCACTTCAAAGAGATAGACTGGTGAGAGGAATAAGTGAGACTTAGACAAGCGCATCGTTGGGTAATCGGACGGCCGCCCTCGTGCTCGGCTGTGATGGGAGTCTGTGCTGATAACCAGCAGCTCGTTGGATAGGCGCATTTTACATGTTAAGTCATAACGCAATCAATGAATGTCAACAACCACGGAAATGCATCACAGGATTTTCAAGGGTTGTGAATTGAAGAAAAAAAAAATGATGTAGGAGAAAAAGGTTTGTCCCGCGCACCCCCCCCCCCCCTTCCCTCCCAAACCTTGATTTGTCGGACTGTGATAATGTTGCATTTGATGTCACGGAAGGATTGTGGGGAAATCATTTTGTCTCGTCAGTCAAAATGACTTTGCCGTGTTTTTACCCAGCTGGAACGCATAAGGGGGGGAAAAAGTTTAGATTTTCATGCATTAGCGTCACAAGATAATGTAATACTAATCATTTATTTGCTTACACTACACTGGATAAATACTTGGGAGTATTTGGCCACAATACAATTAAAGATTTATTATAGAATTATTTGCATAAATAATTGTTTACATAAAAAGCTTTAATTGGAGAATATCTTTCAATAAGAGCATTATTTTGGACCACACAAGTCACAAGTATAGCAGAGATAAACTGTATTCTCACATATTATCAAGAGTATTTATAAGTAATGATGTCGACCAAGACCGAAGTAAGCTTCCAGTAATCTGTGAAGATGTGCTTGCCTCCAGCTGCATCCATCCTTTAAATTCCATCTTGCTGTGTGACTTAGTTTCCAGACTGCACAGAGCGAGACACGTTTCACTGATGCGGATCAGCGATCGGTTCAGTTTTGCTTCTGTGACGGCTGGTTTTGCACCTGTGCCATCCGATTAAAAAATGGAAGTGTCGTGTTGTGCAACGGCGCCGGTCAAGCAGTTTAGAGCGCAGCTGGCTCTGCCGACAGCGGGGCGGGGCCGCCCACGGAGAAAGCTAGCTGGAAGATGCTACAGGTAAAGGGGGCATTACAGATCAAAGGGAGTTTAGTCGCCGTGGGGCCTGACTGTACCGCCCAGAGACTGGAAAGAGGGGGGGGGGGCGTGACCCACACTGGAGTGCACTTCTGTGTGTGTGTGTCTGTCACAGCACATCGGGTCAGTTTCTCCGGCCGCGCTGCTGCGCTGTCTGAAGGTATTCTGTCGGCTGGGTGAACCTGACAAATGCGCTCAGCCCACAGATCGTCACAGCTGAAGTAGGGCGGCAGAGTTCAGGCACAAGAAGAACTCTGCCTCAGCTCTGCAGTCACGGCCCAGAGATGAGGAACGCTCCTTACACAGTCTGAATCTCTAAACGGCTAGAACCGAGCGTTTGAGCTGATCCCACTCTTACGTGCATGCCAACGTCGGTCGGTTAGGTGAAAATTTTCCTGGTCGTAACCGTCCAGACCAATTTGTGGGATCATGTGTGGCAGCAATCCCAGCCTTTAGTGTGGGCAGCGTGATGAGGCGCGGCAGGCTTCTCACACCTGGATTTTTGGGAGTTTCTGCCGCGCTTCACTGCAGATCCCCGCAGAGTTCTGTCAGATGGACTTTCAGCTTTCTTTCTAGATGTTAACTAGCCTCAGATCGGCGCTCTGCCCGGCCCACCTGAGGACATCGTTATGTCGGACAGCGAGCCCTGCGAGTGCTCTGAAGCTGATTTTCATCGTGCTTATCTCCGAGTGCCGCTCCGTCCTAAAAGGTCTCGTTATCACGGCCACTGAAGGTCACAGGAAAACGCCTCACTCACACACCGCTACACACACATCCAGCCGCGCACAGCTTCCTCCAAGCAAGCTTAGACTGAAGGAGAAAGTCTTCAGTCATGTCGATAATAGAGAACTGTATCTTAACCTTGGACTCCTCTTTTTACACTTTTATATTTTACTCTCAGAGTCTAATTATTTTTTGTTATCAGCTTATTTAAAAATTCAAACAGATGAAACTGAACTTTATCATTAGCGAGGAGAAAAGTCAGGTAACGTTAATGGCTGTTTGTAGTCCTCCCATTTACAGTTAGACAGGGAGATTTCCTTCTGATAGTCGTCCTGGGGAGATTTTGGGTTGAGGGAGAAAAATTAGTAGTTTTATTTTCAGTAACAGAGTCCAGTGTTTCGCTGTGAATGGTTGGTGTGCATGATGACATTCTGATAACTGACACAGGTCACTTAAACCTCTCATGCGATGCGGCCCCCAGCTTTTGGATTAGTCTGCTCATGTTCAAACCGAAATAGACAAATAAAGCACACTTTGTTGGGTTTATCCCTCCAGCACGTGGGTTTTAGGCCAGAGAAATATGTGAACAATCCCTCCTTAAGTGGACGGAGCAGGTTATTCTCGGGACGATTCACAAGTCACCGTAAGTTGAAACTGTAATAAGTGCTGCCGCATGCGTTTTGCCTGTTTGTTTAACCCTAAACGGTCATCCCTGTTAAGCGGGAGCCCCATCAGGCGTCCTCCGCGGTAATGTATACTGAGCATCGCCATTTCGCCTGCAGGGATTCTGCACTATGGTGCGCCTCCTGCCCAGGTGCCACTCTGGACCAGCTCCAAAACAGAGAACTCATTTCACACATAGAATCCCATGCCGCCTGGCGCATGTGTGAACGGGCAGCGTCGAGCTCTAATTCCCCAGGCGTTCGCTGGTGTTCACGTGTGAAAATTGCTTTTATGCTTCGTTCCATGAAGAGGGACCTTAAACGAAAAGCACTTATCTTTTCAAATCGCTCTATTGCCAAGCGTTCTTTAATTTTTCATTGTTGCCAAACCCCCATGGCTGCACTTGCTGTCATCCATGTATATTAGAGTTGATCTATATATTCTGTAGCCATGCTGTTGTGAAGCTGATCGATACTTAGTGTAGCTCGGTAGTCTGTCCTTGTGGGATTAAACATCAAAGAGGGACGCATATCATTACCGGCTCATATTTATAAAGGATTCCAGCTCCGGACGCTCTTAATCATTCGAGGTATTTGTAGAAAGTGCTGAGCGCCCTTTTTTTGTCGTCTCACCTTGGTGTCTGCTCTTCATCATCTATTTGGGTCCCACATGTGCCGGAACTGACTCAACCAGGTCACCAGTTGTGCATTCGTTTCGTTTCCACCGGGGGGAAACGTTAGGAACTGGAAACGCAGCAGCAACACGTGGCGTCGGATCCGAACAATAACCCAGTTAAAGGGCAAAGGCTTTTAGCCCGCCTATGAGATGGGATCAGTTTAGCCATAATCTGGCCGCTCTCTGTGTCCCGCTAATGGCACTGATTAGGCACTGAGATAGTAGGATGCTGATCAGACAATGTAGTATCAGGGAAAGGCCAAAGCCCTTGAACTGAATCAGAATAGCTGCATGGCCCCGTGGGAGGGATTACAAGGGCCCCACTTGGACTCCACCACTGTTCTCTTGTCGGGATTTAAATGGCGAACACACTCCATGTGATTTTTGGGATAAAGAAAATGGGTATCTGTGCTATCTTTGCGTTTGATCAGTTAAGGAGGTGCAGCATCACAGATCTGAGTCATGGCAGCTGAATACACAGATTAGGCCTCCACAATGAGGCGCGCGCACCATCACTGGGCAACAGCAAAAGAGGGATTTCTCTGCCTGTATACGGCGTGCTCTGCAAATCTTCGCTGCATTTGCTCCCAGTCACTCAGCCGGGGGGGGGGGGGGGGGGGGGTTTACTGGCTGCCACCCAAATGCATGCTGGGATTGTGTTTCTCTTTATTTTAAGCCTTCCCTGTAGACATGTCCTGTTTTTTTTTCTCTCCCCCCCCCCCCCCCCCTTTCCACAGCTTTGTGTGTCCCACTGTCTACAGTCTGTTTGTGCATATGTTAACAGAAGCTTTTTAATGGTGTTCCACTTTGTAGCGAGTGCTCATAATCAGCATTATTTCACACTGTGGGGAAAGAGACTGAGAAGCTCCTGATATCACTCCAGTTTGGATGAAATGGGTTTAAGCTCTGTGTTGGTGGTTGAATTAGTTTCAAATATGAGGATCAGGAGTGTGGGGGAAAAAAAGACTTTTTAAAAATGTCAAGCCTTGTTTACACTGTTGTTCCTAAAACGACTAGTGATGGAAATGAGACCGTGCCAGTGTCACGGCCGGTTAATGAATCAGCTATCGGATAGATCCTCCACAAATGTTTTTTTTTTTTTTTTTTTTTTTTTAACTAAATTTTTTTTTTGTTGGGTTTTTTTTTTATACTTTTTTTTTTTTTTTTTCCCCACTCTTCTCGCTGCAGGAGGAATCACTCACGACACTTTTCAGAAGGAGCTGATGTGCTTTGACCCAGATGCGGACAAATGGACTCAGAAAGCTCCCATGACGACGGTGCGCGGCCTGCACTGCATGTGCACGGTGGGCGACCGCCTCTACGTGATCGGCGGCAACCACTTCCGCGGCACCAGCGACTACGACGACGTGCTCAGCTGCGAGTACTACTCCCCCGCCCTGGACCTGTGGACCCCCATCGCCGCCATGCTGCGGGGCCAGAGCGACGTGGGCGTGGCCGTGTTCGAGAACAAGATCTACGTGGTGGGCGGCTACTCGTGGAACAATCGCTGCATGGTGGAAATAGTTCAGAAGTACGACCCCGAGAAGGACGAGTGGCACAAAGTGTTCGACCTGCCCGAGTCACTAGGTGGGATCCGAGCCTGCACCCTCACAGTTTTCCCCCCCGAGGACATCTCGGGCTCGCCCTCCAGAGAGTCGCCGCTCTCAGCACCTTGATGAGTAAAAGGGGGGGGGG